ACTGTGACCCACCTGTTGTGCAGGAAGGGGTGCAGATCAACCTCCCTTGCATTGCCACTAGCGGACGCAAGAAGCACTCTCTCACCCTCCTCACAGCCGGCCCACCAGCACAGCCAGTGCACGCAGAGGCTCACATGTTGTGCAGGAAAGGGTGCAGGTCAAGCTCCCTTGCATTGCCACTAGCGGGCAGCACTCCCTCTTGAGTCTCGCCCCTTGTGTGACTCACTCAAAGCACAGCCACTCACATGTTGTCCAGGAAAGGATCCAGGTCGAATTCCCTCCCCACTAGAGGCCGCAGGGAGCACTCAAGTCTTGCTCCTTATCACAATCACACAGCCATTCACAGTCACACATACAGGCCAGGACTCACACGTTGTCCAGGAAGGGATCCAGGTCTAGCTCCCTCCCCGCTAACGGCCGCAGGGAGCACTCCCTCACTCCCCGTGCCAGCAGCCAGGAGTTAGCCACTCACACAATCGCACAGCCACTCACACAATCGCACAGCCACTCACACAATCGCACAGCCACTCACACAATCGCACAGCCACTCACACAATCGCACAGCCACTCACACAATCGCACAGCCACTCACACAATCGCACAGCCACTCACACAATCGCACAGCCACTCACACAATCGCACAGCCACTCACACAATCGCACAGCCACTCACACAATCGCACAGCCACTCACACAATCGCACAGCCACTCACACAATCGCACAGCCACTCACACAATCGCACAGCCACTCACACAATCGCACAGCCACTCACACAATCGCACAGCCACTCACACAATCGCACAGCCACTCACACAATCGCACAGCCACTCACACAATCGCACAGCCACTCACACAATCGCACAGCCACTCACACAATCGCACAGCCACTCACACAATCGCACAGCCACTCGCACAATCGCACAGCCACTCGCACAATCGCACAGCCACTCGCACAATCGCACAGCCACTCACACAATCGCACAGCCACTCACACAATCGCACAGCCACTCACATGTTGTCCAGGAAAGGGTGCAGGTCAAGCTCCCTCCCCACTAGTGGTCGCAGGGAGGCAGTGACTCACGCAGCCAGTGCACACAGTCACTCACATGTTGTCTAAAAAAGGATCCAGGTCAAGCTCCCTCCCTACTAGCGGCCGCAGGGAGCACTCCCTCACTCCCCGTGCCAGCACACCCAGGAGAAGCGCCAGTGCACACACACGGAAGCAATCACTGTGACAGTCACTTGGTCACACACATTCATGCACACAACACAACGCAATTTAGCCACTCACATGTTGTCTAAAAAAGGATCCAGGTCAAGCTCCCTCCCTACTAGCGGCCGCAGGGAGCACTCCCTCACCCCCCGTGCCAGCACTCCCAGCAGCGGTGTATGATCGTCCACAAGCTGAGACACACACAAGGGGATTTGAAAGGGAGGAGAGGGGTGGAGATGAGTGGAGAGGGGTGGAGATGAGTGGAGAGGGGTGGAGAAGGGTGTGTGTACGTGAGTCAGCCTAAGGGGAGCACTCCCTCACCCCCCGTGCCAACACTCCCAGCAGCGGCGTGTGGTCGTCCACCAGCTGAGGCACACAAGGTTGGGCGAGGTGGAGAGGGGTGGATATGGGTGGAGAGGGGTGTGTGTATATGTGACAACCGGTAGATCAATTCTCGCACCCCCCCTGCCAGCACTCCCAGCAGCGGTGTATGGTCGTCCACCAGCTGAGGCACACGCATGGAGGGGTGGAGAGGGGTGGAGAGGGGTGTGTACATATGTGACAGCCTAAGGGGAGCACTCCCTCACCCCCCATGCCAGCACTCCCAGCAGTGGTGTATGGTCGTTCACCAGCTGAGACACGCATGCAACACACAAGGGAATTAATGGTGATTGGCTGGGGTGGAAAGGGGTGGAGAGGGGTGTACATATGTGACAGCCCCCTTCATGCCAGCACTCCCAGCAGTGGTGTATGGTCGTCCACCAGCTGAGATACACAACAAGCAACACAGAAGGGGATGGACAGTGGTTTAATGTGGTGCTGATGGATGCTCACCATGGTGAGCATCATCTGTGCGAATTTCACATTGTCTTCAAGGGTCCCAGGAGAACAAGCGAAGAGCTCTTGACGATAGCATGTACGCGTTATAGGCTGCCCCTTTACAACAACAGCCACACGCACCATGATAAGCATCTGTGTGAACTTAACGCTGTCTTCCAGACCCTGTATCTCCTAAACCGCTGTGAGCATGCCCACGATAGGGTGTGGTGTACCCGTTATAGGCTGGCCCATTATAAGTACAGCAGAACGCACCATGGTGAGCATCTGTGTGAACTTCACATTGTCTTCCAATGTCTTGATCTCCGGAAACGCTGTGAGCATGTCAAACGCCTGGCGGTAGGAATCGTAGACCTGCAGATCATGGGGGAAAGGCAATGTGGGTGTGTGGGTGTGGGGGGGCACATGCAAGCACAGAGGGATGTGGGTGAACATTCAAGAACAGGGAAGCGCACACACACGCACATGAAAAAGAGCCATACATGCGAACGCAGTGAGAATATGAACGGCCTGATGGTAGGAGTCATACACCCGCTGCAGAGATAGGGTGAGAGTGACGAATGTAGGCGGGTGGGGGCACATGCATGCACATGCAAGCACACACAGTTGATATGCTCTACACAGAGGAACGCAGTGAGCATGTGAAAGGCCTGGCGGTAGGAGTCGTGCTACACGTGCCGACATGGGGGGAAAGAGGGTGGTGAGTGGTTGGGTTGCGAGCACATGCAAGCACATATGCGCACCGAGGAACGCAGTGAGCATGTCAAAGGCCTGGCGGTAGGAGTCGTGCTACACGTGCAGAAAGGGGCGGAGAGACGAGCACGGGGGTAGATAGATGGATGCAAGCAGAGGCCTGCAGAGCAGAGCGCTGCGAAACACACGTTGGAGCCCTTATGCAAGCCTACACGCAGTAAAATACACTGTAGGTAAAATATGCAGTCCTACCTGCTTGATGTGCGGGTTGATGACGACAATGTGCGGCAGGAACTGCAGATCCATGAGCCGTTTCGCCAGCCGTATAGGCATCTCCCGACGCACGAACCTGGGGGAGAGGAGAGAGCAGAAACAACATGGGGCAGGAATGGGAATGAGTGACTACCGAAGGGGAGAAATAACAACGCAGAACCCTAGCAAATGCAAGCAAGAGCAGCAAACGACTTACTAAGGGCCAACCAACACACATTCGCCCACTTAGCTAAGCACCCACCGTGCATTGCGCACCATGAAAGTGGGGTCTTTAAGAGCCTCCTCCCCCTGAGCCAGCATTTGGCTAAGTGTCAAGGTGTTAAGCGGCAGCGCAGCGTATTTCTCCACCGTCATATCGTAAAATGACATTTTCCCAGGCTTATGGTGGTGAATGTGCAGCTTCCGCGCTGTACCCGCTACAGAATCTGGAGGCGACTCTTTATGAGACACGTGCTTGCGTGAGGAAATGTCATAACGTGACATTGGGTCAGGGATACGGTGGCATTTATGGAAGAATCGGGCTGAATTCGCTGTAAGAGTTTGTTTGACTGTAGGGAGACGGTTGGAGAGAGTGTGACCTTGTACGGAGTGAATGGAGCGGTGGTCTTCGTGATGCTGAATCCTTCTGCTCCCGCGGCGACTACTGGAATTTTGATATCCTGTCCAACACTGGAGATCATCATCGAGTCTGCTCGGCGCGCTTCTAGAAAGCGAAGCAGCATTTGCCGCTGATGGCGAATCCGCGTTAGTAGGCCTTCCGCAGCCGGCTAAGGATTCGCGATTAAGGTCATTGCGCGCTACAATGGGCCGCACGGGGTTGATCTCCCCACACGTGGACCGAGAAGCGCCGATGCCAGGTAAGTTAGAGGGTAGAGTAGGAACTAAACTAGGAGAGGATAAATCTGACGAGCCTCCTGCGGACGGCGACGAGGAAATGTGAGCGGAAGCGGCGATGTCGGGGAAGTTAGAGTCTAGAGTAGGAATCAGGCTAGGAGATGATAAATCTGACGAGCTTCCTGCGGACGGCAGCGAGGCGAAGCGCGACGGGTCGAAGGGCGATGGGACTACGCGCGACGATATGGATCCTCTCGTGGCGATCTGGCTGAAAGGGGAGGCGAAGCGCGATGCGACTGAGCGCATTGATAGGGATCCTTCCTTGAAAAGTATTCGGCATGTCTCCTTTAAGAACAACATAGTTAACGGCGACTAAAAGGTAACGCGTGATCTTAGCTAGTCATAGTCACGGCGACCATAGCATGCTAGCAAAAGTATTCCCTCGCTCTTTTTATCGAAGTGTGGAGTACCAGATGTGAATCAGTACAAAAACATACAACTGATAGAGTCTACTAATAGAGCCAACTGCTCGTAAAGCCAACTGATAGAGTCTATTAATTACAAACATACAAGTCCTAATAGAACGTGTCGCTAACTAAGCTGCTAAGGTGCTAAACGGCTTCAGAGTCGCGCCATCCACAGCAGCTCAAGCTTGATTGGTTCTTGAGAGTCGATTCAGTAGAGCCATCCGCTTCAGCTTGGGTCTTGAGAGTCTTGCTTTCTTGAGAGTCTTCCTCCGTCTTGGTTCTTCTTGACCCCTCTTGGCCGCTAGAGGCAAATGCCTCTAGCGTTACACCCGCACACCGCGATGAGGTGAGGGTCATTCGTGCGGGACCCTGTTTTGGGGGGGGGAAGCATGGTTGGAAAAATAAATAAAGGAGGGTAATTATTAAAATTACTAGCAGTGGGAACACCTCAGCTCAGCACCTCGGTTGTCAGAAGTTGCCGCGTTGTCAGGTTGACCAGAAGAACATTCCTGGAGCATACCTTAACCCGTTCCCGATCCATCCCCCACCCCCCGCGCGCGCGGCCTAACTAAACCCACCCAAACCCAACCAAACCCTCTTACTGTACTTGGCCGATTCTTCACGTCCGCCGAATCTGCAACTGGGGAGGGGGATGGGGAGGGGAGGGGGGGAGGGGGTGGGAATCAAACTTCCTCGCTCCACGCTCCCTCCTCGCCGCCAGCGCCGTTGTCCCCGCCAGCGCCGTCGTCCCCGCCAGAGTCGTCGTCCCTGCCAGAGCTGTCGTCCCCGCCAGAGCCGTCGTGTCCTCCCCGCCAGTGCCGTTGTCTCCGCCCGCGCCGTCGTATCGTCCCCGTCAGCGTCGTTGTCCCCGCCCGCGCCGTTGGCTCCCGCCGTTGTCCTCTCTAACTGCACCAGAGCAAATAACTTCGTTAGAATCCGGGAAAAAAATACTAGGAAAGCGGAACTGACAGCGTACCGCGCGGATGAGCCGTTGCAGCCTTCTGTTGCCGCCAGCGACGTCACCTCCCGTTACCACGCCGTGATCTGCACTAAAACGGAGAGCACAAAGCACGAAGTTAGAATCTGGGAAAAAAAGCACAAGAAAACCGGAATGGACGACGTACCACGTAAGATGAGTCGTTGCAGCCAGCGATGTCACCTCCCGCTTCCACGCCGTGAGCTGCACTAACACAGAGCACGAAGCATGAAGTTAGAATCCGGGAAGAAAAATACAAGGAAACTGGAATTGACAGCGTACCACGTGGATGAGTCGTTGCAGCCGTCACCGTCAGCTTCCGCTCCCGCTTCCACGCCGTGAGCTGCACTAACACAAAGCACGAAGTTAGAATCCGGGAAGAAAAATACAAGGAAACTGGAACCGACAGCGTACCACGTGCATGAGTCGTTGCTGGCAGCGCCGTGAGCTCCTGCCGCTTCCACGCCGCGAGCTGCACTAAAACGGAGAGCACAAAACAAGCACGAAGCACGAAGTGAGAATCTGAAAAAAAAAAACAAGGGTAAACCGGATCGACAGCGTACCAGGGTGAAGCTTGAAGTTGAACTCGCTCTCCCGTCGCGCCACACTCGCTGAGCGCCATGGCTCCCACTCTTGCTGCTCCTGCGCTAAAGGAGAGAACACAAGAGCAAGTCAGAATCTGGTAAAGAACCAATGCATGAAACTGGAATCGTCACCTTACCACGGTGGTGAAGAGTCGTAGAAGAGAGTCGGTGCAGTGCCGGAAGTCGGTGAAGATAGTCGGTGCAGTGCAGAAGGGGCAGTGGAGCGGGAGGGGGGGCGGAGAAGTCGGGCTGGGGCTTCCCTCCCTCTCCGCCGCACCCCTGCCCCAACCCCGCTCGCACAACCCCGCAGTCTCCTCGTGTGAATCTGTCTTCTTGCTAAAGTCCTGCTCACATGGCGATTCAACCCTTCATGATACCACGGCAGAAGGAAAAAAAACGAGAAAAAAAGCGAGGAAATAACGAGGAAAACGAAGCAAACGAAAAGAACGAGAAAAATACGACCAAACGCCCGTGAGACGCGCCGTCCGCCCGTGAGACGCCCGTAAGACGCGCCGTCCGCCCGTGAGACGCGCCGTCCGCCCGTGAGACGCGCCGTCCGCCCACGAGACGCCCGTAAGACGCGCCATCCGCCCGTGAGTCGCGCCATCATCCCGTGAGACGCGCCTAAGTTCTGCTCACATGGCGTTGCAACACGTCATGATATCGCGGCATAGAGAAATAACGAAATTGCAAGAAAACGAAACCAGAGAGATAAATTGCAAGAAAACAAAACAAGAAAACGAGAAACGAGAAAAAATGGAAATGGAAGCGCCGCCAAGCGCTTCGGTAGACGCGCCGTCCGCCAGCGACACGCGCCGTCCGCCCGCGAAACGCGCCGTCCGTCCGAAAGACTCGTTATCCACCCGCGAAACGGGCCGTGCGCCGTGCTCCTTGCTCACGCACTTCTGCAGGAAGAAACCAACAGCATTAGCAACCGCCAATGAACGGAAACCCTCAACTTAAACACGAATCGCAGCCACCAATGCGGGAAACAGCAGGTAAGCGACGGTCGAACGAGCTACTACCTCAACCGCAGCCGGTAAGCGACGGTCGCAGCTGGTAAGCGACGGTCGCAGCTGGTAAGCGACGGTCGCAGCTGGTAAGCGACGGTCGCAGCTGGTAAGCGACGGTCGCAGCTGGTAAGCGACGATCGTAGCTGGTAAGCGGCGATCGAAGCTGGTAAGCAGCGATCGTAGCTGGTAAGCGACGGGCGCAGCTGGTAAGCGACGGTCGCAGCTGGTAAGCGACGGTCGAAGCGTCGCCAAGGGCCGCCGATGCCCCGTGCACGGATGGACGAGCCTGGAGAAGCATCTCCCTTCGACCATACGTCGCCATGAGTCGCCACGCGTCGCCACGCGTCGCCATACGCCGCCATGCGTCCCCATGCACACCATCCGTCAAGGTGCGTCGCTGGGAGACGGTCAGGTTCTGCAGTAAGAAGAAACACGAGAATCAGTAAAGGAGGAAGTAAAGACAATACAAGCTGAAAGTGCGAGACGCTGAAGATCACGTTACCTCAACCGCAGCGAGGCCCAGCTGGTAAGCGACGGTCGCAGCTGATAAGCGACGGTCGAAGCGTCGCCAAGGGCCTCCGATGCGCCGTTAGACGAGCCGGAAGAAGCGTCGTCCTTCGACCATACGTCGCCATGAGTCGCCATGAGTCGCCATACGCCGCTACGCGTCGCCATACGCCGCTATGCGTCGCCATGGTGGCCATGCGTCCCCATGCACACCATCCGTGAATCGCGCCCGAGCGTCAAGCGTCGCTGGCGGACGGTCAGGTTCTGCAGTAAGAAGGAACACGAGAATCAGTAAAGGACGAAGTAAAGACACGAAACCGGCGAAGCGTAACCAGCGTAACCGCCAGTGCAAGTTGAAAAGCGAGGCGCTGAAGGTCACTTTACCTCAACCGCGGCGAGGCGCAGCTGGTAAGCGGCGATCGCAGCTGGTAGGCGGCGATCGCAGCTGGTAAGCGACGGTCGAAGCGTCGCCAAGGGCCTTCGATGCGCCGTGCACGGTTAGACGAGCCTAAAGAAGCGTTTCCCACGCGCCGTGCCCGTGCGCGGTTAGACGACCATACGTCGCCATAAGTCGCCACGCGTCGCCACGCGTCACGGCGCTTCACCATGCGTCCACCATCCGTGAGTCGCAGTGCGTCGCCGGCGGACAGTCAGGTTCTGCAGGAAGAAGGAACAAGAATCCGTCAAGAATCCACAAATAGGGACACGAGAAAGTAAAGACACGAGACGAAGTAAATACAAGCTGAAAGTGCAAGGCGCTTAAGATCACGTTACCTCAACCGGAGCGAAGCGTCGCTTCGATCGTCGCTGCGATCGTCTCGGCGGATCGCCTCCTGGCGGTGAAGAGTTGTCTTAGCGGAGACGGCAGCGACGGGAGAGGGCATCTTGGCAGCTTCAAGTTGAGTCGGGGCCAACTTCAAGAAGGCAAGACGGTCGCCGAGCCCTGAAATATAAAAGGCACATATTAGTTAGTGAGAGCTAAACTCAGATAAGTGAGGAGGAAAAGTGAAGTTTAATCAAAGTTTAAGTGGGAGGTAATAGAGCCAGTGGGAGGTACTTCAATCCATCAGTCGGCGAGGCGACGGTCGGCGAACCAGTTGGCGACGACATTTGACCCATCAGGTCCAGCCTTTCGGGTCGACTTAGCTCAAATCGCAAACGGCGGAGGAACGCCTCTCATGACCCGTCCAGAGATCTTGACTTGGCCTTGAATGCGACTCGTCCGGAGATCTTGACTTGGCCTTGAATGCGACTCGTCCGGAGATCTTGACTTGGGCTTGACTTCGACCCGTTCGGAGATCTTGACTTGTGCTCAAGTGCGACCCGTCCGGAGATCGGACGATGACGACGCTCGAAGCTTCTATCCGCGTCCGTCTTGACTTGGGTCTGGAAAGAAAAAGGTAACAAAGGATTAGTATTTGAAAAGAAAAACGAAACTTGGACGAGTGAGACAGAGAACGAAAGCTAATTCAAAGCGAATCTCGAAAAGACAATAATTTACAATGATACCTTTGGCGACGAAGCCTTTGGCGACGAAGCCTTTGGCGACGATGCCTTTGGCAACGATGCCGTTGGAGACGGTCGAAGCGAGCCGTGCAGGATCCGTGACGACAGTTGGCGAGCCTTCCGGATGTCCGCCATTATCATGCTTGAGTGCAGCCGGAGCGAGAAGCGACCCCGAGAGCCAATACGCGATATTCAGGTTGCAGGATATCAAACGTCAGATCCATCGTCTGCAGGAAATCACGAAACCAGTTTAAAAACATCCTAGAAACTACTTGGGAAAACGATTGACGGAAAACTTGAATCAACAATGCAGAGCGCAGGATTGAACGAAAAAAATTCAAGAGTTTACCTTCACTCGACCGTCTCCATCCAGGTGGTGAAGACTTGAACGGCAGGAGCGACGGGAGAGGCCGCTCCAAAAAGCATCTTGACTCAGCATGGCTTCCGGAGGAGGCGCCATGGGACACTTGGGCTTCCGGCTTGGCTTGGGTTTCGAAGCGCCGTCCCGTGATTGAAGGCGCCTACCGCGAGCTTGACTTAAGCTTCAGATCCTCCGTAATTAACAGCGTCAAGATGATCTGCAGGAAAATAAAAAAACACGGAATAAGTTAGAAAAAAAAATGAAAAGCTCGTCAAACAGTGAAGCAACTGCAGAAAAAAATTGAACGATGTTGCAAGATTCGGGATGTTGCAAGCTGCTCTTACCTTCACTCGACCGTCTCCATCCAGGTGGTGAAGACTTGAATGGCAGGAGCGACGGGGATGCCGCACCAGAGGCATCTTGAAGGGGCTTGGGCTTCCGGCTTGGCTTGGGTTTCGAAGCGCCGGTCCGTGATTGAAGCGCCTACCGCGAGCTTGACTTTCCGCTTGAAGCTCTTTCAACGCTTGTAGAGATGATATTGCGGAACGTAGATCTTGTAGTTCAGATCGTTATCTTGTCGCGGTGATATGTTGCCGCGAAAATCCGTCAGCACACGGTTCAGCCCGAAACACTTGGCAGCTCACTCCTCACGACACCTAAGACCTACCCAACCCACCCCAATACCCACTAACTCAACGCCGCCTCATGCTTCGGGCCTCCCCGTGTGCTTCAGGTAGCTTCAGGAGCTCATTGAATTGGAGCTTTTTGAACATCCTTCCATGAGTTTGAGAAGGAAGGAAAAAAACGATACAAATGCAACATCGCTAGATTATATGGAGCGGATGAGATGCTCGAGAGAGGTGCAAGCGGAAGGTGGCTGCTGAAGCAGAAGGAAAAGCGTGCTGCTGAACGAATTCAGCGCAGCCATTCCCAAACGGCGGCGGTCGCGGCACGTCTTATCGCGTCTTCAACCCAAAAGTGATAGGTGAATGCAGGTTGGAATGATATAAAGAAACAGCATATACCTAGGTGCAGTGCGGTGGGACGGGGCGGACACTCGAGCCGTAAACTGTGCGGGAGGGAATTCTTGAATCCTGACACCAGGCTGGCCGCGCGGTGCGATAAAGTTCAGTGTGATGTGAATGGATGGATGGTGGCGGTGCAGGCGACCGAAACGGTGAGGAGGTGTGGGGGCTTGAGTCATCAGCCAAAAAAATGCCGCGCCGAGATTGCGGCAGGCAAGGAGGGGACATTCGTCTGAGCGGCGCGTGGAGAACATTTTGAGGGGGTTGAAATTGTGCCTCCGCCTTATCCATCCAGCTCAACCCAAGTTCTACAGCACATTCATTTTGCACATTTCAGCACATTCATTTTGCACATTTGGGTTATACAAAGAGGATTGACTTGACCGTATGCAAACGCGTTTGCCAATGGCGAGTATTGGTGGTGAGGGAGGTTTGTTGGTGTGCAACAGCAAGGGCAGGCTTGGGAGCGCCTTCTAGCAGGTGGTTGACGTGGCGCTATTTTAGTTGGGCCATGAGTTTAGCAGGAGTTTTTTTATCTGATCCGCGTGAGTTTTGCGTGAGGTGCGGGACGGCTTTGCTTTAGGAAAAGTTCAGCTGAGCCTGCCTCGGGCAGCTGGAATAACAATGGATGGATGAGAAGAAAATTACACGAACCAATGGAATGAAGTTGTACTTGACACCAGCAGATGTACTACAGCAGTAAGGGTGTGACTTGCGTTAGCTCACACTAGTTCGCGTTAGTACCAGTTTCGCCACGCAAGTTGTTGGTTTGGGGGACAGATCTCAGCGCGGTAGACGGTCTAAGCGATTTCATGGCAGCGAAATATTTCATGCAGCAAGTGTCGCTCACGCCCTCGTTCGTTCTTACTTTCAATCGCTTTACGCTTGGCGTGCTAGCAATATCAGATCTGAATAGGTATCGCATTATCGGCAAGGCAGTTCAAGTTGCACGCACCAGATCTGACTTTTATTTACTTGCGTAATGCGGATGGAATCATAACGACTGTCGGCGGAATCGTCGATTTCGTACCGTATTAGGAACGTAGTGGGTTTCGTCGAGTAGACAGCGCCTTTCGTCAACTTCACAGCGTCGACGGTATCCCAGACGCAAGACGCGGAAAAGGAGGAGGTGAGTGGACGTGACGGTAATTTCCCCTTCCCCCTCCCCTCCACGCTTTCCCCCCTCGTGACTTCAGAGCGTCGACGGTACTTGGACGCAAGACGTGAAAAAGGAAGACGGAAGGTGAGTGGAGGTGAGTGGAGGTGAGTGGAGGTGACGGTAATCTCCCCTTCCCTCTCGCCTTTCCGCTTTCCCCCTCGCGACTTCAGAGCGTCGACGGTACTTGGACGCAAGACGTGAAAAAGGAGGACGGGAGGTGAGTGGAGGTGAGTGGAGGTGAGTGGAGGTGACGGTAATTTCCCCTTCCCCCTCGCCTTTCCGCTTTCCCCCCTCGTGACTTCAGAGCGTCGACGGTACTTGGACGCAAGACGTGAAAAAGGAAGACGGAAGGTGAGTGGAGGTGAGTGGAGGTGAGTGGAGGTGAGCGGAGGTGAGTGGAGGTGAGCGGAGGTGAGTGGAGGTGAGCGGAGGCAAGTGGAGGTGAGCGGAGGGGAGAAGAGCGGGATATGGGCGGAGAGGGCTGGAGAATGGTGGAAGCTTCTTTTTTCTCTTTGATTTCCCCTTCCTCCTACCCTTTCCCCTTTTTCCCTCCCCATTCCGCTTTTCCCCTCCCCATTCCGCTTTTCTCCTTTCCTTTCCGCTTGTCCGCTCCCCTTTCCGCTTTTCCCCTCCCCTTTCCGCTTTTCCCCTCCCCATTCCACGTACCTTCATCTTCCAGGATTTAAGAGGCGTTGACGGTTCCAGCCTGGACGCAAGACGGGAAAAAGGGAGGACGGGAGCGGAGGGGAGGTGAGCGGAGGGGAGAAGAAAGTCGAAGGTGGGCGGAGCGGAGGGTTTTCCGCCCCTCCCCTTTCCGCGCTCCCCTCATCTTCCAGGACTCGAGTCCGAGTTGACGGTCCCAGCCTAGACGCAAGACGGGAAAAAGGGAGGACAAGAGCGGAGGGGAGGTGAGCGGATGGGAGAAAAAAGTCGAAGGTGGGCGGAGCGGATGGGAGAAGAAAGACGAAGGTGGGCGGAGCGGAGGGGAGAAGAGGGGAAACGGACGGAGAGGAGAGGCGAAAGGGCGAAGCTACCATTTTCCCCTTGTTTTTCCTCCTTCCCCTCTCCCCCCCCTCTCCCCCCCCTCCCCCCTCCTTTCCGCCTTCCCCTTTCCGCTCCCCCCCTCATCTTTCTGGTGAAAGGTGACTGAAAGGGATTACATCTGTGATTGAACGCTAGCCTGGTCGCAAGACGGACAAAAGGTGGGGCGAGAGCTGAGTGGAAGGGAGGACAGAAACGTCCCCCCCCACCCCCCTCTCTTCCCCCCCCCACCACCGTCCCCCCTCCTCCCTCCCCTTCATATCACTGCCGCGCTCTATTGTTCTTTTCCTTCACACCCACCCTCAGCTCCCCACCACTCACTCCTCGTTCCCCACTCCGCTCATTCCCCCCTCTTTCCAGTCACCCCAGCCCCCCGCTTCTCATCACTGCTGCGCTCTATTGTTCTCTCCCTTCACGCCCGCAATCAGCTCCCCTCGATTCACCCCTCGTTCCCCCTCTCTCCCACTCCTCCCCGCTTCCCCCTTTTCTGACTCACCCCTCATCCTCCCTCCAACATCCATACCTCATCTTTTCCTCTGCTCATGCTTCGTCTCCATTGCTATCCACTCCTCATCTCCCTCCCCTCCCCTGCTACCGCCCCCTCACTACCCTCATCTCTCTCACCCCCCTCCCTTCTTCCACAGCCTAGCCACCCCTCGTTCCCCCCCCGCCCTTCACTCACTTTTCCCCCACTCACCCCCCATCTGTTCGTGCCCATGCACTCCCCATTCCCCTCGCCTCCCCTTGAATGGCTGCTTGTGTTTACATGTGGCACTCGCAGTGTGACTGCTGTCCCCACCCCCTCCCGCCCTTCCCTCACCTTTTCCCCACTCACCCCTCATCTGTTCTCACCCATACGCTCCCCATTCCCCTCGTTTCCCCCTGAATGACTGCTTGTGTTTACATGTGGCACTCCCTGTGTCACTGCTGTCCTCATCCCCCCCGCCCTTCCCTCACCTTTCCCCCACTAACCCCTCATCTGTTCTCACACATGCGCTCCGCATTCCCCTCGTTTCCCCCTGAATGAGTGCTTGTGTTTACATGTGGCACTCCCCCCTGCCCTTCCCTCACCTTTCCCCCACTCACCCCTCATCTGTTGTCGCCCATGCGCTCCCCGTTCTCCCTCTCTTCCCCCTGAATGACTGCTTGTGTTCAGTGCATGTCATTTGATTCCTCAGCTGTTTTATCTCGCACGTGTTTGCATGCGATGTGATTGCTGCTCGTGACTGCTGCTCGTGACTGCTGCTCGTGACTGCTGCTTGTGACTGCTGCTCATGACTGCTGCTTGTGATTTCTGCTCCTGACTTCTGCTTGTGACTGCTGCTCATGCCAGTAAAAGTCATGGTTTCCTAAACCCATGTGGCACTGTGTCTCTGTGACTGCTTACTCTAACAAGTCATTTAACTTCTCAGCTGCCTTTGTTCTGGCACGTGCTGCATGCAATGTGACTGACTGGTTTGCATTTGCAGCCACAGCAACACTCTTTGATTCCTGGTTGAAGCTTGGCTGGCTGGCTGGCTGCGTGCGATATGCCAAGAGCCACTAGTTACTGTCATTATACAACATTAGTTTCGCTCGTTTCTGCTGTTATACAACTCGTGCTTGATCAAGATATGTAGCTTGTTTGTACCTACTGTGTTTTGATACAAAATTCTCCGTACTGCCATCTCAGATGCACCAGCGATCAGCCTGCTGTGCCATTTTGTGAACCTCGTCACAGTAGTAATAAGATGTTCAATCAAGTTGGGCACCTCAGCGCTGCAAGAAGCCAAATACTGGTAGCTAGCAAAGCACCAGCTAGCAATGTAATGCATTGATGCAGTCTACACTAGACTACCCTCAAGGCTGTGCTGTCCTGAGGAGAGTTCATTACGACGGTATCTGCCTGACTGACGAGATGTGACCGTTAACTTCGCCAGAACAGAGGATTTGAAAGCATTTGGGGACTATCGCGTGATGTATTCGATTGAAATCTCTTGTTCGTGACATAGCGTATAGGATATACTGATAATCTGGGGACCCTCGCGTTTACAATGGACGATTTTATTGACCTGAGCGACGACCAATGGGAGCGTCTCGAGCGCGGCGAGAACATCTCTTCTCCAATCCGCGGCGCCGGCTGCGCCTTTGATCGCGCCGGGAATCCCGCCGGGAATTCCGCCGGTACTCCCGCCGCTGATCCCGCCGTAAATTCCGCCGGCGATTGCGGCCGGCCGATGGACCCGCGTTTGGCGCTAGAGCTAGAGGATGAGCGGGAAGACGTCGAAGCGCGTTTGCAGAAAATACAGGAGGAAGTCGAGTCGCTGCTGGAGGAGCAGGAGCAGCTAATCAAGAGACGCGAGGAGATTAACTCTCGGCTAGAGGCGTCGGCTGCGGCTGCAGCCGCGTGGGCTGCTGCTAATAACGCGAATACAAGTAACGGAGTTGTCAGTGAGAGCAAAAATGCTTCTAATAGGAACGCTGGTGGTAGTGGTGATGGCGGTGGTGCAAAATCTGAGCAAGGGGTAGCTGTGGGTGCGGGGGGGTCGAGAGGAGTAGGAGGAACAGGGGGAACAGGGGGAGCAGGAGGAGGAGCAGCAGGTGCAGCAGGGTTGGGATCGGTGGCGAGGTGGCAAGCTCCCTTTGAGTGGGACGCCCAGGTGGCTGGGATTGGGCGCGATGTGTTTGGGATCGGACGGTTCCGATCGCAGCAGAGGGAGGTAAGGGAGCAGGCTCGGAAGGCGGGCAGGGACAGGCTTTGCCCCCTTCTTCCCCTTTTCGGATCATACATGCAGTCCTGTGTAAACGAGACGTGTTTGTGATCATGCCAGCAGGGAAAGGGGGGGCAAGAGCCGTTACGACCAGCCGCCAGCACCACTGTCCCTGACTGAATCCCTCTCCTCTCTCCCCTCTCCCTCTCCCTCGCCCCTCTTTCCTCTCTCCATCTCTTCAGATCATTAATGCAGTGCTGTGTAAACGGGACGTGTTTGTCATCATGCCAGCAGGCGGGGGGAAAGAGCCGCTGCTACCAGCTGCCTGCTCTTCTCTCTGCTCTCAGCTCTCTGCTTACGCTCCCTCTCTCTCCCTTCATATCGCCTGTCCTCTCCCCCTTCCCTCATCAGATTATCAATGCAGTGTTGTGCAAGAGAGACGTATTCGTGATCATGCCAGCAGGCGGAGGAAAGAGCCTCTGCTACCAGCTGCCAGCACTGCTCTCTCCAGGCATCTCCCTGGTCGTCAGCCCTCTTCTGTCCCTCATTCACGACCAGGCGAGTGACCGTATGTAGTGTGATAACATTTGCTGCTGTGCTGTGATTATACGTACTGTGAATGTATACGGCGGAGTGACTACTCCCTCTGCTACCAGTTTCCTGCGCTGCTCTCGCCAGGCATCTCGCTGGTCGTCAGCCCGCTTCTGTCTCTGATTCACGACCAGGTGTGTGAAAAGTATGATAATTTGTAGGTAGGTAGGGTGATCGTATGATGCATGCTTGTGTGCAGTGCAGTGTGGCTCCCCTCCCGCTGCTACCAGCTGCCTGCCCTTCTCTCGCCAGGCATGTCACTGGTCGTCAGCCCGCTGCTGTCTCTTATCCATGACCAGGTGAGTGATTAGAAGAAAAATGCTGGTTATACCAAGTGTGAATGTATGCGGTCTGATCGCCTCTGCTACCAGCTGCCAGCGCTGCTCTCGCCAGGCATCTCCCTGGTCGTCAGCCCGCTGCTCTCCCTCATCCACGACCAGGTGAGTGATCACATTTAGTGTGATGTGACACAACATGCATACACTGCTCCCCCTTCTCTCCTGCCCTCCCCCACACACACAGGTCATGTGTCTCTCAGGCTTTGGCGTGCCAGCAGCCATGCTCACTTCTACAAATTCCAAAGACGAGGAAAGTGCGACTTATGCTACTCTGGTCTGGTCGAGTATTCCCCTCTCTCCTGTCCTGTCCCTCCCCCACACACAGGTCATGTGTCGGTCGGGCTTTGGCGTGCCAGCAGCCATGCTCACATCTACAACATCTAAGGAGGAGGAAAAGGCGATCTATGCCACTTTGGAGCATGGAGCATCTAACCCCCCTTTTCATGACCTCTCTCTCTTAAACCCCTGTCTGTCTCCTCCCTCCCTGCACCCCTCACACGCTCACTTATAGGTCATGTGTCTCTCAGGCTTTGGCGTGCCAGCAGCCATGCTCACATCTACAACATCTAAGGAGGAGGAAAAGTCGATTTATAACACTTTGGAACATGGAGGGGAAGGGTTGGGGGGGAGCGGCGGAGGGGGGAGGGGAAGGGGGCGGGGGAGTGCGAAGGGGGGAGGGGGGAGAGGGAGGGGGAAGAGTGTGGCAGGGAAAGCGAGTAGAGGGAGAGGGAAGGGGAGAGCGGGAGGAGGAGGAAGAGGGAAAGGGAAACGGAAGAGAGATGAAGAGGAGGAGAGTGAAGAGGAGGAGGAAGAGTGGGGGGAAGAGGATGGGAGAGAAGGTGGAGTAGCAGCATCAGCAGCAGGAGCAGGGCTGAAGCTGCTATACGTGACGCCGGAGAAGGTGGCGAGGAGCAAGAGATTTATGTCGAAACTGGAGAAATGCCACGCTGCTGGGAGGCTGAGCCTTATTGCCATAGATGTGAGTGGGTATACCAGTGGTAACCACATGGTAACCACACAGTCAACCTCACCTCGCCCTCTACCTGGTTTTCCCCCTGGTGTTTTTTCCTTCTCAGGGGGCTCACTAGTGCAGCCAGTGGGGCCATGGCTTGCGTCCTGACCATGCGCATCCCTAGGGTCATTTTGGCAGTGTTCTGCACTCCCTTCTCAACTCCCTCCTCCCTCTTCCCTTCTCAGGAGGCGCACTGCTGCAGCCAGTGGGGGCATGGCTTCCGCCCTGACTATTCTCCTCACTCCCCTCACCGCCACCATTTCCCCCCCTCCCTCTTCCCTACTCCCCCTCTTTCCACTTTCCCCTCTCAGAAGGCGCACTGCTGCAGCCAGTGGGGCCATGATTTTCGCCCTGATTATGCTCCTCGCTCCCCTCACCTCACCCCTTTTCCCTCCTCCCGCTTCCTTGCTCCACCTCTCTCCACTTTCCCGCTTCAGGAAGCGCACTGCTGCAGCCAGTGGGGGCATGATTTCCGCCCTGTAGTCAGGAGGCGCATAATTATGCTCCTCGCTCCTCTCACCACCACCACCTCCCCCCACCTGCTCCCCCTCTCTCCAATTTCCCCCTTCAGGAAGCGCACTGCTGCAGCCAGTGGGGGCATGGCTTCCGGCCTGACTATGCCCCTCCCACCCATTCACTTACCCCACACCCCTGTTCAACCCCTCCTTCCTCCTCCCCCTTCAGCAAGCGCACTGCTGCAGCCAGTGGGGGCATGGCTTCCGGCCTGACTATGCCCCTCCCACCCATTCACTTACCCCCACACCCCTGTTCAACCCCTCCTTCCTCCTCCCCCTTCAGCAAGCGCACTGCTGCAGCCAGTGGGGGCATGGCTTCCGGCCTGACTATGCCCCTCCCACCCATTCACTTACCCCCACACCCCTCTTCAACCCCTCCTTCCTCCTCCCCCTTCAGCAAGCGCACTGCTGCAGCCAGTGGGGGCATGGCTTCCGGCCTGACTATGCCCCTCCCACCCATTCACTTACCCCCACACCCCTGTTCAACCCCTCCTTCCTCCTCCCCCTTCAGCAAGCGCACTGCTGCAGCCAGTGGGGGCATGGCTTCCGGCCTGACTATGCCCCTCCCACCCATTCACTTACCCCACACCCCTCTTCAACCCCTCCTTCCTCCTCCCCCTTCAGCAAGCGCACTGCTGCAGCCAGTGGGGGCATGGCTTCCGGCCTGACTATGCCCCTCCCACCCATTCACTTACCCCCACACCCCTGTTCAACCCCTCCTTCCTCCTCCCCCTTCAGCAAGCGCACTGCTGCAGCCAGTGGGGGCATGGCTTCCGGCCTGACTATGCCCCTCCCACCCATTCACTTACCCCCACACCCCTGTTCAACCCCTCCTTCCTCCTCCCCCTTCAGCAAGCGCACTGCTGCAGCCAGTGGGGGCATGGCTTCCGGCCTGACTATGCCCCTCCCACCCATTCACTTACCCCCACACCCCTGTTCAACCCCTCCTTCCTCCTCCCCCTTCAGCAAGCGCACTGCTGCAGCCAGTGGGGGCATGGCTTCCGGCCTGACTATGCCCCTCCCACCCATTCACTTACCCCCACACCCCTGTTCAACCCCTCCTTCCTCCTCCCCCTTCAGCAAGCGCACTGCTGCAGCCAGTGGGGGCATGGCTTCTGGCCTGACTATGCCCCTCCCACCCATTCACTTACCCCCACACCCCTGTTCAACCCCTCCTTCCTCCTCCCCCTTCAGCAAGCGCACTGCTGCAGCCAGTGGGGGCATGGCTTCCGGCCTGACTATGCCCCTCCCACCCATTCACTTACCCCCACACCCCTCTTCAACCCCTCCTTCCTCCTCCCCCTTCAGCAAGCGCACTGCTGCAGCCAGTGGGGGCATGGCTTCCGGCCTGACTATGCCCCTCCCACCCATTCACTTACCCCCACACCCCTGTTCAACCCCTCCTTCCTCCTCCCCCTTCAGCAAGCGCACTGCTGCAGCCAGTGGGGGCATGGCTTCCGGCCTGACTATGCCCCTCCCACCCATTCACTTACCCCCACACCCCTGTTCAACCCCTCCTTCCTCCTCCCCCTTCAGGAAGCGCACTGCTGCAGCCAGTGGGGGCATGGCTTCCGGCCTGACTATGCCCCTCCCACCCATTCACTTACCCCCACACCCCTGTTCAACCCCTCCTTCCTCCTCCCCCTTCAGCAAGCGCACTGCTGCAGCCAGTGGGGGCATGGCTTCCGGCCTGACTATGCCCCTCCCACCCATTCACTTACCCCCACACCCCTCTTCAACCCCTCCTTCCTCCTCCCCCTTCAGCAAGCGCACTGCTGCAGCCAGTGGGGGCATGGCTTCCGGCCTGACTATGCCCCTCCCACCCATTCACTTACCCCCACACCCCTGTTCAACCCCTCCTTCCTCCTCCCCCTTCAGCAAGCGCACTGCTGCAGCCAGTGGGGGCATGGCTTCCGGCCTGACTATGCCCCTCCCACCCATTCACTTACCCCCACACCCCTCTTCAACCCCTCCTTCCTCCTCCCCCTTCAGCAAGCGCACTGCTGCAGCCAGTGGGGGCATGGCTTCCGGCCTGACTATGCCCCTCCCACCCATTCACTTACCCCCACACCCCTGTTCAACCCCTCCTTCCTCCTCCCCCTTCAGCAAGCGCACTGCTGCAGCCAGTGGGGGCATGGCTTCCGGCCTGACTATGCCCCTCCCACCCATTCACTTACCCCCACACCCCTCTTCAACCCCTCCTTCCTCCTCCCCCTTCAGCAAGCGCACTGCTGCAGCCAGTGGGGGCATGGCTTCCGGCCTGACTATGCCCCTCCCACCCATTCACTTACCCCCACACCCCTGTTCAACCCCTCCTTCCTCCTCCCCCTTCAGCAAGCGCACTGCTGCAGCCAGTGGGGGCATGGCTTCCGGCCTGACTATGCCCCTCCCACCCATTCACTTACCCCCACACCCCTGTTCAACCCCTCCTTCCTCCTCCCCCTTCAGCAAGCGCACTGCTGCAGCCAGTGGGGGCATGGCTTCCGGCCTGACTATGCCCCTCCCACCCATTCACTTACCCCCACACCCCTGTTCAACCCCTCCTTCCTCCTCCCCCTTCAGCAAGCGCACTGCTGCAGCCAGTGGGGGCATGGCTTCCGGCCTGACTATGCCCCTCCCACCCATTCACTTACCCCCACACCCCTGTTCAACCCCTCCTTCCTCCTCCCCCTTCAGCAAGCGCACTGCTGCAGCCAGTGGGGGCATGGCTTCCGGCCTGACTATGCCCCTTCCACCCATTCACTTACCCCCACACCCCTGTTCAACCCCTCCTTCCTCCTCCCCCTTCAGCAAGCGCACTGCTGCAGCCAGTGGGGGCATGGCTTCCGGCCTGACTATGCCCCTCCCACCCATTCACTTACCCCCACACCCCTCTTCAACCCCTCCTTCCTCCTCCCCCTTCAGCAAGCGCACTGCTGCAGCCAGTGGGGGCATGGCTTCCGGCCTGACTATGCCCCTCCCACCCATTCACTTACCCCCACACCCCTCTTCAACCCCTCCAAACCAAACCGTCTCAGGAGGCGCACTGCTGCAGCCAGTGGGGGCATGACTTCCGCCCCGATTATGCTCACCCCTTCTCTGCGCTCCCCTCCCGCCACTCCTTTATTGTCCCCACCCTCCCTCCTCCCTCGTTATTTCCCCCCTTTCTTAGGAGGCGCACTGCTGCAGCCAGTGGGGGCATGACTTTCGTCCCGACTACGCACATCTCCCCTCACCGCCACTTCCTGCACCCATCCTCCCCTGCCACTCCCACCTCCTGATGCTACTGATTCTTCTCAGGAGGCGCACTGCTGCAGCCAGTGGGGCCATGATTTCCGCCCTGACTACGCGCATCTTTCAGTTCTGAAAAAGCAGTTTCCCAAGACGCCCATGCTCGCCCTCACAGTGAGTCGCCTCTTATTCCTCAATTTATAAAGACTAGGAGAATAATGAGCTTTACTGTGTGCTGGTCTCATGCCCCAAACCCACTACGCACATCTGCTTCACATCTGCTTCACATGCCATGAAGCGAGCTTTTTGTCCCAGCATTCCTACCTGATCAGATCAATACCCCCTTTCCCTCTCCAACATCCCTCATTATCCCTCTCCCCCTCAAGGCAACAGCAACGGAGAGAGTGCGGGAGGACGTGAGAGACATGCTTCAGATGCGGTGAAGCGAGCTTTTTGTCCCAGCATTCCTACCTGATCAGATCAATACCTCATTTCCCTCTCCAACATCCCTCATTATCCCTCTCCCCCTCAAGGCAACAGCAACGGAGAGAGTGCGGGAGGACGTGAGAGACATGCTGCAGATGCGGTGAAGCGAGCTGTTTGTCCCAGCATTCCTACCTGATCAGATCAATACCTCATTTCCCTCTCCAACATCCCTCATTATCCCTCTCCCCCTCAAGGCAACAGCAACGGAGAGAGTGCGGGAGGACGTGAGAGACATGCTTCAGATGCGGTGAAGCGAGCTTTTTGTCCCAGCATTCCTACCTGATCAGGTCAATACCTCATTTCCCTCTCCAACATCCCTCATTATCCCTCTCCCCCTCAAGGCAACAGCAACGGAGAGAGTGCGGGAGGACGTGAGAGACATGCTTCAGATGCGGTGAAGCGAGCTTTTTGTCCCAGCATTCCTACCTGATCAGATCAATACCCCCTTTGCCTCTCCAACATGCTTCCTACCCAATCTCCCCCTCAAGGCAACAGCGACGGAGAGGGTGAGGGACGACGTGACGTGAGGGACATGCTTCAAATGCTGTGAGGCGAGATTTTTGTCCGTGCATCCCTACCTGATCAGATCAATACCCCCTTTGCCTCTCCACCATCCCTCTACCTCTCAAGGCAACAGCGACGGAGCGTGTGAGGGATGATGTGAGGGACATGCTGCAAATGCGTCGATGCGAGCTGTTTGTCTCCTCTGTCAACCGGCCAAACCTCTTCTATGAGGTGAGGTGACTGTATCGGAAGGTGACAGTAAGTAAGGGAGGATGTGTTGTGAGGGACATGCTTCAAATGCGTCGATGCGAGCTGTTTGTCTCCTCTGTCAATCGGCCTAATCTCTTTTACGAGGTGAGAATAATGGAGGTGACTGTATTGCAGATGACTGTATTCGAGATGACTGCATCAAAGGTGATTGTATCTTATCGCTCGCTTCATTCATTCTGGAGCACTATGCTCCTCAAAAGACATTTCGTTGCTTGCGCTGTCTATACCAAAGGAACCTTCTCTTCTTGTCTCTCTGTCTGCCCCTCTCAGGTGCGGGAGAAACCGGCTGGTGCAGCAGCTGCCGTGGAGTCAATTGCGTCATTCATTCTGCAGCACTACACACCTTCTGGCTTGATTCAATCCATACATCCCCTCTCTGCCCCTCTCAGGTGCGGGAGAAACCGGCTGGTGCAGCAGCTGCCGTGGAGTCAATTGCGTCATTCATTCTGCAGCACTACACACCTTCTGGCTTGATTCAATCCATACATCCCCTCTCTGCCCCTCTCAGGTGCGGGAGAAACCGGCTGGTGCAGCAGCTGCCGTGGAGTCAATTGCGTCATTCATTCTGCAGCACTACACACCTTCTGGCTTGATTGAATCCATACATCCCCTCTCTGCCCCTCTCAGGTGCGGGAGAAACCGGCTGGTGCTGCTGCTGCTGTGGAGTCCATCGCACAATTCATTCTGCAGCACTACACACCTTCTGGCTTGATTCAATCCATACATCCCCTCTCTGTCCCTCTCAGGTGCGGGAGAAACCGGCTGGTGCTGCTGCTGCTGTGGAGGCTATCGCACACTTCATATTAGAGCACTACGCGCCTTCGGACTCGGGCATTGTTTACTGCTTCTCCCGAAAGGAGTGCGAGCAGGTACAATGGGTTGGGAGCAGGTGTGGTGTGGTAGAGCGGGAACAGGTCTGCAGCTATTACTGCTGAGTCTATCCCTCACTTCATTCAACCTGGAGCACTATTCTGCTTCTGACTCTCCCTCTCTCTCTTCTCGTACCTGTTGTGACACACCCTGTCACTTTCTCCTCCCTCCCACCATTCCATCCCTGGCAACCCACCCAGGTAGCATCTGAATTGTCACTCCGTGGAATCCCTGCAGCACATTATCATGCTGACATGGACCCATCCCGCCCGCTTCTGAGGCGCCTTAATAAAGACAACTCCCCTCTTGACTCACGTCTCTCATCTCCCTGCCATCCTTCCCAGGTAGCATCTGAATTGTCTCTTCGTGGCATCCCAGCAGCACACTACCATGCCGACATGGACCCAGCTCACCCGTTTCTGAGGCACCTCAAAAGACACTCTTCCTCCTCTTGACTCATTCTCTTTCATCTCCCATCATCCTTCCCAGGTAGCATCAGAGCTGTAACTGCGTGGAATCCCAGCAGCACGTTACCACCTACCACTGACTCCAAGAAATCACGTCTCTCACTATTGTTCCCACCTACTCGCCCTCCTCCCATCATCCTTCTCACTCAGGTAGCATCAGAGTTATCACTGCGTGGCATCCCAGCAGCACACTACCATGCTGACATGGACCCATCCCATCGCACTCAAGTGCATGTGAGGTACGAAGGGGAGTGTGCTATTCTTTCCGGTACAAGGCAGGTACTAACAGCAGCGCACTACCATGCTGACATGGAACCATCCCACCGCACCCATGTGCATGTCAGGTGAGGTATATGGTGTGTTGTGCGTGGTTGCGTGAATGAGTGTGCGTGGTGTGTGTTACTTACCAGCAGCACACTACCATGCCGACATGGACCCAGCTCACCGCACTCATGTGCATGTCAGGTCAGGTACAGAGGTGGGTATATAGAAGCAGATAACAGGGAGTGGTGTGTGTGTTACCTACCAGCAGCACACTACCATGCCGACATGGACCCAGCTCATCGCACTCACGTGCATGTCAGGTACTGAGGGGGGATAGGCATTGTACATGAATATGCATGGCGGGGTGTGGATGTGTGAGTGCTCACATCCCAGCAGCACACTACCATGCTGGCATGGACCCAGCCCATCGCACCCACGTGCATGTGAGGTATTAAGACAGTGAATGATAGTGTGCTATTACGTGCAAGGAGTTACATTGCATGGGGTGTGTGAGTGTGAGCGCTACCAGCAGCACACCACCATGCTGACATGGACCCAGCCCACCGCACCCACGTGCACGTCAGGTATTGAGGGGGGGATAGGCATTGTACATGAATATGCATGGAGGGGTGTGGGTGTGTGAGTGCTCACATCCCAGCAGCACATTACCATGCCGACATGGAGCCAGCCCATCGCACACACGTGCACGTGAGGTACGAAGGGGAGTGTGCTATTCTGTAAGGTACAAGCTGGTGGGGTGTGTGAGTGAGTGCTACCAGCAGCACACTACCATGCCGACATGGAGCCAGCCCATCGCACACACGTGCAAGTGAGGTGAGGTACCAAGGTAGGTGGGTATAGTGCATGGATACACATGGGGTGTGTGAGTGGTATCAGCACAGCAGCGCACTACCATCCCGACATGGACCCTGCGCATCACACTCATGTGCACGTCAGGTAGAGAGTGTTACTTGGGCGTGTGTGACTGGGAGGGCAGTGTGGTTGCATTCTCGACCTCCAATCCTGTTTCTAATTCCCACCATACTCCTCTCTCCACTCCTTCCCTCGATTTCCCCAATCAGCTGGAGTCGGGGTGAAGTGCAAGTCATTGTGGGCACTGTAAGTGACTGGAGGAGGGAGGGAATGGGGGGAAAGAGGGAAAAGGGGGAAAGAGAGGAAAGAGGAAAGAGGTGAAGAGGGGAAGGAGGGGAAGGGATGGAAAGAGGGAAATGGGGGAGAGTTACAAACGTATGTACAAGGCAATTGCTATCTGTTGACATCTGGAAGTTTGTTTGTGTAAATCGGGTGCAGTATTTATGGCAGGTGGCATTATGTTTTGTCGGTTGTGATCTTATCAATTATGAGCATCCATGTATTTGCATGTGCATGTGTGCATGTGTGCATGTGTGTGCATGTGTGTGCATGTGTGTGCATGTGTGTGCATGTGTGTGCATGTGTGTGCATGTGTGTGCTGGTGTTTGTGCTGGTGTCATGGCAGGTGGCTTTCGGAATGGGAATAAACAAGCCTGATGGTATGCCGTGCCTTCCTGCTTGCTTTGCTGCTAACTTCAAACCAGTTTTTTTTCCTCTATGTGCGTATGTGCTTTTGAATGCGTTCTTTAAGGGTTCTAGAATCTTTTCCCTATCACCTTTGCTTTAAATTTTTTGATTATAATGCAGACAGCATGTTGGGTTTGACAAACGATTTGAAACATAGGGTCTTGTCACTCTCTCTTCCTCTCTCTTTCTCTCCCTCCCCCTCTGCAGTTCGGTTCGTCATACACCATACCCTCAGCAAGTCTATAGAGACGTATTACCAGGTAACCTGCTGTTTCAGAAGTGCCTCGAACGTTTTCGGTTTGTCATTTTCAGGTATTTCCCTTGTCCGTTTTCTGTTTTGAGTCGCCTTAAAACAATTCCAATATGTCTCAAAACACGATCTATTATTGTCATTTTCAGGTAATTGGACTGTCCGGGTGACTTTTGAGTCGACTCAAAAGTCACCTCGTTACAATGGCACAAGACACGTTTTCTTATTGTCATTTCCATCCGATTGGCCCATCGGTAATCGGTCCATCCGATTACTGTGAGATGTCCTGGTCATTTTTTAGTCGACTCAAGAGTGTCCTGGTCTATTGAGGCGCCTTTAAAGTCCTCAAAACTTTTTAGTTGACTCAAAAGCGTCCTGGTCACCGCCTCTGTCATTCGATTCTCCACTTATTTTTTCCATGTCTTTTCTTTTTCTCTCTTTTTTCCAGGAGAGTGGGCGAGCAGGAAGGGATGGGTTGCCGGCTCGCTGCATTCTCTTCTTCCGATGCGCTGACCTGCCCAGACAGGTGAGGATCCGTCAGAGGGGTGTTGCAGGATCATTCCCCACTGCCAAGACGATTGGAGGGTGACGTCTGTGCCCTAATGGTTCCTTCCCCTAGACGGTTGCGTTGTTCCCCATTCCCCCCTCTTTCTTTCCAGGGCTGCATGGACTTTACAGAAAATGCTGGTCTCATCAACTTTCAGAGTTTCGAGTCGCCTCTACTCATGTGTGCGCTAATTCTTCCTTCCCTGCGTTGTTCCCCGCTCCTGCTACCCTCTCCCTGTTCCCACCTGCTTTATTCCGCTCCTCTCTCCCCTCTCTCTTCTCCAGAGCAGTATGGTATTTGCAGAGAATGCTGGGCTCATCAACCTGTATGCGATGGGGCGGTATGCCATGGTGAGGGGGTGGGGGAGTGGGTGGGGGAGTGGGTGGGGGAGTGGGGGGGACGTGAAAAAGAGTGAGAGTGGGTGAGTGGGTGACTCGTGGTATTTGTAGAGAATGCTGGGCTAATCAACCTGTATGCCATGGTGAGTGGGAGGGGGAGTGTGTTGGTGGTTGGGGGAGTGGTGGCTGGTTGGGGGAGTGAATGTGAGGGAGTGAGTGGGTAAGTGAGTAGTATTGGCAAAGAACGCCAGGCTAATCAACCTGTACGCCATGGGGCGGTATGCCATGGTGAGTGGGTGGGGGAGTGGGTGGGGGTCTGCCCCTCCTTTCTTCAGAGCAGCATGGTATTCGCTTAAAATGCTGGGCTCATCAACCTGTACGCCATGGGGCGGTATGCCATGGTATGGTGAGTGGTTGAGAGGTTGAGTGGCTGGGATGCGATGGTGAGTGTCTGGGTGGGGGAGTGACTGAGAGATGGACCGGTGGTATTCGCAGAGAATGCTGGGCTCATCAACCTGGTACGGCATGGGGCGGTATGCCATGGTGAGTGGTTGAGAGGTAGTGGGTGGGATGTAACAAAGAGTGAGAGTGGGAAATGGACTCGTGGTATTTGCAGAGAACACTGGGCTAATCAACCTGTACGCCATGGTGAGTGGTTGAGAGGTAATGGGTGGGTGGCTCATATAGAGCAAAGTGATGTAAGAGTTGTGGTACTGGCAGAGAATGCTGGGCTAATCAACCTGTACGCCATGGGGCGGTATGCCACGGTGAGTGAGATGTGCAATGGGGTAAGTGCATGCGTGCATGCGTGCACGTGTGCACGCGTGCATGTGTGCATGCGCGCAAAGGAACGCCAGGCTGATCAACCTGTACGCCATGGGGTGGTATGCCATGGTGAGTGGGTGGGGGAGTGGGTGGGTGTGTCAGAGAATAAGTGATGCGTAGTCTTGTAGTGCCCACCTTCCCCCACACATTCCGAACCCTTTTTCCCCTTTCCACCCCTTCCCACCCCTTCACACCCCTTCCTCCTCCTGAAGAATTGTCATGCGTGTCAACTCACAGCCATCTCCAAGCAATCCTCTCCCTTCCGCACCTCTTCCCGCCCCTTTTCACCCCCTTTCATCCGTAACCACCCCTTCCCGCCCATCCTTCCTCCCAAAAAATCGCAGTGAGTGTTGATGCGACGGACGGCCACCTTCAGGCACTCTCTCCCTTCCTTACCTCTTGCCCTTCGTCACACCTTGTCACCGCTTCCCACCCCTTTTCGCCCATCCCTCCTCCTGTTAGAATCGCCGTGAGTGTCGAAGGACGGCCATCTTCAGGCACTTTGGGGAGGAGCCGAGGGAATGCGAAGGTGAGTTGGTGATACTGGTGTGGTGTGGTATGGTGTGGTGGAGTGTAGTGGGGTGCGGTATTGTACTGTGCAGGGTCTTCTCATGTCGAAGAACAGCAATCTTCAGGCACTTTGGGGAGGAGCCGAGGGAATGTGAAGGTGAGTTGGTGATACTGGTGTGGTGTGGTATGGTGTGGTGGAGTGTAGTGGGGTGCGGTATTGTACTGTGCAGGGTCTTCTCATGTCGAAGAACAGCAATCTTCAGGCACTTTGGGGAGGAGCCGAGGGAATGTGAAGGTGAGTTGGTGATACTGGTGAGATAGGGTGTGGTGGGATGTCGTGGGGTGGGGTGTGGTGGGGTGTGGTGGGGTGGAGGGTGGTGGGGTGCGGTGTGTTGGTAAGCTAGGGGAGTGTTAAGATGATTTGATTCTTCATCCCTTGCTTGTCTTTCCATCCATCCCCATCACACCCCAGCAATCAAACGCCACCCATCCACACCCAACCCCACAACATCCCACCCAGGCATGTGCGACATCTGCAGTCAAGGAGGAGGAGGGGCAGAACGAACAGCAAGCCTTGACTTCACTTTCCACTCTCGCTCCACCTCACCGCACCACACCCCACCCAGGCATGTGTGACATTTGCAGCCAGGGAGGAGGAGGGGCAGAACGAACAGCACAGCAGGACTTCACCCCACTCCCTCTTCATATCTCACTCCACCCCACCCCATCCCAACCCAAAAAACCCCAACCCACCCAGGCATGTGCGACATCTGCAGTCAAGGAGGGGGAGGAGGGGCAGAACGAACAGCACAGCAGGACTTCACTTCCCACGCTCGTTCCATCCTCGAATTTGTTCAAGAAACGCAATCGTCCAAGGAAAAATCTCTCACGCTCTTGCAGCTGACGGAGCAATGGCGGGCGGGAGGGAGGGGAGGAGGAGGTGGAGGAGGAGGTGGAGGAGGAGGGGGAAAGGGGGAATCCGAGAGTCGGGGGTCACTGGTAAAATCAATCTCGAAAGAGACAACAGAGCAGCTTATAACGCATATGCTCCTGTCGTCTGTGCTGGTGAGTAGCTTAATGACGTGGCTGCATCACAATCCGTATAATTCTTGTGGCTTTTTTAATGGCAGGGCCACGTTATATGTCTGCGTCGGTGCTCTGTTTTATTGAGATGCAGATAATGCTATCCAATCTGTGTCTGTACATGCGCAAGTGTGCGAGCGTGTGCTTGTGCATGTGTCCCATACTGTCGCAGTGTGACTATAGAGGGAGCAGTTTCAGCACTCACCATACACCACAAATACCCACCTGCTTTTGCTTGTGCATGTCCTTGTGCATGTGCTTGTGCACATTCCCCATACTGCCTCATATGTGACTATAGAGGGAGGAGTTTCAGCACTCACCACACGCCACAAACGCCTATCTGCTTTTGCATCATGTCCTTGTGCACATTCCCCTCCTGTCTCATATGTGACTATAGAGGGAGGAGTTTCAGCACTCACCATACGCCACAAACGCCTATCTGCTTTTGCGTCATGTGCTTGTGCACATTCCCCTCCTGTCTCATATGTGACTATAGAGGGAGGAGTTTCAGCACTCACCATACGCCACAAATGCTTACCTGCTTCTGCATGTGTGTGTGTGTCCATGTGCATGTGCGTGTGTGTCCATGTGCATGTGTGTGTGTGTCCATGTGCATGTGTGTGTGTGTGTCCATGTGCATGTGTGTGTGTGTCCATGTGCATGTGCATGTGTGTGAGTGTCCACGTGCATGTGCATGTGTGTGTGTGTGTGTGTGCGTGTGTGCATGTGTGTGTGTCCACGTGCATGTGCATGTGTGTGTGTGTGTGTGTGCGTGTGTGCATGTGTGTGTGTGTCCATGTGCATGTGCATGAGTGTGTGTGTGTCCACGTGCATGTGCATGTATGTGTGTGTGTGTGTGTGTGCGTGTGTGCATGTGTGTGTGTCCATGTGCATGTGCGTGTGTGCATGTGTCCCAATTCGTCGCATCTGTGACTGTCGCATGTCCTGATTTTAGAGGGAGGAGTTTCAACACTCACCGTATGCCACAAACGCCTACCTGCTTCTGGGCCGCAATGCACTCCGCGTTCTCTCAGGTGAGTTCAGGTGGCCTGTCAGGTCTGTCGGGTGGTTTCAGGTGAGCCGCGTGGACTCTCAGGCGATTTCAGGTGTGTTTCGGTGGCCTGAAAGGTTATCTCAGGTGTTGTTAGCTGACTTGATCAGGTATCTTGCGTAAAATTCCAGCAAATGATGTTGCAGCTCTCTAAGCCCTGATTACAAAAACCCAAACAAAAACAAAAATTCAATCACGAATGGAAGATAGCCAAAAACCCTTTCTTCACTCGTTGGTAACTACCTTTCCATTCCCCTTTCGTGAAACACGTCTTAATTAAGATAATTTCCCCCAATATCTAATGTTCTCTCCCTGTCGCCTACAAACCGTTACAGGTCAGGTGCGTGTTACAACGGACATCCCAAGACAAGCATCATCAACTACCCCTTATCCTCCTGTTGCTGCCTTCAACATTTTCCACTTTCAACTGTTCTCTCCCTATCCCCTACAAACCATTACAGGTCAGATGCGCGTTACAATGGACATCCCCAAACAAGCAACAACAACTACCCCTCATCCTCCTGCTGACCCAAGCGTTTCAACTGCACCATCCACCACTATCACAAACACCACAACTGCTACGACTGCAGCCACTGCTGCATCTGACGCAAAGCTCTCCCGCCGTCTCGACCAACTGCGTCGCTCCGTTGCCTCTCAACACGGCGGGTTGTTCCCCCATGCAGTGCTCTCCTCACACCACCTCTTCGCCTTGTCACAATCGAAACCAGCATCCATGCATCAGGTACGGGCCCTCTAATACCTACCTTCATATCTCCATCGCCGCACAACAAGGCGGGTTGTTTCCCCATGCCGTGCTTTCCTCACACCACCTCTTCGCACTCTCTCACTCCAAGCCAACAACCTCGCCTCAGGTACTGGCCGCTTTCATTCTAGTCACAGTGTTACACTTCTTCTACTCACCAGATTGCCTACTTTCAGAGAGCATGCATGTGCAACACACGTTATTCTATTTTACATATGAACGTGGTGTATTTCCACGACACTTATTATAATATCTCTTCACCTCTTTCCAACTCCTCCCTCCACAGTTGGTGGAAATTATTGGGCAGAGACGAGCAGATCAATTTGGGGATCAGATCTTGGCAATCATTGCTGAGCACGTGGAAAGCACACGCCAGGCCAAAAGGGATGATGATTCACTCCCTGGCAATGACGTTGCTGAAGCTGATGTAGCAAGGAAGCTATCCGGGGTGGAACATGATGGAGGTGAGACAACGGAAGGTGTTACTACGACAATGCCTGAAGCTAAGGAAATGGGAGGCACCAACAAGGCCTCTTTTGGAGGGAAAGAGCTCCCAAAGCCCAGAAAACGAGGTGGAGGGCGTGTTCTTCCGTTAAGTCTAACTAGGGGTAGATAATTGGTTTCTATGGTAGCAAGGATACATATGCTGTATATCGTGTGCAATGATTAAGTGTAGCTGCGATGGCTAACGAAGCTGCTTCTCTAATATCATATCCCATGTGTGCGACTCTTCCTCGGAAACTCCTGGGCGCCGATGCTTCCAACGCGAACGTTCGCGAGCACGCCAGCTCTGTCGCCACGCATTCGCACATTCCACGACCTTGCGGATTTCGCCAAATCCCGGTCGCATGCGTCAGCAAGCCAGAAACAGATTGGTGCCCAGCCTAATCTTCGGCTCAAATAACAACCACTATTTCTCCGGTCTAGTCTGGCATTGTCATCCAACATTGGCTCCTCGGCCCTCACATTATTTTTTCGCATCCTCTCTCTCGCTTTACCCGCTGCCGCTGCTCCTTCCACTCTAACAGCACCTGGGTGAGATGGTTACCACGGCTTTTACCGGCGTTTCGCCGCTGCGGACGGTCCTTGGGTTGCGGACGGCGCTGCGTTGTCGAGCCACCACCCCGTCATCATCCTCCCGCTTCGTTTTCCCTAGTGCTTCTCTTCGCACCGTTGCGGCGGTTCCCGTATCCGCGTTAAGAGCAGACCCGAAGGATCACAGCAAGGCGCCGTCGTCAGTTTTCACCTCTCTTACTTCACAGTTTATCGTAAAGCTACGCAACCACCACGGTCACCCGAATCCCCTAAAAATGGGGGGAAGTTTATCCTCCAATAGCAAGCAGGACCCGCTTCTCCCGTTCGCTGGTCCGTCCCCCCCAGGCAGCAGCTCCGGTGACAATCCCGAGGCTGACGACCAGACCTCCGACCCAGCTTCGGCAGCCTCCGGACCAGCCCTCAGCGCGGAAGAAAAGCGTCGCCAGAAGCTTCGGGATAATATGTTCAAAGGCGGCGAGTTGGGGAAGCGAGGGGAAGAATACGTGGTGATCCAGATGCTACTATTCGCAGGCATCGTTTTCCCGCCGGATTTCCTCTTCTCTTCCTTCCTCCCTCTCACGTTTTTCGAATCGAGCGACGTTTGGTATTTAAACTACGTTATTGGAGCCGCGTTACTAGGTATTGGCGGCTGGTTCTCTTCTAACGCAGTCAAGGATCTCGGGACGAATCTCTCTCCTTTCCCCAAGCCGCCGACGGATTCGGAGCTGGAAACTGGGGGAACGTACGCGGTAGTGCGTCACCCGATATACAGTGGCGCGTTACTGGTCGCATCAGGTTTAACCCTCCTTACATGCAGCACAGGGCGGGGTATTTTGACCGTTTTGCTGATGGTTCTGTTTGACAAGAAGGCAGCAGTGGAAGAAGGATTTCTGACTGATAAGTATGGCCGGAAGTATGAGGAGTACAAGCAAAAGGTGAAGAAGCTTATTCCATATATTTATTAGTCGTTGCAATACTTGCATCTGCCACAGCTGCATATGCTAGCTGTGCATAGGAGTTGCATCTACCAGTTGTTAGTGCAGGGTTGGGTTGAGCTCTGCTGCAGGCTTCTCGGTGGAATTCTCAGCCCTACCTAGGGCCGAGGTGCGTTTATGAAGAGGTGAAGGGGCAAAATCGAAACATGTACGGTATTCTCAAAACCGGGAAGAGCACATTTGTTGTGTGAACTGAGTGGAAGCAGTACCTTTTGGGGCACTTCAATTGTTGCGTGATGTGTGTGGAGTGGAATGAGATGGGAAGTTGGGGAAAAATAAAAAGAAAACATAAAGAAGGTTTTGACCAGTCAACCAGCTTCGGTGTAGTTGTGCCATAATCGAATTCTCCTAAAGCATCGAGTGCGAACTTCTATGATTTCGCATACAGTATTTTGCCGCGTTTTCGCACTTGCAATCGACATGGCCGAATTCGCCTCGCCAATCTTGAATTTCGCGTGCATCAACCGAGAAGCGGCAAATTCCTGTCCCGTAGTGCCTGCCAGCCCAGCAATATTCTCTTCGCCTCGCATGAAATATACCTCGTAGACTCCAGTCTAGAGCTCTCGTTTCAGATTCCGCAAATGCTTTATCAGACTTCGCCTTACGTCCGTGATAATTCCATATCTGCTTCATGCTTCAAGTCAACAGCTTGCCTCTCCGTACACTAAGCCCCTAAATCCCTCCTTTTTTCACAGCAGTTTACTGCGCGGATGGTTACACGAGCCGTAACCACAGCTATTTTCGCCACTTCGCCGATGCGAACGTTCGTCAAATCACCATCGTCATCGTGTTATCCACCTTCGACCTTCATATTGTCCTCCAGCCTTGTTTCCCCGATCTGTCTTCATCATACGTTTAGATCTGCGAGTGCTGGAAGTAAGAAGCCGCCATCAAAAATCGCCTCTCCTGGTTCCCCGCAGCTCCTACAGTCATCTAATCACCACAAGCGTCCGCACTCCCTGAAAATGCGGAGTAACACCTCTTCCAAACGCGAGACTGATCCGCTTCTCCCATTCGCCGGTCCGTCTCCCCCGGGAAGCAGCTCCAATGAAGATCCCGAGGCTGGTTCCCGAACCTCCGAACCAGCTTCGGCAGCCTCCGGACCTGCTCTCAGCGCGGACGAGCAGCGTCGGCAGAAGCTTCGGGACAACTTCTTCAAAGATGATGGCGAGTGGGGAAAACGCGGCGAGATTTACGTTGTTCTTCAATTCCTGATTTTCGCCGGCATTGCTTTTCCACCTGATTTCCTCTTCTCTCACTTCATCCCAGGCTCGTTTTTCCAGCCGAGCAAGATCTGGTATTTGAACTACGTTATAGGTGCCGCGTTAGTGGGTATTGGTGTTTGGCTATCTAACAAGGGGGCTAAAGATATCGGGACGAATCTTTCGCCTTACCCCAAGCCGCCGCCGGATTCGGAGCTGGAAACTGGGGGGCTGTTCGCGGTAGTGCGTCACCCGATATACGGTAGCGCGTTACTGATCGCATCTGGTATTACTCTCCTTACAAACAGCACAGGACGGGGTATCATGACGGTTTTGCTGCTGGTGCTTTTTGACAGGAAGGCGACAGCGGAAGAGGGTTACCTGATTGAGAAATTCGGCCAGAGGTACTTGGAGTATAGGGAAAGGGTTAAGAAGCTCATTCCGTATGTGTATTGATAATCTCAGTGAGGGAGGATTCTTCCTTGTTTATAGCTTGGGCCGCATGCAGCAGGATGGGTACTGAGACAGGGTGACGGGGTTTATTCAACTGGGAGAGGGTGATGGGATGGGAATTCTCTGTGCCTGTTTGAAACTATGATTTTATCCTTCTTACCAACAGTATGTTCAGTGTCTTTCATTCTTACCGGTGCTGATTTAGTGAGGAAGACGGGTGCCCTAGGAGAATGTTTGTTTCTCCATCCTCCTTGTGGGGGTACCAACATACCCATTGGTGGAGCTGTTGAGCTGATTTCCTCAACAGTTGCTAATTTATGAATGATGGTCGGCAGTCACCTACATATTATAGGACAAGGCTTCGACAGGAAGCAATGAGTGCATGGAGTGTGATGCAAATCATGATGTCTCAAGCTGCTAGCTTCCAGTATTCCCCAAGCCAGGTATTGCTACCACACCAAGAAACACCAACAAGAGATGTATCCCTCAATGTCAAATGATGGTAGCCTGTAGTGAGGGGGTACGTATGTTAGGGTTTGCTACTTGTACCCCAACCACCATCAATGAAACAACACTTGTGATTTTGACATGGTATCACCTAGGTTAGGATCCTGTAGGATCCCGTTCCTCCCGTTCACGTACGTTCCGCCCGAGCCTGTTCCGCACGTTCCGCTCGTTCCGCCCGTTCCGCTCGTTCGTTAGTGCCTGCTACGCCGACCCGCCTACCGTGTAGCGTCGCGCTCTCCCTCCCTTCTCGTCGCGTCGCCCCCCACTCGCTGCCCGTCGCGTCGCGCTTTCCCCCCGCTGCCCGTCGCGTCGCGTCGCCCCCCCCCGCTGCTCGTCCGCTGCCCGTCGCGTCGCGTCGCCCCCTCCCCCCCTCGCTGCTGTTGGAAACAATAAGACCTAAGCGCTTCAGTCGTGTCGAAAACACCGCATCAGAAGCGAGGCAAACTACACCGAAGCACCCGCGAGTCAACCCTCGGAGGTTGAAGAGGTTGCTGGAGGTTACGCGAAGGTCAAAGGTCGCTGACCTTTGACCCGACAAGTACAGCGCGACAGTTAAGGACATACAACTGACTCGTTACAGAGCAGTTGCCCGAGTCGCACTGTATCGCCCCGCAACAGCAACAGTAAAAGTAGTTATAACCGTATCCTTTGATATTCCTTACACCACTATATATTCTTGTACTTTCCTGTTATAATTAATCTACTTTGCCCTCACATACTAGCGCAAGGTGGTTCACAATTACTTCACTAAAAGCTTCCGCTATTACAATTGTCCTACCCAGAGTTCTCCCCTGAAAAGATCCTAAGGGGCTATCTCAGCCCAACAGCTGCCCGTAGCGTCGCGCCACCCGCCCGCTGCCAGTCGCGTCGCGTCGACCCCCCGCCCGCTGCTCGTCGCCCCGCGTCGCCCGCCCACTGCCCGTCGCGTCGCGTCGCGTCCCCCCCCCCCCCCCCCCCCCCCCCCCCCCCCCCCCCCCCCCGCTGCTCGTCGCGTCGCGCCGTCCCCCGCGCGACTGCCCTTAGCGCCGTCCCCCACGCGGCTGCCCTTAGCGCGGCTGCCCTTAGCACCCGTCACGTCGCGCCAGGCCTATCCGCCCGCCCGCGCGTCCCTTCGCCCGCTCGCCCGCTGCGCCCGTGCCTCCCTTTCTCCCTGCGTGCTTGCTTGCCGTGTTGGCCGCCACGCCACCGAGTGTTACCACGCCACCTCGTTTTCCTACTGCCTAAGCTATTCCGTCGGTTTTAACGATGGCGACTCCGCGTGTTCTTCGCTTCGACGCTGACGGTAGACCCCTTGACTTTTCGCTCTGGCTTCTGCGCGCTCGCCGTCAGTTAGAGAGTCAGGTCCAGTCAGGCGAGACCCTCTGGGCGCACGCTGCTGGTGCCCTCCCTGCGCCCCCCGACCCTACGCCTTTAGGCCCTGCCCCTGACGACGCTGCTAGAGCCCTCTTTGCTAGCCAGCGCGCAGACTTGACAGCTTGGACGTCTCGTGACGCTGCGGCCTGCATCGCGCTCAGCACCCTCCTCCCTGAGTCTGAGGAGGCTCACTTTGCTCAGGTTCGCACTGCTGCTGAGTACCTGACTGCGATTAAGGCCCGCTACTCCACTCCTGCTGCTGTCTCTCTTGGCCGCCTTTTCCTCCCGTTCCTGTTCCCTGATCTCGCCTCATTTGAGCGCTCTGCTGACTTGATTGCTCACCTCCGCTCGCTCGACTCTAGTTACCGCGCTGCTTGCACTGAGGCACAGCTTGCACTGCTTCCTCCTCCCATGGCGATTACTATCTATTTTATCGCCACTAGCCTCCCCGACCGCCTTGCCTCCGTTCGTGACGCGCTTCTCCTGAAGCACCCTAGTGAGCTCACTGTTGACGTCCTTGAGTCTGCACTCAAGGACGTCGAGAGCAACCTCCGCTCCGTCGCCGCTGCCTCTGGTGCTGTGCCCCCCCCACTCTTCCACGGGTGCACAGTCCCGCAGTTGCCCACCTTTACTGCCTCTCTCGCCACTGCCGCTACTGACGCGACCGCAGCTGCTGTTACGACTTCGTCGCGGTCCCGCGGTAGGGGTGGCAAGAGGGGCGGTGCTGGCGGCGGCGTTGGTGGAGGCGGAGGTAGTGGGGGTGGCGTTGCGACTGGCGGTGGTGGGAGTGCAGGGCCTGGAGAGACGTCTCGTGCAGCGACCGGTGACTCCACTGCGACTGCTGGTGGTGGCGACGCCCGCGTTCGTCAGTCGCCCCCTGTACTGCCAGCCCCGGTGGGTGGAGCAGCGGCGTGGTACCGGGCCCAGCGTCAGCAGCAGCAGCAGCCCCTCTCCTCCCAGCAGCCTCCGCAGCAGCAGCGGCCGCAGCTGGCTTCGGGGTCGGGGCCGCGTCAGCCGCAACGTGGTACTGTTTACCCTCCCTGCGCCTATCAGGTTCTGACAGGTGCTCGCCGGGGCCACCCTTGTGGCCGCCTTCACCCCCCTGGTCAGTGTTTTGCTCAGCTCACTGACACGGTTCGTTTGGTTTACGGGGTTGGCGGTCCTGCCCCTGACTGGTTTCCCCTTGTTCAGCGTTACGGTTCCGCTCTGTGGGACATGTCTGCCGAGCAGTTAGCTGATCTGATTGGAACTCCTCATGCTATGTATGCTGTTGTTGACTCTAGTGTTTCTGACTCTGTTTACTCTGGTGTTGTTAGCTTAGGTACTAGCCTTGCTCAGTTGCCTGTTGCTAGTGTAGGTTCTTGTGTAGACACTAGTCCAGCGGCTACCTCGGAGGACGCTTCACTGTCTTTCACGCTGGACTCTGGAGCCTCGCACTGCTTCTTTCGTGACAGCACGACACTTACGCCACTTCCTGCGCCTGTCTCTGTGGCGCTGGCTGATCCCACCTCGGGACCAGTCACTGCGCGTCACACTACCACTTTGCCGTGTCCTGCTGCTCCCTCCGGGTCTCTCACTGGGTTTCATGTCCCCTCGTTCTCCCGGAACTTGGTGGGCCTTCGACCCCTCGTGAGTCAGCACGTGGGTGTGTGGTTTGAGCCTTCTGGGGAGACTGCGGTGTGTGTTGACGGGGACTCTTACCAGCCTCTGGCCACCTTTGCTGCTGAGCCGGGCTCCGGTCTCTACACTCTTCACACTGGCCCGCGTGCACGGCAGCGGCCGCAGCAGCAGCAGTAGCAGCAGCCGCATCAGTCGCCACTGCCGCAGCAGCAGCAGCAGCCGCAGCAGCCGCCGTCGCAGCAGCCCCTACTCCCAGTCCCAGTCCCTCCCCCTAGTCTCCTCCCTGCGTCTCACCAGGTGGTTACGTCCCCTCAGGTAGTCGCGTCCAGTCCAGTCGCTGCGTCTTGCTCCTGCCGGTCACTTGCCCACCCCACCGTTCTGTGGCACCACCGGATGGGACACCCTTCTCTTCCACGTCTGCGCGCTATGTCTAGTCAGCGTCTGGTCTTAGGTCTCCCGCGTGTCTTGCCGTCGCTGCCGCCGTCCCTTGCACCACCGTGCGGTCCTTGCGTCGAGGGTCGGCTGCGCGCCACCCCTCACACCACGGTGTTCCCCCTGGCGAAGAAGTCTGAGGTGACTTCTACGCTGATCAGGTGGTTGCTCACCACCGCGGACACTCGTGGTCGTCGTGTCAGCTGTCTTCACTCCGACCGCGGGGGTGAGTTTCGCTCCGGCATTCTCGCTGGATTCTGTCGCGAGCAGGGCATTCGTCAGTCCTGGACGCTTCCGGAGTCCCCACAGCAGAATGGGGTTGCTGAGCGCCGCATAGGCTTGGTCATGGAGATCGCCCGCACCTCCCTGACTCACGCCCGTGCCCCCCATTTTCTGTGGCCTTACGCGGTTCGGTACGCCGCGCACCAGCTGAACCTCTGGCCACGCGTCTCTCGGCCAGAGGCTTCGCCGACCAGTCTTTGGACCGAGTCTCCTGGTGTTGCGTCGAGGTTTCGTGTCTGGGGTTGCTTGGCTCTTGTCCGCGACACCTCTGCGGACAAGCTCTCGCCTCGCGCCGTTCCTTGTGTCTTCCTTGGTTTCCCTGAGGACTCCTCTGACTTCACCTTTTACCACCCTCCCTCTCACCGGTTCTTTGACTCCCGTGACGTCCGTTTCGAGGAGTCCACCCCGTACTACGTCAGGTACCCCAGTCGAGGTCTCCCGGTTCCTCCTCCCCCCCTCTTCCTGACTGCCGCTCCCCCTCCTGCTCCCCCGGTACAGCCTCCCCCCCCTGGTCCAGCCCCGTCAGGTGTGTCCCAGGCTACCCCTCCTCCTTCGGTAGCCCCTCCGGTACAGCCTCCCTCCCCACAGTCCTCCTCGCAGCGTGCCGCAGGTGCTAGCTCTCGAGAGGTTGGTGCCGAGCCTGTTCCTGTACCGGTTTCTGGTTCTGGGGGTGCTGGAGTTGGAGCTGAGCCGGTGGGTGCAGAGGACTCTTGTCTTCCGGGAGCTGGTGCTGGTCGCGCGGACACTGGGGGTGCTCCGTCTGGGGGTGAGGGTGCGCCTCCTTCGGGTTCTGGTGAGCCTGGGTCTGGAGCTGGTGTTAGTGCTGCCTCTGGGGGTGGTGCGCCTGGTCCTTCGGGGGTGGACTCTGGAGCTGCCGCTGCTCCGGACACTACTCCGCCCCCCCACCCCTACCCGACTAGGCACCAGGCTCGTGTTCGCCGTGCCCGTGAGGAGCAGCTGGCGTTGGAGAGAGAGGAGAGGGAGTTACAGCGGCTGGAGGAGCAGCAGCAGCAGCTGCAGCAGCAGCAGCACCAGCCGCAGCAGCAGCAGCAGCAGCCACTTCCTCCTCCTGTCTCGGGTCTTCGGACCCTTGGTCTCCCCTCTCCTTCTCCTCCCTCCTCCGCCTCTCCTCCTGTCTACGGTCCCACGTTTCCTCCTCCTGACTCCTCCCCCGCTGTTTTCCCCAGTTCTCCGCCTTTGTCCTCTCCTCCTCCGTCTCGTACTTGGGCTACTCGTCGCTCTCCTCGTGCTCGACCCTCGTCCCCTATCCCTTTCACTGACCTTCGTACTGTCTTGTTACGTTCTAGTCCGTCTCGTTCGGCTCCTCCTGTGCTTCCTTCTCCTCCTGAGTCGGCCCTCACAGCTTCTCTCTCTACCCCTGTCACTGACTACTACCGCACGTACCGTCCTGTTCTCTCTCGTGTTCTCGCCTCTCTTGTTACTCACCCTCGTGCCTCTTTGTCCTCTGTCTCCGCTCTTACTGCCGCGGTCACTGAGTTTGCCTCTACTCGCCGCCTTGACTACGCCACCACTCTTGTGGCTGCTCCTCCTACCAGTCCTCTGGCCGTCAGGGGTGTGTCTGCCCTTGGCTGTGACGTCCTAAAGGACAGGCAGTTTGAGCTAGAGTTCCTGGCAGCCGCTTCCCCTCATCTCTGTGCCATGCTCCTCACCCCTGAGGGTGACCCCGACGCCCTTGACATTCCGACTCCTCGCACTTACGCTGAGGCAGTGTCAGGGCCTTGGGCCTCTCAGTGGAGAGCTGCCTTGGGAGACACCGTCCTGTTCACTGGACAGCAGCTGTGAGGGTGGCGAAGTACCTAGCGACGACATCAGGCGTGGGGCTAGTTCTTGGAGGGCAGCAGTCTGTTGTACTTACTGGTCACTGTGACTCTTCTTACGCTGACGACGCTAAGACTCACAGGTCTACTCAGGGGTACTGTTTCAGCCTGGGTTCTGGAGCTGTTTCCTGGCGGTCCACGCGCTCCTCTTCGGTCTCGACCTCTACAACTGAGGCTGAGATCTACGCTGGTGCCATGGCGGCACAGGAGCTGCGTTGGTTGATGTTCTTGCTCGCCGACCTGGGCGAGCGGCCGAGCTCTGCACCGACCTTGTTCACTGACAACAAGGCATCCATTCTCCTTTGTCGAGAGCCGCGACTGGAGAGCAGAGTGAAGCACATTAACGTCAGGTACTTCCTTCTGCGAGAGTTGCAGAGGCGTGGACAGGCTCGCTTCGAGTTTGTGGAGTCTGAGGCCAACACTGCAGACATCTTCACCAAGGCGCTTCCGCCTTGTGACCACCACATGTGTTGTGTGCAGTTAGGCCTTGTTGACACTGGTTTTCGGCTTACTTAGTCTTGAGTTCACTACTTGCTTTGCTTGTGCCATCACTTTCTATATATCTCTGTTATTGCTTGGACTGGCCTTGTGCTCAGAGTTTGTGGTGACGTTGTGATCCACCCTGAGCTTTGTTTCTTTGTGACTGGTCTTATGACCGTACTCTTTTGGTTTTGCTAGACACCCCTCACTTAGGCTATGGGGGTGTGTCAAATGATGGTAGCCTGTAGTGAGGTGTATCTTAGGGGGTACGTATGTTAGGGTTTGCTACTTGTACCCCAACCACCATCAATGAAACAACACTTGTGATTTTGACACTCAAATGCACTGTAACAGCATGCTCAACATGACATATTTCTCCTGTGAAAGCCATCCTATTTACTCCAACAAAATTCGCGCGTAAGAGAGTGGTCATTGTCGAACAAACAACAGACTCAAGCAGCAGTGGACTTGGCCAACAGCTGCCGCAGCACGAAGTGCAGAATGCCCCCGTGATTGTAGTAGGCCTTCTCAAGCTGCACGCACACAGGGAGAACAGACACACGCAGAGAGAGTGAGAAACTTTTCCATGGGATGAACAAAACAGTAGACCACTTGCAGTTGCAAGTCATTGACCTGCAACCTGCACTTTTATTCAGTCCGACCCTCGTTACCGGCAGTGGCAACATGCACTTCTTGGCCGGACTGCATCCAAATGACAGGTAGCAGGGAGGAGAAATTCTTCCTGGCTCACGGGCTTGCTGAAGCATGCTCTTGCTGTCCATATGTGTACACCTGTGTATTTCCACGACTCACCTCCGTGTCGAAGCCGAGAGTGCATGTAAAGCTCTTCCCATTGTCAGTGGAAACAACCACGTCTTGCCCGAGCCGGACCTGATCCACCGGCGGCAGCGAGAAGGAGAATCCACTACCAAACCCCCCCACCTCCTTGCCTTCAGGCCTTTACATGTATACTTTGTGTGCCTACGTTACGAGGCGTCTCAAAACAGGCCCCACACCTTCTTCCCATTGGGCCTTTACATGTATACACTCTGTGTGACTACGTTACTCACCTCAGTATCGAACCGCAGAGTGCATGTGAAGCTCTTCCCGTTGTCAGTTGAAACAACCACGTCCTGTCCGGGCTGAATCTGATCCACCGGCGGCAGCGAGAAGGAGAAGCGCTCCTTTCCAGTCAGCCCCAGTGTCTCGGCATTTTGGCCGGGCTTGAAGCAGAGCGGGATGATGCCCATCCCCACCAGGTTGCTGCGGTGAATGCGCTCGAATGAGACGGAGATGACGGCTCGCACTCCCTGGGAGAAGGTGACAGAGAGGTAAGGTGGCAGTGGCACAAGGAAACGGGCAGGGGAAGGATGAGGGCAGAAGGTGGAAGGTGAGGTGAGAGGGTGGAAGAAGGGAGAAGGAGAATCGCTCCTTCCCAGTGAGCCCCAGCGTCTCGGCGTTTTGGCCGGGCTTGAAGCAGAGCGGGATGATGCCCATTCCCACCAGGTTGCTGCGGTGAATGCGCTCGAAGGACACAGAGATGACGGCTCTCACTCCCTGTAGGTGTGTATGACAGGGCAGAAAAGCAAGGGGCGAGAGTGAGGGAGAGCAGTGAGAGGCTTGAAGCAGAGCGGAATGATGCCCACTCCCACCAGGTTAAGTGGTCGATGCACACAAAAGGGACCCCCAATCACAACCTCGCGTTTACAAGGTTTTAGCCTCACAGTTCATCGCCCTACCTGCAGGTACGGTCCCTTGGCAGAACAGTCATGGGACACAGTCCAGGTATCTCACAGTACAGGCACCTAAAAAATCATTTACGAGCTTTTAGCCTCACAGTCCATTGCCCTACCTGTAGGTACGGCCCCTTGGCAGCCCAGTCACGGGAAGAGCCGCTTCCATACTCCGCACCCGCCAGAAGTGTCCTGGCGAATTGCTGTACATTTTAGGCACCTCAACAGCACTCATACACTCGCAGTTCATCGCCCTACCTGCAGGTACGGTCCCTTGGCAGCCCAGTCACGAGACACAGTCCAGGTATCTCACAGTGCAGGCACCTAAAAAATCATTTACGAGCTTTTAGCCTCACAGTTCATTGCCCTACCTGCAGGTATAGTCCCTTGGCAGCCCAGTCAGGTGAAGAGCCACTTCCATACTCGGCCCCTGCCAGAAGTGTCCTGGCGAATTGCTGTGCATTTATTTGAGGCACCTCAAATGTACGCACACCTACGCCTTCCATTGCCCTACCTGCAGGTACGGTCCCTTGGCAGCCCAGTCACGGGAAGAGCCGCTCCCATACTCGGCCCCTGCCAGGACAATCGTGGCATGCCCCTCCGCCTTGTACCTCTGCTCATGGGCACACAGAAGGAAAACAACACATACAGACAAACACACATTGGACAGCGACAGTGACAAAAAGCTTCCATACTCTGCCCAACGCGCGTTTGTCCAGCGACAGCGACAAGCCAGCATGATTGTAGAATGCCCCTCCGCCTCGTACCCCGTCTTGATTCCTACCACGCCCCCAGTCGGCTTGTTCACCACTTTGCCTCTTCTAAATGGTTACCCTGTTACACTTCGCTAGTAACCCTATTTCCACTCACCATGGCAGCATCAAAGACGCTCATCCTCTCCCCTGAAGGCAGGTGCACCGTCTTGGGGCCCACCTCCCCCCCCATCAGCTTGTTCACCAGCCGGATGTTGGCAAACCTATCTCTCCCTGCTGGTAACCCTGTTACACCCTGACAACCCCACTCACCATGGCGGCATCAAAGACGCTCATCTTCTCTCCCGAAGGCAGGTGCACCGTCTTGGGCCCCACCTCGCCCCCCATGAGCTTGTTCACCAGCCGAATATTCGCAAACGTGCCGCGGGTCATGACCTCGTCGTTGCCCCGCCTGCTGCCGTAAGAGTTGAAGTCCTTCCTGGCTACTCCCCTTTCTGTGAGATACTTCGCCGCAGCGCTGTCCTTGTGGATGCTTCCTGGAGCACACAGGGGGGAACAAGGTGGGAATTTGGAACAGACATATTGGCAAACGTGCCGCGAGTCATGACCTCGTCGTTGCCCCGCCTGCTGCCGTACGAGTTGAAGTCTTTTCGCGCCACTCCACGTTCCGTGAGGTACTTGGCAGCAGCGCTGTCCTTGTGAATGCTGCCTGGAGCACAGGAGGGGAGGATAGGTTGGAGATTGGGAACAAGGATGCGGGTCATGACCTCGTCGTTGCCCCGCCTGCTGCCGTACGAGTTGAAGTCCTTCCTGGCTACTCCCCTTTCTGTCAGGTACCTGGCCGCAGCGCTGTCCTTGTGGATGCTCCCTGCAGCATATAGGGGGTTAAGATAGGTTGGAGATTGGGGACAAGGATGCGGGTCATGACCTCGTCGTTACCCCGCCTGCTGCCATACGAGTCGAAGTCCTTTCGTGCCACGCCACGCTCCGTGAGATATTTGGCAGCAGCGCTGTCCTTGTGGACGCTCCCTGCAGCATAGAAAGGCGCACAGGGGCACAGGGAAGGGCACAGGGGCACAGGGAAGGGCACAGGGGCACAGAGAGGGACACAAGGACGTGCCGCGGGTCATGACCTCGTCGTTGCCCCGCCTGCTGCCGTACGAGTTGAAGTCCTTTCGGGCCACTCCCCTTTCTGTGAGATACTTGGCTGCAGCGCTGTCCTTGTGGATGCTCCCTGGAGCACAGGCAGGGAGAGGCGCGCAGGGAGGGAATGGGACCAAAATCAACCTGACTGAAACCCACCTGCGGGCGAGATGTGGTCGGTGGTGATGGAGTCCCCGAGGTTGAGCAGGCAGAAGGCCTCCTTCACGTCCTTGCCACCCCACAACCCCAACACCAACCCTCACTGTAGACACATATATACCACACATAGAGCACATACACACTCACACTCTCCTTGTCTCTCGTACCCACCTGCGGGAGAGATGTGGTCAGGTCAGTCGTAAGTCGCCTAGGTTGAGCAGGCAGAAGGCCTCCTTCACGTCCTTGCCACCGCACAACCCCCAACACCAACGCTGACCGTAGCACACATATAGCACATACACACTCAACACACAACCACCCTAACACCGTCTCACTGCCTCTGCTGCCCACCTGCGGGGGAGATATGGTCAGTCGTAATGGAGTCCCCAAGGTTGAGCAGGCAGTAGGCGTCCTTCACGTCCTTGCCACCGGGGGGGTCGCGGGGAAAGTTCTTGAAGTAGGGCGGGTCGTGGATGTAGGTGGAGGACGGTTCCCAGCGGTACAGAGGCTCGTTCTCCGCAGGCAGGCTGTTCCAGAGCGCGTTGGTGGCGCCCTCCTTCACTGCCTTGTAGACCGACTGGAAGAACTGAGGAAGAACCGCGCGCTCCACGACCTGTCAGGGATCAGGGTTTGAGTGTTAAGCGTTTTAGAGTGGTGAAAATGGGGAATAGAGGGGTGGTGAGGGGTTGAAGAGCGCGTTGGTGGCGCCCTCCTTGACTGCCTTGTAGACTGACTGGAAGAACCGAGGGAGGACTGCGCACTCCACCACCTGCCAGGGATTAGGATTTGGGGATTAGGATTTGGGGATTAGGATTTGGGGATTAGGATTTGAGGATTTGGGGATTAGGATTTGGGGATTAGGATTTGGGGATTAGGATTTGGGGATTAGGATTTGGGGATTAGGATTTGGGGATTAGGATTTGGGGATTAGGATTTGGGGATTAGGATTTGGGGATTAGGATTTGGGGATTAGGATGAGGGATTAGGACAGCACCTCTTTTCCCTGATTGTGCATGCCGGCAGGCTTATGTGTGAGAAGCTGATGGGTTTTCAACAAGGATTTTTGCAAGGTCAGGTGACAGGATTCAGGATCCCTGATGCACGCACCTCTGCCACCTCCTCGTTGCTGGGCCAGATATCCTTCAGAAACACCTCGTTGCCATCCATTGACTCCTACAAATATGCATCTACCATATAGAAGAGGCTAAACCAACCATATCATCAACACGCACGCACCTCTGCCACCTCCTCGTTGGAAGGCCAGATGTCCCTCAGGAAAACCGCATTGCCATCCCTGTCCGTGCCGATGGGCTCCGTCTCAAAGTCTATGTCCACCTGAGGGGGATGGATGGACCATGCATGCAGGGAAGAAAGAGTGGGGGGCCTCAATAGTTGGAAGGGCCTGGTGGGGCTTGTGTTGACAGACGTCTCTGTCTCGGAGGAGGAGCACCTCCTTGCCATCCCTGTCCGTGCCGATGGGCTCCGTCTCAAAGTCAATGTCCACCTGTAATGGATGGATGAACCACGCCAGGGGAGAAAGAGTGGAGGGGATTGGTATTGAGTAGAGCTTGGTGAAGCTAGTGTTGACTGGTGTCCCTCAGGAACACCTCTTTGCCATCCTTGTCCGTTCCGATGGGCTCCGTCTCAAAGTCTATGTCCACCTGTGAATGTGGTCACAAAATGACCGTATGAAATTTGTGTGTTTGTGGCAATGAAGGGGGTGGGAGTGAGTGATACAGGAGAACCAGTCAGCCAGCTGAACACGTACCATGACGGCAAGAGCATAGCCCATACAAACATGCAGCGAAGGGTCAGAGATGATAGGTACATGTAGCGAACTATGATAGCTAGGTAGATCATTCAAACAAGGGCTATTTCTGACAATGATACAACATGGGTTCCAACCACCAGCCAGAAAGCAAGCTGAACATTTACCGTGCCAGCAAGCGCGTATGCCACGACAAGAGGTGGGGAGGCAAGGTAGTTGGCTCGGGTGAGAGGGTGCACACGCCCCTCGAAGTTGCGGTTACCAGACAGCACCGCTGCTGCAACAAGGTCTGATAATACGCAGGGGAGTAGGAAGATGAGGAGGGTACAGGGAAGGGAGGGAGGGATGGCGCGGTGAGAGGATGTAATCGGCCCTCTGAGTTGCGGTTACCAGACACAATCGCTGCCGCCACAAGGTCTGATAATACGCAGGGGAGTAGGAAGATGAGGAGGGTACAGGGAAGGGAGGGAGGGGTGGTTGGCTATGGTGTATGGATGCACGTGAGAGAGCAGTACTGCTGCCATCACCAGGTCTGATATAGTTTGGAGGGACAGAAGAAACTGAGGGAGAAGGGAGAAAGTAATAGAGGAGGTTAGCTCTGGTGAATGGATGCACGTGAGGAGGCTGTGTGTTTTTTGTTTGTTTGTTTGTTTGTTTGTTTGTTTTTTTTTTTCCAACTGTCAGACTTTATTGTCAAGCTACACCTCTTGAGCGACAGACATGAAATGTGGCATACATACCGTTGTCAGCAATGGCCTGTCCAACAGCCTCGTTGATCTCCCCGGAGTTCCCAATGCACGTGGTGCAGCCATAGCCCACCACATGGAATCCCTGGCCCTCAAGGGTCGGGAGGAGACCACTGCACACAGAGAGGGACGGAAAGAGAGAAGAAAGAAGGATGCGGATGCGAATGGAAATAAGAGCGTGAGTTCTCTCAGTGCACATGGCGCAGCCACAACCCACCACATGGAACCCCTTGCAAGCAATCAGAACCTTAAAATCAGGAACCACCAAACCACCATAAATCAGCCTTCCTGCCTAACAGGAAATCCAAAGCCCTGCCAGCCGCCCTTAAACCCAAACCCCTCTCACCTGGCTTCAAGGTATTTTGTGACGACGTTGGAGCCAGGCGCAAGGCTCGTCTTCACATATGGCTTGACCCTGAGACCCCTCTCGCTCGCCTTCTTCGCCACAATGGCTGCTGCCAGCATCACCGACGGGTTGGACGTGTTGGTGCAGGAGGTGATGGCAGCGATCACCACAGAGCCGTGCTTCAGCTCGGTTTCCACCCCTTCCTTGACAGTCACCTTCACTGCCTTGTCCTGCTGCGCCTTGGGAATGGCGAAGCCCTGTGGACGGGGAGAGGGGACAGCACAGGCACAAGCATGGACGATGAGGCATGAGAGAGGGGTTAGACGTGTTGGTGCAGGAGGTGATGGCAGCGATGACAACAGACCCGTGCTTCAGCTCGGTTTCCACTCCGTCTTTCACCGTGACCTTCACACTCTTCTCTTGCTGCGCCTTGGGGATGGCGAAGCCCTGTGGACGGGGAGAGAGGGCACAGCACAGGCACAAGCATGGACGATGAGGCATGAGAGAAGGGTTAGACGTGTTGGTGCAGGAGGTGATGGCAGCGATGACAACAGACCCGTGCTTCAGCTCGGTTTCCACTCCGTCTTTCACCGTGACCTTCACACTCTTCTCTTGCTGCGCCTTGGGGATGGCGAAGCCCTGTGGACGGGGAGAGAGGACACAGCACAGGCACAAGCATGGACGATGAGGCATGAGAGAAGGGTTAGACGTGTTGGTGCAGGAGGTGATGGGCGATGACCACAGAGCCGTGCTTCAGCTCGGCTTCGACCCCGTCTTTCACAGTGAGTGACCTTCACTGCCTTGCCCTGTAGCACCTTGGGAATGGTAAAGCCCTCGGGATGGGCGAGGGCATGAAGGTGGGTAGAAACAGGACAGCATAGCACAGTCACTGCTGGTGCAGGCGGCGTTTGAGATTGGGAAGAGGGCTAGGTGAGAACATGAGAGAGACGTGCTGGAATGATGAAGAGACATGAAGAGACTTGCCTTAAAGCCAACGGGGTTGTCGAGGCAAGCGTGCCAGTCGGACTTCATGGTCTTCAAAGTTACACGGTCATGCGGCCTGCAAGGAACCAAGCAAAGCAGGTAACCAGCCAGGGGAGATAGAATTCGGGGAAGGGGAAGAGGAGCAGCAACAGGAGAAGGAGAACAACTAGAGATGGAGCGCTCATGCATGAAAACAACAATTTGGGCGGTGATATTGCTCGTCTCTTGGGTTTGGAAAGCAACGTCGCCCTCACCTCTTGGGCCCAGAGACGCAGGGCTCGACGGTAGCAAGGTCAACCTCAAGGTCGGACGAGTACTAGCGATTCTTGAGGCGTCTCAAAGCGATTTTTGAGGCGATTCTTGAGGCGCCTAAAACAACTCACCTCTTGGGTCCAGAGACGCATGGCTCGACAGTGGCAAGGTCGAGCTCGAGGTAGGACGAGTACTTGCGCTTGGCCTCTGCCTCTCCAGCCTGGGGGATGACACAGGTGATGCGGAGGAGCAAGGGCAAAGGGGGCAGAGAAGAGGAAGCTTAGAGGCCAGTCAAAGGCGCAGGGCTCGACGGTGGCAAGGCCGAGCTCAAGTAGGACGAGTACTTGCGCTTGGCCTCTGCCTCTCCAGCCTGGGAGAGAGAGCGGGTGATGAGGATAAGCACGGATGAGGGGGCATAGGGGGGGGAGTTGAAGTCAAAGAGACACAGTGCGAGTCAAACGCAGAGCTTGATGGTGGGAAGGCCGAGCTCAAGGTAGGACGAGTACTTTGCGCTTGGCCTCTGCCTCTCCAGCCTGTAAGGAGAACACAGGTGACAGGGGTGATGCATGAAAAAATCCACAGGGAAAACACAGGCAAATGCGATAAATCGGATGAAGGGAGAAAATGCAGGGGAGAATATGCAGGGGAGAAGGTGCAGGGTAGAAGGTGCAGGGGAGAAGGTGCAGGTGAGAAGATTCAGGGGAGAAGATGCAAGGGAGAGAGAAGATTCAGGGGAGAGAGAAGATTCAGGGGAGAGAGAAGATTCAGGGGAGAAGATTCAGGGGAGAAGATTCAGGGGAGAAGATTTAGGGGAGAAGATTCAGGGGAGAAGATTCAGGGGAGAAGATTCAGGGGAGAAGATTCAGGTGAGAAGATTCAGGGGAGAAGATTCAGGTGAGCCAATGAGACATGCCTGCCACAGTGACGTGGTCCACGGCGCGGAGTTTGGCTCGGATCAGCATGCAAATCTGAGAATTTATAGTCCAAACTCACGGTTGCATGGTCCATAAACAAGTGATTAGCGCGCATGTACGCCTCGATCTGCTTCAGCTTCGTCTCATCCCTCCCCGTCACCCTCAGGTACTGCAGAGTCACCGCATCCACCGGGAAAAACCCCATCGTCGCCCCATACTCAGGCGACATATTCGCAACCGTCGCCCTGTCTGCCAGAGACAGCTCCCTTGTCCCCTCGCCGTAAAACTCCACGAATTTTCCCACCACCCCGTGCTTCCTCAGCATCTGGGTGCACGTGAGGACGAGGTCGGTCGCGGTGACCCCCGGCTGGAGTTTTCCCGTGAGCTTGAACCCCACGACTTGGGGCAGGACCATGCTCATGGCCTGCCCGAGCATGGCTGCTTCGGCCTCGATGCCTCCCACGCCCCAGCCTGCGACGCCGAGCCCGTCGATCATGGTGGTGTGGGAGTCGGTGCCGACGACGCTGTCGGGGTAGAGGAGGCCGTTGATCTCCATCACCACGCGCGCGAGATACTCCAGATTCACCTGCGCACGTGCAATGCGGGAAAGTTTGACACATAGCATTAACTCATGGTGTTTTTGTGTAACTTTGGATGGTAGTTGTGAGCCACGGTTCACAAATCCGCCAACACACGCCCCAGCCGGCGACGCCGAGCCCGTCGATCATGGTGGTGTGGGAGTCGGTGCCGACGACGCTGTCGGGGTAGAGAAGGCCGTTGATGTCCATCACCACGCGTGCGAGATACTCCAGGTTCACCTGCGCACGTGCAACGCAGCAACATACAACCGTGGGGCACACACGAGGTGAAATTGAGTTGACTCAAGAGTCGGTCGACGCTGTCGGGGTAGAGAAGGCCGTTGATGTCCATCACCACGCGCGCGAGATACTCCAGGTTCACCTGCACATGCACCGCAAGGGTATTCATATAAGAGGGCATTAGATTGCGGCGCTTTTCTGTTGCATTGTGAGCCATTGGTCAAAACTTGGCCTCGCTTCCGCCAGCCCACGCCCCAGCCGGCGACGACGAGCCCGTCGATCATGGTGGTGTGGGAGTCGGTGCCGACGGCGCTGTCGGGTAGAGGAGGCCGTTGATGTCCATCACCACGCGTGCGAGATACTCCAGATTCACCTGCGATTGGAAATTACAAAAACACCACCGGTGCCATGTACTCAAAATTCACCTGCGCTTTACACATGAAATGGCAAGACCCGTGTAGCTTTCCACAATGCAATGTGAGCAATAGTGGGGACGAAGTTCTTGCGCCAATTATTCGAAACACATGCTTCCGAACTGAACAGCTTATAGGCAACCAGGCGGCTCCAGATAACTCACCTGGTGCATGACGCCAACACCAGGTACTATAAGAAACCATCTTGAGAGCCCCTTTCAGAAACAGCCAGGGCACTCACCTGATGCACGATAGCAAAGCCAGATCACTCGAGGAAACTCACCCAGTGAATGAACGGTGCCAGCGCCAGGAACCATTCGGAGAGTCTTTCCAAAAGCCACCACGGAAGGGAATTCACATGGTGGACGATGCCAAACCCAGGTAATTCGACAAGCCATCTTGAGAGCCCCTTCCAGAGACCGCCCGCCAGGGCACCCACCCGCCTTATGCCCGATGGCAGCGCCACGTCATTCAAGGAAGCTCACCTGGTGCATGATACCCAAGTCCTCCAAAAGACCAGCCTGAGGGATTTCCCCCCAAAACCGCCAGGGCATTCAACGAGTGATCGATGCCAATTTCAGGTAATCCAAAAAAAACATCCTGAAAGAACCCCCCCCAGGGATCAGCAGGGCGCTCAGCTGGTGCATGATGCCAAGTCAAGCACTTCGAAAAAACCCACTGGAAGACCATGCTAACCAAGAGAACGCACCTGGTGCACGATGCCAGCCCCAGGCAGCACGTCAAGCATGTTGCTGAAGGCCTTGGAGCCCTACTTGAGGACCTTGGAACCATAAAACCCAAGAAACGCAAAAAACCCACCTTGGAACCCAAAAAACGCACCTGGTGCACGATGCCAGAGCCAGGGGGGACCACGAGCATGTTGCTGAAGGCCTTGGAGCCCCACTTGAGGAACGCGAACCGCTCCCTGTTGCGCTCGAACTCGCGCTCCATGTTGAGGCTCAGCGCGTTGGACGCGCCCGCGTAGTCCACCTGCACCGAGTGGTCAATCACCAGATCCACCGGCACCTGGTGGGGCAAAGGGGGGCGGAGGGGAGGGGGAAGAGGGGGGAGGGAAAGCGTGGAAGGGACAGATTTGACTCCACGGCAACTCTGAAGACTCAGCGCGTTGGACGCGCCCGCGTAGTCCACCTGCACCGAGTGGTCTATCACCAAATCCACTGGCACCTGGTGGGGGAAAGGGGGGTTGGGGGGAGATGGGGGGATGGGGTGTAGAGGGGGGAAAGGGAGGAAAGGGAATTATTGACTTTGACTTTAACTTTGATGCTCCCGCGTAATCCAAAGCGCCTCAGAAGACGCACACCAGGGTTGACCATTCAGTCAGGGTGGCATAAATTCTTGGAATGCCGCAAAAGTGTGCGAAGGAGTAGCATTCAGTCGGAAGGGAAAATGAATATTAGCTGGTACATTGAAACTCACATGAGGGTTGATGGCAGAGGGATCGCCGCCAGACGCCTTCATGGCGTCCCTCATCGCAGCGAGGTCCACAACAGCAGGAACGCCAGTGAAGTCCTGATATAACAGACAAGCACAGGCATTTCACACAAACAAAGCCGTCAGGCATGATTCACAGAGAATTTTAACTTGCGACACGGCGCAATCCAACGACACATTCAACAACGGCGAACAGAACGAAAAGGACGAACAAAACAAAAAAGGCGAGTGCGTACCTGCAGGATGACACGCGCAGGCTTGAACGGTATCTCGACTTGGTGCTGGGAGGTGTTGGCCCAGTCCAAAATCTTCTCAATGTCCTTTTCCATGACCTGGAAGTTGTCACAGTTACGAATGGCGGACTCCAGAAGGTAACGGATGGAGATTGGCAGCTCATCTGCAGGATAAAGAAGCAAGTGTTAGATAGAGCGATCAAATAGCACGAAATCTGACTGGAAAAGAGGGAATACAGAAAATGCTAGCGACGGTAGACAAAGGTACCGATGCGAGGGTCGTTGAGAGCAGGAAGGCTGTAGAAAGAGCCGAAGGAGCCGCCATCGGGGTTCGGCAGCTCGGTCAGCAAGCGCTGGAACGGATTAGCCATGTCTCTGCAAAGGCGAGAAGTTACTGTCACAGTCAATTGAGCTTCCGTCGAGAAAAAGATTACGCGATGACGGGCAAAATGTAAACAAATCAATATAACTATGTTTCGGTAATCTACCTGATCCAGTCGGAACACTAGGCAAATCCGAGCAGGAGACTGAAACCCTTCGGAACTACCAAACCGGAGAGCAAGTATATCACGCTGTTAAGCGTGGTAACGAAAGAGCAGCGATCCCAAAACTCCCGCGAGTCACGCAATGAGCAGGTTGCTGCTTATTCCGCGAGGATGCCTGGTTTGCTGAAGCTTCTGGCTTGGGGCTAACAAGATTTCAGATTCAGGAATCCAAAAGCAGAAATGCAGCAGAGCAGACTTTCTCGTTCTGATGGATTCCCTGGCTCCCCTCCCCCGCATGGAAAATGGCTTGCTAGCTGGAGTTTCCTGTGGTCCAATCGTGTGGGCTGGACGAGGAGCGAAAGCAGGAAGCTGATGGGATGGGATGGGATGGGACCACTGGTCTGCAGGAAGAGTACGAATGGAATACACATCCGCGACCCAGCGGGGGGTCCACGGGACCACATTTGGCGTCACCGTGTCGGGGTTCCACGTGGATTTATGACGAGGTGGCGGGTTCGGGGCAAAGAATCTGAAGCTTGTGCGTGGCGAATGGAATTCGGAACGTCAGCGAACTTCGTTTTGAAGTGTGGTTTTCGTAGAAATGTCACGCGCCCGGGTAACGCTTGCCACGCGATATCCTCGATATAACTTTAGCCGATGAATACACTCACTAATCCTGAACCCACGTCTCACAATGTTCCAGTTTAATTGTTTTTCCACAAACCCTGAACGCAAAGAGCCGCCAAAAACGTGTGGCGTGGAACATCCCGCGGCTCGCCCATCCAATCTTGTCAGTCACAGGGGCTTGCGCGGAAGGGGCTTGTCAATCCCGCGGACTCCGCATTGTCAACGGATGTCGGGATTTGTCGGAAGAACTTGACGTGCACGCGACCTCGCTTCCCCCCTTGCCTCCCCTCCCCCCAAACCCTACAGCACCCTGACTCCGCACGCACACAGCCAAGCACCCCTTGGGAATCTCCCCTTTCCCCCTTTCCCCTCCCCCACTCTCCATCCGCCACACCAGCTCACCGCTTTCCACCTTCTGTGGAGCTGACGCTTTCTGGTCCCTCCACCTTTCCGATGACGGAATTCGTCTCCGTGAATCCTGTCTGGCAATTCTCTGCTTGCAGGAAAGCAGCAGAACCACCCAAGCATACGCAACGGCATCATGGCGAACTGACCCATAACTCTCAACCACCATGGGTTCGCGATCATTCATTCAGTAGTATTTATTTGGCTTGAGATGGTAGTCATTAACTCAGCCGCATACCTTCCGTTCTCTCCCTATGATCGCCTGAAGGCAACTGCTCTTCTATCAATACGCTTCACACAATCATGGCCTGATTAGATTAGTATCTACACTCCAAGCTAGAACACCACCTTACCTGTTGAAAGATTTGTCAGAAGGTTTAGAGGTTTACCATGGCGCTCGTCGCAGTTGAAGTTGATCTTAAGGGAGGGTATTGTAATGGAGTCTCCTTGAACGGAGGATCAAACCGGCAGATTGCACAGCTTCATCGGCTAGCCGATCGCTCCGTCCCATTCCGGAACCCGACGCTCTTCATGCGTTCCACGTGTCTCCGCATGCGTCTGCTCATGGCGGCGAAGCGCGATAACGGGCACGCGTGGCAAAGTGAGTCCCGTTAGAAGCAATCCCCTTGTTTAATCCGCTGTACGTGTTTCTAATTGTTTATTCCACCCAGTGAAGCACTCTAGCGGCTTTATCTTCTTCACCCGTCGTAGTTGGACTTATAAACCTGCTTTCAAGGCTGAGCCGTTTGTTTATTGACCCAACCCTATCTGCACTCTCTGTTGACGGGTTCCGTTTCAGTTAAACGCCAGCGTGCAGCTCAAGATCAAGCTTCCAGGAAGCAGTGGATGCAACGGCTCAGAACTCTACGCCGGCTTGTACATAAGTACCGCACTTCACGCAAGTCGGTGCGGAATCTTTATGAAGACGTCCAAGTTGACATCGCTGGCAGCACTCGATATAAGGAAGAATTACTTGTACAGGGTTGTGACCTTATCGAGGAGGCTGACAGGGAAATTTTGCTCAAGGAGAGCTTGGAAGCAGCAGTTCAGAGAGCTTTTGCAGGCCGAGTCACCTTTACAGAAAGAGCTGTTGCCGAAACCTGCGTAACCACTGAGCCTAAGAAACTTCTGAGGTGCTAGAGACGAGAATGGCTGGAAACGGTCGGTTTGCTGCTAGGAGTCCATCTTCCCAGGAGAAATAACCCCTCGAGGGAGAGTTTGTCTGAGGTATGGGGGGCCTTCAAGGAGACGTTTACGGTATGTGATTTGATCCGGACGCTCCTTAAAACACTGGGGTCTGGACTGGACTGGAGATGCATTCTAGGGAGGCTGTCAGGGTAGAAGCCTCCGTGATCCCACATTACCCATTGATTTTAGCAGCCATAGCTTATCCTCAATTTTTGTATTGCTTGTCAGATTGTGAATGTATAAAATTATTTAATCTGCTGCCATGGTACTGTCGTTCTTGTACACCGAGGGTACATTCCGCGCTGGACATGTCCCAATCGAAAGTGTCTGAATCGTATTCACCGCACTGCATCGTATTACACCAAATTACACCCTACTTTCAAAATTTTCGCGTCTCTGGTTTAGTTCGGTTCGGAGCGGTACACTCGATTGGGACACGTCTAGTTGGGACAGTGTCCACAGCATAATGTACCCTGAGTCACACTGCAACAGACAGCATAAGGTCTGCCAGCTACTGTACTTGTCTTGACACATCTCATCATCTAGACCCGCGGTAGGTGCAGCTGCGAATCAGATGTACTCCATCTCAACCTCAAGATCCTGCTCATCGTTTGGCATCCTTGGCTGCCCGTTCCAATGCCTCCCTTGCTCTCTCCTTCACCTCCTCCTGTCAGATGTGGATGACGATGGCACAAACAGTCACATTGTTTAACATACACTCTGTGTTGGCTTAACAATCACTGCTAACTCTCCCATTCATGGCAAGGCTGATAAAGCCCATTCAGACGAGTTACACGCGAGCTGCTTCCAAGTCTGATAAGGATCCGGGTCAGGCCAGTAGAAAACACACTTCTGTATCAAACCTCAAAAGCTCACCTGGAACTGCTTCAGCTGCTGCTGCTGCTCGGCCTGCTGCCTCCCCACCTCACTCAAATCTCCCCCACAGCCGACCCCACCCGCTCCTGCCTACCAACACCATCCCTGCTGGGACTGTTTCAGTTGCTGGTGTTGCGTGGGAGAAGTGGGCCCCACTTCACTCAGAATCTCCCCCACAGCCGACCCCACCCGCTCCTGCCTACCAACACCCCCTCTTTTTTTACTTGTGATGCGAGAGACACACCGGCTGTATAAAACACTTCTGTAAGCTGCCCCACTTGCTCACCTGGAACTGCTTCAGTTGCTGCTGCTGCTCGGCCTGCCGCCTCCCCACCTCACTCAAAATCTCCCCCACAGCCGACCCCACCCGCTCTGATACCACCTCTGCTACGGCCTTTCCGAGAAAGAAGGCGTCAAGCACGTCCTTGCTTCGCTCATCACCGGATGATTGTGCTGGGCGGAAGGGAAGTGGTAAAGGGCACGCGTGGGCGGGGGTGAGGTACGAGGGGGGAGGGGTAGAGGGGATGAATACCACCTCTGCTACAGCCTTGCCAAGAAAGAAGGCATCAAGAACCTCCTTGCTGCGCTCATCACCTGATGGTTGTGCTGGGCAGAAGGAAGGGAGTGGGGGGAAAGGGCGTGGGGGGGAAGGGAGGGGAAGGTTAGGGGAGAATGGGGAGCTGGCATACCCCACCCGCTCTGATACCACCTCTGCTCGTCACCAGATGGTTGTGCTGGTTAGAAGGAAGGGGATGAGGGGGGGTTAGGGGAAAATGGGGAGCTGGCATACCCCACCCGCTCTGACACCACCTCTGCTCGTCACCAGATGGTTGTGCTGGTTAGAAGGAAGGGGATGAGGGGGGGTTAGGGGAGAATGGGGAGCTGGCATACCCCACCCGCTCTGATACCACCTCTGCTACAGCCTTGCCGAGAAAGAAGGCGTCAAGCACCTCCTTGCTGCGCTCATCACCGGATGGTTGTGCTGGAAGGAAGGACGGAAGGTGGCAGCCAAGGGGGGGAGGGAGGGAGGATGGACAGAGGTGAATGGAGGGCATAGAAGGCATCAAGCACCTCCTTGCTGCGCTCATCACCGGATGGTTGTGCTGGGAGGTGATGGATAGAATGGGGTGGGTGGGTGAATGGGAGTGTGAACAGAGGTGAATGGAGGGGAAGGCGTCAAGCACCTCCTTGCTGCGCTCATCACCTGATGGTTGTGCTGGGAGGTGATGGGTGGGGGATGGGGGGAGGAAGTGGAACGGAGAGGGGGAGAAAGGACGGGATATATGGAGGGGAAGGCGTCCAGAACCTCCTTGCTTCGCTCGTCACCTGATGGTTGTGCTGGGCGGGAGAATGGAAGGGGGCAGCCAAGGGGCGGAAAGAGGGGGGAGGGGAGGAGGGAAGTAGGGGAGGAGGGGAGGAGGGAAGTAGGGGAGGAGGGGAGGGAGGGAGGATGGACAGAGGTGAATGGAGGGCAAAGAAGGCATCAAGAGCCTCTTTGCTGCGTTCATCACCAGATGGTTGTGCTGGGAGGAAGAGTGGCGGGGGTGAGGGAGGGGAGGTGGGGGGAGGAGGGTAGAGGGGACAGAGGTGAATGGAGGGGAAAGAAGGCATCAAGCACCTCCTTGCTGCGCTGCGCTCATCACCTGATGGTTGGGCTGGGAGAAAGAATGGCGGGGGTGAGGGAGGGGAGGTGGGTGGGTGAATGGGAGGATGGACAGAGGCGAATGGAGCGGAAAAAAGGCGTCAAGCACCTCCTTGCTGCGCTCTCATCACCAGATGGTTGTGCTGGGGAGCGATGGAAGGGCGTGGGGGATGGGGGGAACCGGAGGAATGTGGGGGAGGGAAGGGGTTAAACGGAGGAGAAGGCATCAAGCACCTCCTTGCTTCGCTCATCACCTGATGGTTGTGCTGGGCGGAAGGAAGGAAGGGGGCAGCCAAGGAGGGGAGAGGAGGGAGGGTGGACAGAGGTGAATGGAGGGGAAAGAAGGCGTCGAGAACCTCCTTGCTGCGCTCATTAATGGAGGGTTGTGCTGGGTAATGATGGATAGAAGGGGGTGGGGGTGGGGGTGTGAAGTGGGGTGTGGTTGGGGGAGGGGGTCAGTGGGTGGGGGGGAGGAAACAGCAAGAGCGGATCAGGCTGTTCCTTGCTGCACTCATCAACGATAGTTGTGCTGGGCAGTGATGGATAGAGGGAGGGTGGGGATGGGGGAGGGGGTCAGTGGGTGGGGGGGAGTGAACAGTAAGAGCGGATCAAGCTCGTCCTTGCTGCGCTCATCAATGATGCTAGGGAGTGATGGACAGAGGGGGTTGAGCAGAGCACTTCCATTCAAGGAAGTGCAGAAGAGCATGAAAAAAAAAAAAAAAAAAAAAAAAAAGAAGCCGACAAGCACTTCCTTGAGTGGTTGTGCTGCAATGAATTGAACCCAGCTACATCGCCTGTTGAACGTTTATAAAATGTGACTGCAGCGAACGGTGCGCGTCTGTCAATGAGCATACCTTGCCGCTGCTGGTCCTGGGACGCTGTGACTTGAAATTGACGCCTGCGGAGCGGAATTGCCAAATGAGATGCCTGAACGGCAAGTATTTGGAAACAGTGAGTGATGTCACAAAGTCAAGAGACACAGACGAATTATCGCTGTCACTTGAATTCGACGCCTGCGGAGCGGAATTGCCAGATGCCTGAACTAAAAGTATTCGGAAAAAGTGAGTCAAGTGACCGAGACAATGTCATGAAGTCAAGAGACACACAGACATGAATGCGACTGAGATTAAGAAACTCGGAAATCACAATTGAGTCAACAATTTCGTGAAATCCTAACCGTTCGTGTTGATTAACTACTTGGGACGTACGTTCCTGCGACAATACTTCCTGCGACGTACCTTCCGGCGACAATACTTCCTGCGACGTACTTTCTATCCTGTGCGTACCTGTGCGGGCCGAAGCGGTTGCACCGAGAAGCGATTTAGGCTTCCTGAGACGTTCGAAGTCACGGCAGCAAATTGCGACACGATCGCCATAGCTTCGACCAAGCCTGGGTTACGTGAAAGACGTGACAGCTGTGCGGTTCAGCTGGGTCCAATACGTACCTGTGCGGTTCAGCTGGATCCAATACGTACCTGTGCGGGTCGCAATTGCAAGGAGCGGCGATTTAGGCTTCCTGGGACGTTCGAAGTCACGGCAGCTAATTGTGACACGGTCGCCATAGCTTCGACCAAGCCCGGGTCACGTGAAAGCTCCTACACGCGTGACGCTGTAAGGAACGCGGCTAACAATACCCTCGTATCACACAGCCTAATTATGTGACGCACGATCAATTATCGCTGCGTTCGGCGGCCGCATTAGCCCGCACCAATGTACATTGCACATTTTTTTCGATGTTCCAGGAGCCTTCCGTGATAACCAGCCGAAAGGCTATCAAGGTTCGTGATAAGCGCTTGGCTGCCGAGGCAGACCAAGCCCGAATGCCTGCAGAACGGTCTTTTTGGCAACCACAAATTTGCATGTCGCCGCTTTCCAGGAAATACAGCGTACTAGCAATCTGACGCATCCTTGATGCGCGCATGATGCAACGCCCTAAACACGCATGATGCGCGCATCAGCTCGAATTGGGGCAATTGAACAGCGCATCATGCATGTGGGGAAGGCGCCAGGTGCGTTCTTCCCCACTTCGATGAAAGCTCAACACCCTGGAATTCGTCGGAATTTTGGGGTCGAAATTTGACATGCCCGAAATTCGACATCCCCAATTTCCGATTTCCCGAACCTGCGTGTCCATTTTCCGAACCTCCATTTTCCAATTTCAATTTGGACATTACCGAGCCTCAATTTTTCAATTTGTCAATTTGCCGAGCCTAGGGCGCATCAGGCTCTGATGGCCTTGTTCGATAGCTTTGCAGTCCAGGGGAACCACAGCCCTTTCACTGTGTTGCGTGGCTCGGTAAAGGCTCGGCAGCTGCGAACATGGGCTTTAAACCCTATGAGAGGTTAGGCAGATCCAAACCAGAACCAAAAGTACGTTCGCTGGTGTGGTAATTTTCGCTGCGGACCGCGGTCCAAACACTGTTGCCCACTGGTCAAGCAACAGTACTCACCGGGCAAAAAATACTTGGTTTCCGCTGGCAGCTAGAACGACAGTCACTGTGAAGTTGTAAACATTTCGGGCAGAAATGGTCTATTAGAATTTTTACCCGGAAACTTCGGGTGTACAATTTCCCCCTAGAGCAGTTCATTATTGAAATTTTTGGTCGCGTTTGTGGTCGAGGGTACACTGGGATTTGAAATGTTCATCTAATAATTACCGAACAGTAAGTTCAACACGTGTTATTTTGGAATTTTGCGTCACGTTCTTCCGCATCTGATTTTGCTAAGATCAATTGAATTGCGCACTGTGTACGCTTGTTTTATCCGTTGACTACGCGGTTCTGACTGTTGCGACTTGGGCTGTTCGGGCAGATGTCAAAACTTTAAACCAAGTCAAGTTGCATCTGGAAGGTAGTGACCCCAGGTTCGGAAACCCTAGGCCGACTCGGCTAAACTATGGTATTGCTGTACAAAAGAATGCAGTGCAATCGAACAAGGCCGATGTGTGAGGGTCGACTAGTGGAAATTATCAGCGCAGGTTCGGGAAGGCTCGAGTCAGGTTGGTTTCGCTACAATCATAAACTTTTTGGGTCTTCATGAAGTAACAGAAATACACGTCCTATTTGACATAAATATGAAGTAATTTTGCATGTGAGGATTTTCTAATTGGATTTAAGAAAATCCAAATTATCAAAATGAGGGCACTGCAATCAAACTTGAATGTACATGGAATGATCGCATTAACAGTGTAAATAGTATAGTGACATCCAGCGCTGCTACACCCGTAGCTTATTCAGCACCCACTTTATTTCCTTCCCAACAACCTCAACAACAGCTTAATTCCTTTATTCTGCCGTATTCAGATATCTGGCCAACCATTCTCCGTATAAACACCAACCTCAAAACTGTTGCAAAAGCTTGTGGAAGCCCTCTCCCGTATTGGAGTGGCAATGTTGAAGGGGAAAAGGGATGTAACTGGTATGAGCATGCGGTACCAGGCGTTGTGAAAGCATCAAGCCCTCAATGTCTTGACAGCAGGGGCAGGAAGCAGAGAAGAGAGCAGGAAGGAGCAAACTCATGCCTTCAGCGCCTTTACACCAGGGGCAGAAAGCAGAGGAGAGAGCAGGTTCAGGCAACGAGTGGCGGTGTCTCTCAACCCTTGCGTTCTGAGAGCATCAAGCCCGCAGCGTCTTGGCAGCAGGGGCAGGAAGCAGAGGAGAGCAGGAAGCAGAGCAGCTTTGGGCACCGAATGGCAATGACCCTCAAACCCTTGCATTGTGAGAGCATCAAGCCCGCAGCGACTTTACAGCAGGAGCAGGAAGCAGCGGGGAGAGCAGGTTCGGGCACCGGGTCGCAATGTCTCTCATCCGAACCGCCCTCTGATTCAGCCACGGGTGCTCCAGCACCTCGAACGAGCTCAGCCGTTGATTCGGGTCCACCTGCAGCATCTTACGGACCAGATCCTTCGCTGCCCACGAAACCCGTCTCCAGACCGGGTCACCAAGATCCAAGCATCCTGATTGGTCGAAAACCGGTATCAGGCCCGTTAGAATCACGCACAGAGTCACACCTAGGCTCCAAACATCTGCCTTACACCCATAAAACCGAAAATGTTCTCTTCCTCCTCCCGCTTCTCCACCTCCTACCACATTCCTCACACCCGCTTCCGTCACTCCACTTCTCCCCTCTCCTGAGCCCCGTCCCGAGCCGCGCTCCTTCATTTCAGGAGCCATGTACATGCGCGTGCCCGCTCCGCGCCCGTGCTTCTGCCCCGACATGCCGCCATCCACAGTCGTCGACAGCGCGAAATCCGCCAGTTTCACTCCGACTATCCCGCGCCCTGCGCCCACGTGGCCTAGCCGATGCGCCAGGGCCTGCTGGAACTTCATCCTCCCGAAGCGCGAGAACACGGACGGACGAGCCTGGCTTGCTTTGGGAGTTGCTGCGGGGGAATTGCTTTGGGGCTTGCTTTGTGGAGGCGGTGATTGGAGGTCAAAAGCCGCCAAATTCTGCGAAACGACGGTCGGAGTTATATCGGCGCAGGACTGCTCCGTGACAGGGCTCGTACTCGATAGGAGTGCCGCAATATTCGTCCTGTTCCTCAGAGCCGTATCCATGATCGCACTCTTTTCCTGCTCGCCGCGAAGGCCTCCTTTCCGTAGCAACGCGTTTTCTCTCGTCTCTGGTGTGAGAAAGCTGAGAGTCGACAAACACGAATCCTCCGGTTCCTCCTGCGCAGGCCGCACCAGCAGCACGTTCTCGGGCTTGATATCGCGATGCACGACGCCGTTTGCGTGGCAGAAAGCGACAGCGGATGCGAGCTGCCGCAGCACTGTAGCAGCCAGCGGCTCCGGCAGTGGCCCGTTCTCGCAAATCTCTGTGCACAAATCCCCGCCCTGTACAAGCTCCATTATGATATGGACTTCTGTCGCATCGACGAAGAAGTCTATTAGGCGTACGACGTTCGGATGTCCGCCGAGGGTTTGTAGCGCGCGCATCTCCGCGTCTATATCGAGTACAGCCACGGAGGATTTGGTTCGTCGCGTGGACGGGGAGAAGGACTTGCATGCGACGCGGTGCGACGTGCGGATGTCCTCGCACTCCCATACGTCGCCCTGCGACCCGGTCCCGATCTTTCGCAGGCGAAGGTAGCGACCGCCAATGAGTCGCCCGGCGACGGGAGGCGAATGCTCTGGCCCATCAACGTAGCTCACCATTTTCAGAGACTCCGAGTGCTCCGGAAGAGGAGAACTCCGAGTGTATGCCTTTCTCTTCGTAATCAGGGAAACAGGACAACAGGATTTTGGGAAACAGGATGCTAATTCAACCTCGACGAGGCCAGCTTCCTCTAGAGACACGCTCGAAGCAGGTAACCTCCAGCCTCCAGCATGAGAGTATAAAATACTTCAAAGAAAACTAGCAGAGGCACCCGCCGCCACGCCAGCTGCGGTCAAAGACCCAAGCAGCAGGGCGCCGAAAACCACGCAGGATGCAGTCAAAGACCCATACAGCAGGGCGAAGAAAACGGAGCTAGCATTGGTCGAACTAAGAATTCGGTGCTCCGCAGCGGGCGGAACAAACACCCGTGGTACTGCCTGACGCGGAAACTTGACGGAGGCAGGGAGTGATGTGAAACTGTGCGCGTCTCAGCACAATCGAGGAGAGGAGATAAGGGGGGTTGATGATGACTGGTTTGGGTGTGGTGCGTGGTGATGATGGGATGGTGTGGATGCCTTGAAATTGGTTATTCTGCGGATCGAGGGTTGTAAAATTGCAGCCGGATGATGGACGGATGAGATATGCAGTGCACGAGACGTGAGACGCGATTTCACCTCGAGTTTGTGCGTGCGGCTTGCTCTGGTGTGGGGCCCTAGTCAAATGCCATGCAGCACTCGTGAGGAGGGCGTCCAGCCCGGGCGGCTCGTGTACGAGAAACACGCGCTGATGTGATGTGGCTGGGCTGGACCAGACGGGCTTGGCAAGTTCCAAACCAGCCCAGCCCTAGCCAGTCAACGTGGCACTGTGGCCTGGTCATCACAGTAGCGCCGCGGGGATTTGGCTTGTGCATGCTTGGGGGTTATATTTGGAATGGCGGGGGTCCTTCCCCGCGAGCGGACTAACGAAAATGTACATCCTCGTGTGATTGTAAAGAGCCATACGAGCTTCGATAAAGGAAGTACATCTGGTGAAATCTATGCCCTATATGGAAATAATTATTCTGTCTCCAGAGTTTTACTTATGGTCGTAACCACTCTGATTTCTCAGATACTGGCGATGCACTCAGAAGCGCGAACGCGATACCGAGCTCGGCCACGTTACGTAATTGACGTGGCAGCGTCAGCACGCTTTCAGGAGCCGTCAGACACGCATCGCGATTGAAAACCGCACGAAATGTGCGTCTCGTCACCGACACATCCGGTTACCAATTTGCACATCATATCTGTCGGAATGGCGTTTCTCTCTCGTCGAGAGATCCTCGCTAATACGTCGTGTTATTTCGCACGGTGATGACTTCTTCGCCAGGGAGGAAGGAACTCGCGAAATCACAGCCGCTCCAGGACAAACACATCACAAATGGCAAAGGCGGCGCATTCCGTGTTCTCCTGCAAGATGGGTTGGGCAACACCCGAGTGCGAAAACAGTGAGTAAATTGTATCTCGTGGACGGGCAGACTGCGGAAACGAACGTAGACACGATTTTCAGCGAAAACAAAAGCCTCGCAGCACAGTAAAATTCATCACCATATGGTAACCTCGAGCTGGTAACTTCTATGCGTCCCCTCCCCCCACTCCTTCTGCCTGGCCGTTTCTTCATACGATCGTCTCTTTCTTTCGTGCTAGCAGCTGGAGCGCAGTAGACACATGACTCATGTTCAAAGGGTCGCGTCACAACGTTCAGGGGTAGTGTTGCACCAGGGAAAGTCTCCTTGAACGGTCATAGCTTTCGTGACAAAGCAAGCTATCTGATATGCAAAGTCATGAATTGAGTGTTGAGCTTAGAGTGGGACAATTTATGAGATGGGAGCAATGTCCTCAAATCCACGGGCCGTCGTTCTGATCGCATGCTGGTTCTGCCTCCATGCGACAGTCCGAATTCGTTTTTTTGGCGAAGCGAAACACCTTCCTTCGAGATCCACGGCCTTTCCTATTCACGGAATCAAATCTTGCAGTAACGGGGGCCCCGCGAAGTACAATGGTTCGGTGGTAACCAGGCGGCTCGTCAGAGGGCTCAGATCGAACGGATTCGAGCTGTTTTCGGAGATTTTGAATGATACAGGTGCGATTTAGGTAGCCTACAGACTACGCCGCCATGATATTTTCCTCCCCTGCCGAAATTCACGCCATTCCGCCTTGCAACTCTCCTCGCGGGCTCTTCAATCGTACCCCCGTTCTCACCCTTCGAAGGTGATTACTGGGCTATTCACGGAACTTCCATCCTTCCTTTCGTGTCGCTAGCCGCGGTTTTTACCCTAACCGACGACGCGATTCGTTGCTTAATCGTGCGGTGACTCCTCGAATCGTGCATTGACTTCAAAAGTTGAAGTCCCTAATTCAAGTTGACTCAAAAACAGCACCCTCCACTTCGTCCTTCCAGGCCTTCTCGACGAACTTCCATCCGTCCTTTCGTGTCGCGACGCGACCGTCTTCGCCCCGTCCGACGCCGTGATTCGCGCCTTGCCTCGCGCGGTGGCGCAGCAGCTTGAGCGTGACTTGCGGCTTCTGCGGGAAGTGGCGTTGCTGCACTTTATAACAGGGAAAAAACGGCTGAGAAAGCTCGCCTCGCAACGGAGAGGCCACCAGGTGAGAAAGGGAAGGCAAAAATTCCCCCCCGCTGAGGTGGGACGGCTGATGGTGACTCGGTCAGCCAGCTCTCCACCGCTCTCCACCCTCCTCTGCCCCACTCCACCCTTTTATCTCACCTTTCTTTTACCTAATTCCTCTTCCCCTCCCTCCCTCGCAGTATATTACTCTTGCCTTCAACGGCTTGCAGCGGCTGAAGAAAGCGTCTCTGAAAGGCGACTGGAAAGTTAGAGTTTACACGGACAAAGGGCCAAAGGTGACCGTAACGAGGGGGAACTTTGTGATGCTGAGATCGGTGGCTGTGCACGGAGTTAACGGCGTGATAAGACCGAAGGTGCTTGTAACAAAGGGGATTGTATCGGGACAATGAGCTGTATATGACTGTGGGGAGGAGTGATACTGTGATGTTTATAGCTGTACAGGGAGTTAGAAGATCACAAGGAGTCTAGCCAGCAGAGGTGTTTGTAAAGAGGAGTCTAGCAGTGGCCAAGAGAATATAGGGAGCCAGTTGGAGGATTGTGTAGTTTTGAACGTGTGGCTTATCCGGTGTACTATCTCATGTGTAGACGCTCATTCATAGTGGTTCATATCAAAGAAACCTGCCGGTACGTTTTGCTGTGCACACTGTTGTGCCAGGAGAACCTGAACCGCCTCAGGCAGTATACAGTGTATTACAAACACAGCTTTGCATTGCATATAAATGGAAAAGAATGAAGCCCCGTGCCTTGCGAAACACACACCTTGCATTGCCTACACCCTCCACCACGATCATCCTTATGTCGCAATTTATTACCACACACCCGCGAAGAAAAGCCTTCGAGTCACCTTCGCATTCAACAGCAACCCTGCAGAAGAACCGCAGCCATTTCCTTGGAGTTTTGAGTCTCAAAACTCAACACACTCGCATTCAACAGCAACCCTGCAGAAGAACCGCAGCCATTTCCTTGGAGTTTTGAGTCTCAAAACTCAACACACTCGCATTCAACAGCAACCCTGCAGAAGAACCGCAGCCATTTCATTCGTCGCTCGAACCCAAACATCCCCTCCCCTTTGTTAGGCGCCTCAGCAATGGTCTCCTCTCCTGTTTTACTCATCATAATCCAAATCCTCCTTTCCATTGCTCAAACCCAAACACTCCTTTCCCAGGCGCCTCAAGATCATGCTCCTCTCCCCCCCCCCCCCCCCCCAACCTAGTTGTCATAATTCAAGTCCTCCTCTCCATTGCTCAGATCCAAACACCTTTTTCCTTCCAGGCAACTCAAACTTCCCTCCTCCTCATCTCCCTCCTCCCCCTTGCTTACTTGTCATAATCCAAATCCTCCTCTCCATTGCTCAGATCCAAACACTCCTTCAGCGTCAGCTTCTTTCTGGCGCCGGTCAGCTTGACGCCCGGAATGATCACCCTGTCGATGCCGGGTTGACTGGGTTGACCGGGTTGACTGGGTTGACTGGGTTGACTGGGTTGACTGGGTTGACTTTCATTTCTGGTCAGCTTCTTTTCCAAGGCGCCTCAAGTTCAGACTCCTCATCCCCCCCCCCCCTTCCCCCCTCTCCCCCCAACAGCCTATTTGTCATAATCCAAATCTTCCTCTCCATTGCTCAGATCAAGGCATTCTTTCAGCGTCAGCTTTTTTTTCGCGCCGGTCAGCTGCCGCCCGGAATGATGACCCTGTCGATGCCGTGGACGGCGGAGATTGTCAGCAGCACCGAGTCCGGCTTCGTTATAGTCACGTTCTTGCCGCCCTCTGCGTGCAGTTTGACCGGCTTGACTTTCGCCTCTGTGGCTTTAAAGAGCCCTGCTTCTCCGTTCTTAGAGGGAGTTCGCCACTGGGAGGGGAGAGGGGGGAGGGGAGGGGAGAGGGGGGAGGAAGGACAAGATGCACAAAGCTTGAGTGGCTTGACTGGTTTGACTGGGTTGACTTTCATCTCTGTGGCTTTGAACAGCCCTGCTTCGCCGTTCTTGGAGGGGGTTCGCCACTGGGAGGGGAGAGGAGGTGAGGAAAGGGAGGGAAGGAAAAGACACACACTACTTGAGTGGATTGACTGGTTTGACCGGCTTGACTTTGGCTTCCGTGGCTTTGAAGAGACCTGCCTCTCCGTTCTTGGAGGGGGTTCGCCACTGGGAGGGGGAGAGAGGGGGGCGCAATGAGGAGGGGAGTTCGCCAATGGGAGGGGAGGAAAGGAGAACTTGTGAAGATAGTTAACACGGTGCAGTTATTACAACTGTCTGGGAGGGGAGGTGAGAGGGGAGGGAAGGAAAGGACACGACACACACAGGTTGGTCACACACACACACAGGTTGGTCACACTCACTCGCAGGTTGGTCACACTCACAGGTTGGTCACACTCGCAGGTTGGTCACACACACTCGCAGGTTGGTCACACTCGCAGGTTGGTCACACACACTCGCAGGTTGGTCACACTCGCAGGTTGGTCACACTCGCAGGGCGCTCGTGTTGTGAGTCGACTGAATTCACGACCCATCGCCGCCTTGCTCAGTCAGTGTGACTGACAGGGAGTGACTGAAGCCCACCCTGCTCCCCATGCTCCCCATTCAAGGCGGCAATGGGTCGTGTTTTGAGTCGCCCCTTGGTCACACTCACAGGGAGCATGGAGCGACTGAAGCCCATCACTTCCACCACGGATGAGGGTAGCAGCAGTCTTCCTGCCCTTCACAATATGCAGCATCTTGATACCCCGCATCACCGCCTTGCTCAGCCCCTTCAGCATTGCAAGGGAGAATGAGGGGGCAACGTCTCTCTACTCACCTCGTGCTCCCTCTGCATTCGAATGAGAGTAGCGGCATCCTTCCTCCCTTTCACAATATGCAGCATCGTGATATCCCGTGATGCCGCCTTGCTCAGCCGCTTGGTCACGATCTCAGGGAGATTGGCGAAGGCCTCGTCTGTGGGTGCGAGGACGGTGAGGCGGTAGTAGCTGAGAGCTTCTGGAAGCTCCTTAGCAATACCTGGAAAAGAACAGGGGGGAGCAGCGCAAATGGCGTGAGTGTGGTCTGCCTCGTCTGTGGGTGCGAGGACGGTGAGGCGGTAGTAGCTGAGAGCTTCTGGAAGCTCCTTAGCAATACCTGGAAAAGAACAGGGGGGAGCAGCGCAAATGGCGTGAGTGTGGTCTGCCTCGTCTGTGGGTGCGAGGACGGTGAGGCGGTAGTAGCTGAGAGCTTCTGGAGGCTCCTTAGCAATACCTGGAAAAGAACAGGGGGGAGCAGCGCAAATGGCGTGAGTGTGGTCTGCCTCGTCTGTGGGTGCGAGGACGGTGAGGCGGTAGTAGCTGAGAGCTTCTGGAGGCTCCTTAGCAATACCTGGAAAAGAACAGGGGGGAGCAGCGCAAATGGCGTGAGTGTGGTCTGCCTCGTCTGTGGGTGCGAGGACGGTGAGGCGGTAGTAGCTGAGAGCTTCTGGAAGCTCCTTAGCAATACCTGGAAAAGAACAGGGGGGAGCAGCGCAAATGGCGTGAGTGTGGTCTGCCTCTTCTGTGGGTGCGAGGACGGTGAGGCGGTAGTAACTCATCGCCTCTGGAAGCTCCTTGGCGATGCCTGGAGTAGAGTGGAGAGGGAGAAGTAGGAGCAGGGGAAGAAAGTGGTGAAAAGAGAGCCAGTGGGGAGCTTGGCAAAGGCCTCGTCCGTGGGCGCGAGAACGGTGAGGCGGTAGTAGCTCATCGCTTCTGGAAGCTCCTTGGCGATTTCTGATGGCAATAGAGGGGAAAAGGGAAGGCAGGGCGTGAAGGGACGGAACGAAGTGTTGGAAAGAAGGCGAGAGAGGGGGCAGCCCCTTGGTCACGCTCTCGGGGAGCTTGGCTTTTGAGGCGTCTCAAGAGGGGGGCCAGCCCTTTGGTAACGCTCTCAGGGAGCTTGGCAAAGGCCTCGTCGGTGGGTGCGAGAACGGTGAGTCGGTAATAACTCATTGCCTCTGGAAGCTCCTTGGCGATACCTGGAAGGGAACAGGGGGCAGTGACAGCGAGTGGGGCCAGGAAGAGGCGGTGAGGCGGTAGCACCTCATCGCTTCTGGAAGCTCCTTGGCGATTTCCTGGGGCCAATAGAGGGGAACGGGGAATTAGGGCATGGCAGCAGGGCGAGGAACGGTGAGACCACGGCCCTTGCTCAGCCCCTTGGTCACGCTCTCGGGGAGCTTGACTTTTGAGTCGCCTTAAAAGACCGGGCAGCCGCTTGGTCACGCTCTCAGGGAGCTTGGCAAAGGCCTCGTCTGTGGGCGCGAGAACGGTGAGGCGGTAGTAGCTCATTGCCTCTGTAATAACCGCCTTTGCAATTACTGAAAAGGAAAGGGAGTCACGGGGTCAGGGAGCGCACACTGATGGGAGCTTGGCGAAGGCTTCGTGAGTGGGCGCGAGGACGGTGAGGCGGTAGTAGCTCCTTTGCGATACCCGGAGGGAATTGAGGGGGGAAGAAAGGCGGTGGATGGGGGTCAGCCCCTTGGTCATGCTCGCGGGGAGTTTGGCGAATTCTATTGACATAGCGGAATTTTCCGGTCCGATGCGTTTTCAGGCGCGCCAAATGCGAGGCGGTAGTGATTGTGAACAGCCGTATACGGGGCCGGTGACAACTGAGGACGTTAATGCCATTGTGTAACGTTTAAAAATTTACAGCAGGAGTACCTGTCGATTCGAAAAGCGACACCGCAGTGTTGTAGCCTTTCTTCTTCATCTCCGCTATAAGCTTCTTCGCGCCGGTCTTCCCATCGTACTGGCGAGAGCTGCCGTCGTCCTCGGCGCGCAGCCGCGGAAGCTGCGCCGCGAAAAGCGCGAGCAGAGCCAAAGGCAATCCCCAGGGAGAAACGCGACGCGCCATGAGCGAATAAGGGGTAGTAGGTGGTTCGTAGCGCGTGGCCGATGTTTCCTGCTGAATTTGGTCTTTAGCCCAGCTTGTCTGACTCGTCGCGCTGTCCGTCTGTTGTTGCTGTTTGCTATAGTATGGTGCTGCTGGGCTAACTTGGTCACTATTGTCTTCCCAACGCAAAGCGCGACTGTGGATGGATGAACCAGGAAAATCCTGGAGGGATGCGCACCAGCACAAATGCAAGGTAGGTGGGTAGGGTAGGCTGGCCTCAGTGGCTGGGAATTGTTGGCGCAGGGGGATGGGGGCGAATTTCTCCTGGTTACAAATTGATTCCAATTTGATGGTTGGGAAGTGGAGAACGGTATCTCTAACCGGATTGGAGGATTGTGTTGTGGAGGGTAGATCGACCGTTCGGATGGGTTTGACCAGATGGATGGACGAACGAGATTGGAGATGATGGTTGAGAAGGGCGGCAGTTCAGGTAGGGCGGTGCGGCGTTGTGGGGAGCGCCGCCGTCGTTTCATCCTTGGGTTTTTAGCGGTCGGGAGCGGCGTTGTGGGGTGCGGCGTTGTGGGGAGCAGGAAGAACAATTCCGCTATAGACATAGAGAAGAGTACATGAAGCGAAAATGTAAACATCTGAAACTTTTACGCATGGCATAAGCTTTCGGATTTTTTTTGCATAATTCTGCGAATTTTGCTATGTACACACAAGGGGAAAGAATACTGCCCATCAAAAGTATTCAGCAAAACCGCTTCAGCTATGTACAGATATCACTTGTAGATAAAAGGCATCACCATTTCTCCTTCCACGGCCTCATGTCCACCTCAAACGTCCAGCCACTCCTCTTCTGCATGTGCAGCAACCAATACAGCTCCGCCACGTCATCAGGCCGCACCAACCCCTCCACCTTCTCCTTCGCCTTAACCATATCTGGAAAATTCTCCCTTGCCCATGGCGTGTCAACAGCCCCATCAATCACCACATGGCAAACATGTATTCCCTGAGGACCTAATTCCTTAGCTAGGCATTGAGCTAGAGCTCTTAGCGCGTGCTTAGCTCCCGCAAAGGCAGAAAACCCTGCAGCGCCGCGAACGCTTGCAGTCGCGCCGGTGAAAATGATAGTGCCGTGGTTTCTAGGAAGCATCCTTTGCGCAGCCTCACGAGAGGTGAGGAAGCCTGCCAGGCATGCCATCTCCCAAACCTGGAGGCTCGGAAGCAAACAGTTCCAAGAAATCCAGAGGGGTTCGAATGAGAAACTGTCACTTTGATTCCAAGTACCGTAGGAAGAGCATCGTCTGAGGAGTAGCCGCTACCCGCCAGAATGCCAGCTGTTGCATAAGGTGGATGATTTTTGTAAGATTAATGTGTCCCACAGCACCGGACACACCTTGAGGTAGACTCGACTCTCAAAGTTGTGTCCACCGCATCAAGCTTGACATTCACTCCAATGTTAAGAATCATCACATGAATCTGACTGGACCTAAATCTCGCTACTGCTCTTCACCTCTCTCTACCTCCCTCTCCCAATATAAGGCTGACATTGTGACATCAAATTGGACATTCGCTCCAATGTTGAAAGCCATCACATGGATCCGACTGAACCATGATCTCTTCACCTCTCTATACCTCTTTCTACCCCTCTCTCCCCATATACTCTGGGCATACCTTGTAAAAGACTCTCAACGTTGTGTCGACGGCATTGAACTTCACGTTTTCTCCAACATTGAAGACCACGAATCAAACATCATATTCATCTCTTCAAAGCATATGGCTTCAAAGCACACCTTGAAGTAAACTCTTGAAGTTGTGTCCACCACATGAAACTTCACGTTAGCTCCGATGTTGAAAACCAACACATGGATCCAAAAGTACATAGCTCTCGCCACACCGACCGGCCTCTTTTTTACCATATCAGGCTGTCACACCTTGCAGCAGACTCTCGACGTTGTGTCGACCACATCGAACTTCAGGTTTTTTTTAGCATAGCGCCTTCTACCTCTCTCCCCATGTGCACCTGACATACCTTGTAATAGACTCTCGACGTTGTGTCGACCACATCGAACTTCACGTTAGCTCCGATGTTGAAAACCAACACATGGATCGGACCAATCTCTCTCTCCACTCTAGCAAACAGCTGCACCACCTGGTCTGCGGGCAGGGGAAAGGGAGGAAGGACAGAGAGTGGAGTCGGGCCAGTGCTGCTTGCTCCCATGTTGAACACCGTCGCATGGATTGGGCCGATCTCTCTCTCCACTCGATCAAACAGTTGCACCACCTGGTCTGCGGGCAGGGGAAAGTGAGGAAGGACAGAGAGTGGAGTCGGGCCAGTGCTGCTTGCTCCCATGTTGAACACCGTCGCATGGATCGGGCCGATCTCTCTCTCCACTCGATCAAACAGTTGCACCACCTGGTCTGCGGGCAGGGGAAAGTGAGGAAGGACAGAGAGTGGAGTCGGGCCAGTGCTGCTTGCTCCCATGTTGAACACCGTCGCATGGATTGGGCCGATCTCTCTCTCCACTCGATCAAACAGTTGCACCACCTGGTCTGCGGGCAGGGGAAAGTGAGGAAGGACAGAGAGTGGAGTCGGGCCAGTGCTGCTTGCTCCCATGTTGAACACCGTCGCATGGATCGGGCCGATCTCTCTCTCCACTCGATCAAACAGTTGCACCACCTGGTCTGCGGGCAGCGGGAAGGGAGGAAGGACAGAGAGTGGAGTCGGGCCAGTGCTGCTTGCTCCCATGTTGAACACCGTCGCATGGATCGGGCCGATCTCTCTCTCCACTCTAGCAAACAGTTGCACCACCTGGTCTGCGGAGAGGAGAGAGACAGAGGAGCCAGGAGAAGAAGGGCGAGAATGGCTGGTGACGTTTGCACCGATGTTGAACCCCGTCACATGGATCGGGCCGATCTCTCTCTCCACTCGATCAAACAGTTGCACCACCTGGTCTGCGGGCAGCGGGAAGGGAGGAAGGACAGAGAGTGGAGTCGGGCCAGTGCTGCTTGCTCCCATGTTGAACACCGTCGCATGGATCGGGCCGATCTCTCTCTCCACTCGATCAAACAGTCGAGCCACCTGGTCTGTGAACTAGAATGGGAGGGGAGGAGCCAGGAAAAGAGAAACAGAGACCGGAGCAATGCCAGTGCTGCTTGCTCGGATGTTGAAACCCATCACATGGATTGGACCGATCTCTCTTTCCACTGCTGCAAACAATCAAGCCACCTGGTCTGCGAGAAAAAGAGGAAAGAGGGTGGAGAGCAATGCAGAATGAGGAGGGAGAAGAGGAAAGGAGGCTGTTGCCGTGTCAGTGCTGCTTGCTCTGATGTTGAAACCCATCACATGGACAAGTGGATTTCTCTTTTTATATTGTAACCATCTGGCCCGTGGGGAGGAAAAGACAGAGGCGCGCTTAGAAAGAGGGGAGGGAAGGGAGGAGGTGCGTTCAGGAAGACAGAAGAGACGGGAAGAGGTGCGTTGATTGGCATCACTGACCCTCGCGCCTTCTCACCCTCTTTCTGCATGCACCTTCCTTCCTCGCATCACCGCCGCATTCCACTGCTTTCCCGCCATCTGCTGCCACTTGCTCTACTAACTGTTGGAGCTTCGACCCGTTTCTCCACCCTCACCCACCTTCTCTCCCCCTACCTTACCGCCTTCACCCACCTTCTCTCTCCCTACCTTACCGCCTTCACCCACCTTCTCTCCCCCTACCTTACCGCCTTCACCCACCTTCTCTCCCCCTACCTTACCGCCTTCACCCACCTTCTCTCCCCCTACCTTACCGCCTTCACCCACCTTCTCTCCCCCTACCTTACCGCCTTCACCCACCTTCTCTCCCCCTACCTTACCCATCATCACCCCCCTTCCCCCTCTCCCTCCCCTACCCATCCCACCCTTGATCACTCACCTTCCCTTCAGGCGTCCACTCCAAACCCCACAGCTTTCCCGCCATGGCTGCTACATTCTCCACCAACCGTTGGAGCTTAGACGCGTCTCTCCGCCATCACTCACGTTCCCTCTCCCTTTCTCACCCCAACATCCCATCTCCGCCTTCACTCACCTTCTCTCCCTTTATCCCACACTCCACCACTCACCTTCCCTTCTGGCGTCCACTCCAAAAGCCACTGCTTTCCCGCCATCTGCTGGTATCTCCTCCACTAACCGTTGGAGCTTCGACCCCTTCCCCCGCCTTCACTCACCTTCTCGGCCCTTATCCCACACTTCATCACTCACCTTCCCTTCTCGCGTCCACTCCAAATGCCACAGCTTTCCCGCCATTTGCAGTTATCTCCTCCACTAGCCGTTGGACCTTCGATTTGTCTACCAGCCTTCACTCACCTTCTTTCCCCCACCATTCACCCTCTCCTATCTCACACTAAATCTCTCCCCTATCCCACACTTCATCACTCACCTTCCCTTCTGGCGTCCACTCCGAATGCCACTGCTTTCCCACCATCTGCTGCTATCTCCTCCACTAACCGTTGGAGCTTCGATCCGTTCCCCCGACTTCACTCACTTTCTCTCATCCTACCTTACCTCATCATCCCAACTCACCTTCCCTTCTGGCGTCCACTCCGAATGCCACTGCTTTCCCGCCATTTGCTGCTATCTCCTCTACTAGCCGTTGGAGCTTCGATCCGTTTCTCCGAACCACCACCGCCACATACCCTTCCCTGGCGAACCGCCGAGCCACTGCCGAGCCTATGGCGTCTCCCGCACCTACTACCAAAGCGACAGGCTCGGCAGGAGGGGTTCTTTCTGGCGGCGATTGGGTCGAATTCCGGGAATCGGCTTGGAAAGGTCCAGCCGCTGCTTCTGCTGCTGAATCTGCTGCTGTTGAATTTACGCGAATGCCCGAAAATCTATGTAAGGGTGTTGGCGGGACCTTTTGGTAAGAGCTTTCTGATTCGTCGGCGAGGGTATTGGCAACAAGATTGGCGACAGGATCGGCGACAGAAGAAGAACACAAAATTCGGACGAGGGGAGAATGCGTGGAAGCCCCATGATCAGTTGTAAAGTGTGAAGGAACCAACAGCGGGCTTTCCAGTCGACTCAATAGCGGGGATGGGTCTGAGGTACCCGAGTGTAAGAAGGACGGGCCGATGGACCCACCACTGACAGATTCGATACAAGGCAATGGGGAAATGAGACGGGGATGAACGAATTCATAAGGATGGGGTGCGATGTGGCGGGAAAAGACACCGAGTCGGGAACAAGCCCGCGAATCCCACGCCATGACAGACGAGCGGATCTGAACGCTGGGGTCGTGCGAAGACTAGGGGGAGAGTAATTTAGTAATGGTTTCGCCTCTCCTCATTTTCTGCTATAAGGCGGCCCCAAAGGAAATGCTTTTTGGCTGCTCTCCTCCATACCCAACACAAGACGATGGCGTCTCTTTGTATCAGACGTAAGCGATTTCGCATGTATGTGTAAACCATATGCTGAAAATGGGATTGTGAAGAAGCTAAGCAAACAAACTCGTGCGGATTTATCTGGTTCTGTTTCTCTCCATTTTGTAGCTAACCTTATCCAGTCTCAAACGAGGATTTTTCACCAGCGGAAACCAGCCTTATCTTTCGGGATTCAGGACCAATGATGGCAGAGCAAAACGATTTCATTTTTGCGTCATCGTGTTGGTGGGTGGCTCCGCTGTTCATTGGACCAGTGAAGGAGTTGTGCTGCACGTGAGACAGGGTGCTTCCAAATTCTAGAATGTAGGGTTTGTCAAGCCAGACTGTCCGTGGCTCAACGGATCCTCATTAGTCGTCCGCCCATGAAGCGTGGAGGATATTTTGGTTCAGTGTGTGGTTGTCTGCCTGTTCGGGAGCCGCAATTATCAGGGAAAGGATGGAGCGTGAGAAAAATATCAAAAATATCGTTCCTAAGTGGTGTTCTAACCGAGAGTTTCAGGCTCAGTTATTTGGCTTTGAGGATTATGAGATTGTCTGAAGTCGGAGAGTGAAGCGGATTTGTCGATATAGTTCGCGCACAAATACCCATAGAAATAGCCACATTGTGGAAAACCACTACCTCTCTCTCTTCCACGCAATGACACTGCCTCATTTTGCTTGTATTTTCGTTTCCATTTTGGGTGTATTTTTGTATCCTCACATTCCAGGAGGGCGAATCTGGCATCTAGATCTTCGGGGGAATCACCACCATCCACTGTACGGTATTTTCGACATTCCTTGGTGTCAGATCTTTTCCATGGCAAGGTTCCACGGTGGCGTGGCGGCCGCTGCCACACAATGAACCCCCTCAAAAGGCAGGCGGAGGTACAGTTTCCGAAACACGAAATGGGTGCTGCCCCCCCCGTTTCTCCGCAAACTACATTTGGCGTGCAAAAACTGCCACATCAGCCGACCAATCATCGAACCTTAGCCTCGCCGACGTGGGTGGGCTTGGCAGGCTACGTGGGGGGGAGGATGTTGGCCGTCATTTCCACGCATCTCCATCTGATCTGACGGATGATCCGTCCCATCACTATTCCAGACATCCCCGTCTTGATTCGGCTCCAGTGACCTGCCAGGTCATGACTCGTGTACTCATGACTAGGCCCATATGGTCCCATCCCTCGCACACGTCACGTTGAGTGTGGACATGGTCTGCAAGCCAGCCCTCTGAAAAAACCGACAGGTAACGCGCACATCTCCGCCAATTCTCCGCCCACATCACATTGTCCTGTCCTGGCTTTGCGCTGGGTCTCCCTTGAGCTTTCAAATCGCATTTTGTCTGCCCGTTGCTGTGAGTGAAACATTCTCGCGCAGCCAAATTACCTCCCTCGTTACACCTGGTCCTCGTTACCTCGCGTTTAGTATGATGTACAGTACAGTATTCCTCCGTCACCATGCCTTCCTCCCCAGATTTGTGGTTTCCCTGGGTGGAATGAAAACGCTGGCACGATCTCTTGGGCAAAACTGTCCTTGCTGTCGTCAGCAAGACGAAACATACAACCGAGTCCTGCATGATGCGTGACTGTTGAGGGCTGTACTGAGCTGTCATCATTTACCTCGCATCACACCGCGTTCTACATACAATACACCCAACCCAACCTTTTTCAGCCAGTTTTGAATCAACCAAACCGATCCTAACCAAACTAATACCTCAACGACCGTCGCCATTATCAGCCTGGCTTAGACCAGGAGTCTCGCAAACTGAATCCTTCACCCTCTTGACCTGGCATCCATTACCAACCGACCACGCTTCCTCCCTCACCCAAACTCAGATTGTATTCCTACGTAGGGACACCATCCGAAGTAGGGACACCTGGTTGTTTTTTTTTTTAATTTTTTTATTTGCTTTCGAATGGAAGTCTACGTCAGATGTTACCCCGTAGTTTGAAAGGCTGGAAAACATCTCATGCCCAATCTTGCGTCAGAAGTAGCTAGTCTCGATGTGTCGGGTGACGAGCGGAGTATGCGAGTCAGATGAACTCACTCAGCCGCACTTACTCAACTGACTGACACTTGAGACGAGCGGTGTACTGACATTGCTAAGAAATTCGTGTGTTTATTTTATAATTGCAACTTTCAGAGCATCGTTTGTAGGTCACGTTGAACTAGGAGAAATAGCCATGCAACACGGAAATTGTCCCAACTTCGCATGGTGTCCCTGCGTTGGAATCTCAACCCACACACCGCCACCCACATCGCTGTAGGAGGACCAGCCACCATAGATTTTCGATTACACCTCTCCCTCGGCAATTTCAACACCCGCGCTGCGGGAGTTACTGTTTGTCGTTTTTGGGCTTGTTGAAATTGGAGGGAACAAAGTAGTTCCGATAGTCAGCGCGGTTTCACTCGGTTTCGTAATGCTCAATACCGTGATACAGGCGTTTTAATTGGTTCTGAGCTTTTTCGAGAGGTTGTGAGGCCGAATCGCGCCGGGCCCATGACCCATGTCGAGACAAAAGGTGTTGAAATTGCCGGGAATTGAAATTGGCGCGGGACAGGTGTAGCAGCACTGCTTGCAGTTCTGAGGAGCTTGTTGGTGGGGTATCGAACTTGCCACATAATTTGGTCAGGCCCCCACACATCCCCATTCGATAGAATTCTGCGGATTTCGAGAGGAGAGGATCCTTTCAGCTTTGCTGAGAGGCGTATTCTTGCTCGGTGTTTTCAAGACATTGCTGAGACAAGATCCTACTCACTGGACAACACATTACCGTCTAGTTTTCACAATTTGCTTGCATTTTGCAACGCGAACTCCCCCGAACCGCTGCTAGCTCGTCAACAATGGCGCTCCAAATCGCCTCCACCCAAAAAGTTTCTCCCCCCTTTTTCATACCACGAGCCGCCAGTTGTCAAGAGTTTTTTCAAGAGGCTACGGTCCGACAAACCGCTTCACTCTGCGGAAATTCATCAAATTCTCAGAGAGGCAAGATACCCGTCGCAGAAGGAAGCGCCGCGGCGCCGGCATTGACTTGCTTGGGACGAATCAAGAGCCATTTGCTGATGGAAGCGCTTTCGTCGGTACAGATTCCGTCATATGCGGGGAGCGCCGCGGCTTGCGTCGAATCGGCGTCAACGGCCGTTGAATTTGAATCTGCTCGTGGGCCGTCGGAAGAAAACTGCGGCGGCATGGAGCGGCTCGGCTCGATTTCAGTGATCGGCGGAGTATTTCATGATAAAGCCATCCAAGATACCGGTGTTTTCTCGCGCCGCCTTGAATCGTCGCACGAAGCCAGCGGCGACCCTTTGAACGCGGCGACGTCGCTTGAAGCGTCGCCATCATCGTCGCCGGCGCCTAAATCTCCCGCGCCGCCTGAGGCGGACGAGTCAGCGAGGTCTTGCCCGGGGGCACCGATGAAGCGAAGGTTATACAACCGATCGCGGCTCGCTGCTATTTCAGATATGAACAAGTTTCGAAGGGCGGTCCGAGAGTTAAGCTTCGGTTTTTCTTTAAACGGCAATGTAGTTACGCGAGATTCGTCCTGCGACGTCGCCTCCGTCGCGACGAACGCGGCGATGTCGCCTGGAGGGTCGAATCCGTCGCATGGAGTGTCGCATCCGTCGCGACCGTCGCATCCGTCGCTGGCGCCCGCAGGATGGCATTCCCCGCCCCCGTCCGGCGTTTCTCCTGAAGCGGACACGTCAGCAAAAACCTTGCCGCCTGCTGCGCCGAAAAAGCGGAGGCCGGGATACTATAGGTCGGGAGATCACGCTGCCGCGATGCCTAAGACCAAGAGGTGCCGGATCGTGTCGCGAAAGCTGGATTTCGGTGTGGCTTCAAGCCGCGTGTTACTCACTTAAAGCTCCTGTTCGTTTTGGTCAAGTTTTTTCAGCAGTGTGTTGTGCTTTTGTGTGTGGGTGGGGGGGATAATGCGTGAATAGGCTATTCATGCATTGCTTGTGTGTTGTTTTTCTAACTGATTATGAAAAGCTGACCATCCATCCATGCCGGTTTGAGGCGAAACGTGATAGAGGGTTGGCTCATCCAAAGTCTTGGCATAACCATACAGTCACTTGGTACTTGATGAGCCATGAAGTGCAAGCTAGAAATTCAAGACTAACCAGAATAATGACAGGGGGTTCACACTGTATCACACTTGCACAATACAGACATAGCAGGTAATAAACACCTCAAATGTAGACACGTGTGCTTCTTATTCAAGCGCCTCAACCCACCAGCCCTCCCTTACACCCTCGCATTTAAACCTCCTTTTTGGAAACATCTTCTTGGGAGCTGTACCCAGTTTTACCACCACCACCCACTTTCCAAATTAAGCTGCGCTGACCTCAATCCCCATTGACTCGGTTTTCTCAGCCACGACTTTCGAAACTTCCTTGGAAGCATCTTCGAGCGACCTCGCCTTTTGCACCACTTCAAACGCTTCGATACTGTCGCCCTGCCGCCACTCCTCCCGCCCCCCAAAGTTACGCTGCGCTGACCGCAATTCCCATTGACTCTGTTTTTTCAGCAACAGCTTTGGAAACTTCCTTGGAGGCATCCTCGAGGGACCTCGCCTTTTGCACCACCTCAAACGCCTCGATGCTGTCGCCCTGCTGCCACTCGTCAAAACCCTCCACCCCCACGCCGCACTCAAGGCCTGCTACAACCTGATGTTGGGGAACAGGAAGGGATAAGGAGGGTTACAGAGGGGTACAGAGGGAGGTGGAGAGAGTAAATGTTTCGACGCTGTCGCCCTGCTGCCACTCGTCAAAACCCTCCACCCCCACGCCGCACTCCAGCCCCGCTACAACCTGCAGCACGTGACAAAGGGAGCAGGCGGGGTCAGGGTCTTAAAGTTTAGGGTGTGCTAACAGGAGAGCCTCGATGCTGTCGCCCTGCTGCCACTCGTCAAAGCCCTCCACGCCCACCCCGCACTCCAGTCCCGCTACCGCCTGGCATAAGGCGGATAAGAGGGGAAGGAGATGGAGTGGACACCCTCAATGCTTCAAGCGTGTCGCCCTGCTGCCAATCATCAAAACCCTCCACCACTCCCACGCCGCACTCCAGCCCCGCTACAACCTGGCATAAGGGGGATAAGAGGGGAAGGAGGTGGAATGGACACCCTCAATGCCTCGATGCTGTCGCCCTGCTGCCACTCGTCAAAGCCCTACACCCCCACGCCGCATTCAAGGCCTGACACCACCTGCGATGCAATATGTGTTGATGGGAGTGGGTACAATAAGGGAACGATAAGGTGGGACAGGTGTGGTGACAGGAGAGCCTCTATGCTGTCGCCCTGCTGCCGCTCATCAAAGCCCTCCACTCCCACGCCACACTCCAGCCCCGCTACCACCTGGTGTTGGGGAATGGGAAGGGATACAGAGGGATTCAGAGGAATATAGAGGGATGGATACAGAGGGATGCAAATAGTGAATGCCTCGATGCTGTCGCCCTGCTGCCACTCGTCAAAGTCCTCGACCCCCACCCCGCACTCCAGCCCTGCTACAACCTGGCATAAGGGGAAAAAGAGGAGAAGGAGATGAAGTGTGCACCACTTCGAATGCCTCGATGCTGTCGCCCTGCTGCCACTTATCAAAGCCCTCCACGCCCATGCCGCACTCCAACCCTCCTACAACCTGCAATATATGACAATGGGAAGGGGATTGAGAAAGAGACAGGTGTGATCACAGGAGAACCTCGATGCTGTCGCCCTGCCGCCACTTATCAAAGCCCTCCACCCCCAACCCCACGCCGCACTCCAACCCTGCTACGACCTGGTGTTTGGGATGGGAGAAACGGAAGCAGGGGAATGGGGGAAGAGGATAGAATGTGGGGCAGTCGATGACGAATGACCGCCACTCCTCACCACTTCCATTCGAATAAACAAGATATCCCCGTACTCTTTAGAACATTGACCGGCTTTGTACTCGTTATAAGCGTACCTCCTTCGCGAGCTCCTTCACTCGTCGGAGAGATGTGAGTGTACCCGAGAAAACCTCCTTCTTCCCTCGAATCACAGCCACCCCACACCCCTTGACGAGCTTCCCTTATTTCCACAGCAACTTCATACTCGTTATAAGTGTACCTCCTTAGCGAGTTCCTTGACTCGTCGGAGAGATGTGAGTGTACCCGAGAAGACCTCCCTCTTCCCTCGAATCACCGCCACCCCACACCCCTTCACGAGCTTCCCTTCTGTGACCATCACCCCAGCCACCTTGCTGTTTCGTACACCTTATAGACGTACCTCCTTAGCAAGTTCCTTGACTCGTCGCAGCGACGTGAGTGTACCCGAGAAGACCTCTTTCTTTCCTCGAATCACCGCCACCCCACACCCCTTGACGAGCTTGCCTTCAGTCACCATCACCCCAGCCACCTTGCTGCTCCCCGCACCAAACACCGCCCGAACCTCCGCCGAGCCTAGAGGCGTGCGCTCCTGGATTTTGAAAGCAAAGGGAAAGAAGGAGCGGGGAGGGGGAGGGGAAGAAGGAAGGAAGGGGGAATGAAGGGGGAAGGAAGGGGGAAGGAAGGGGGAAGGAAGGGGGAAGGAAGGGGGAAGGAAGGGGGAAGGAAGGGGGAAGGAAGGGGGAAGGAAGGGGGAAGGAAGGGGGAAGGAAGAGGGAAGGAAGGGGGAAGGAAGGGGGAAGGAAGGGGGAAGGAAGGGGGAAGGAAGGGGGAAGGAAGGGGGAAGGAAGGGGGAAGGAAGAGGGAAGGAAGAGGGAAGGAGACACAGGAGATGAGGGAGGGCAGAGAAGGATGGTAATGGGTGCGAGACAAGATGGCTTGAATATCATAGATAACCCAATACATCCGCACTTCCACGCCCTTCTCCTCTGCTGCTTGGACTCACACGCCCTTCCCCACAGGCATAGGACAGATATCAGCACTCTCCTTCTCTTCTCACCTCAACAGAGTCAAGCAGCCCCTCCATTGCCTTGCGGACATCATCAATCAGATCATAAATGACCCGGTACGTGCGCACTTCCACACCATTCCCCACAGGCACGGGCACAGGCACTCTCTATCTATGGTCTCACCTCAACAGAGTCAAGCAGCCCCTCCAGTGCCTTGCGAACATCATCAATCAGGTCGTAAGTCACCCGATTCGTCCGCACTTCCACAGGGCAGGCACAGGAGAGAGCGCACCTCAACAGAATCAAGAAGCCCCTCCATTGCCTTGCGAACATCATCAATCAGGTCGTAGATGACCCGGTACGTCCGCACTTCCACGCCCTTCTCCTCTGCTGCTCAGACTGACACGCTCTATCCACTGGCTTCTATACGACAGGCACAGGGAAGGGAACATACCTCCACGGTATCAACACGGTATCAAGAAGCCCCTCCATGGCCTTGCGAACATCATCGATTAAATCGTAAATGACCCGGTACGTCCGCACTTCCACGCCCTTCTCCTCTGCTGCTGCCTCCACGGCGGGAGGCATGCCCACGTTGAACGCCAGCACAACCACAGTCGCCACTACCTAGCACCGCTCAGAACCGCCCAGCACCACTCAGCCAGTTGTGCTGCTGCCTCCACAGCGGGCGGCATGCCCACGTTGAATGCCAGCACGAGCAGAGCACCTCCGAGCACCACTCAGCACCGTTCAAGAGTGCTCAGAACAACTCAGCACAGGGAAGAGAGCATACCTCAACACTGTCCAGCAGACCCTCCATTGCCTTGCGAACATCATCGATCAGATCATAGATAACTCGGTACGTCCGCACTTCCATGCCCTTCTCCTCTGCTGCTGCCTCCACAGCCGGAACTGACACGCCCACATGCTGTCATGCCCAATCTCTCACCTCCACGGTATCAAGCAGCCCCTCCATGGCCTTGCGAACATCACCAATCAAATCGTAGATGACCCGATAGGTCCGCACTTCCACGCCCTTCTCCTCTGCTGCTGCCTCCACAACGGGTGGCATGCCCACGTTGAATGCCAGCACGACAACCAGAGCACCACTCAGCACCACCAGAGAACCATTCAGGACCACTTTCAAGGCCAGTTCTCACCTCCACGGTATCAAGAAGACCCTCCATTGCCTTCCTGACATCGTCAATCAAATCGTAGATGACCCGATAAGTCCGCACTTCCACGCCCTTCTCCTCTGCTGCTGCCTCCACAGCGGGTGGCATGCCCACGTTGAATGCCAGCACGACCGCCTCGCTAGCAACCGCCAGGTCAATGTCACTCAGTGCCACGTCACCAGCAGCCTGAGGGAAGGGGGAGGAGGGGGCAGGGGGAGCGGGGGAGGGAAAGTGGGAGAGGGGGGGTAGTGGGGGAAAAGGGAGGGGAGAATGGAGAGGGGAGGGATGAGGAAAGGCGGGAAGAGGGGAAGGGAGAGATGGAGGAAGAAAGAGAGTAAGCCAGTTGTGCTGCTGCCTCCACAGCAAGTGGCATGCCCACGTTTAGGGCTTTGAAACGTCTCAAAGCGAACTAATAGGCTGCCTCCACAGCGGGGAATGGGGGAGCAAGGGCGCTGCTGCCTCCACGGCGGGTGGCATGCCCACGTTGAATGCCAGCACGACCGCCTCGCTGGCAACCGCCAGGTCACTGTCACTCAGTGCCACGTCACCAGCAGCCTGGGGGGAAGCAATTGGGGTTGGGGAGAGAGGAGGGAGAACGGGGAGAAAAGAGGGAAAGGGGCAAGGGAGAGGAGAGACGGGAGGGAGGAGGGAAGGAAGTAGTGGGGGGAGGGAGAGATGGTGAGTGAGGAGGAGCAAGTGGTGCTGCTGCCTCCACGGCGGGCGGCATGCCCACGTTGAACGCCAGCACCGCCGCCTCGCTGGCGACCGCCAGGTCAATGTCACTCAGTGCCACGTCACCAGCAGCCTGTGGTGGGGCGGGGGGGGGGGTGGAAGTCGGGGTTTGGTGAAAGGGGAGGGAGGAGGGATGGGCGGAGGGATGGGCGGGGGGAAGGAGGGAGGCGGGAAAGGGGTAAGCGGAGAGACGAGGGGAGAGGTGGAGCAAGCCAGTTCTGACTTTTGAGGCGCCTCAAAAGGGGTAAGGTAAGCGGAGAGACGAGGGGAGAGGTGGAGCAAGCCAGTTCTGCCGTTTCCACAGCGGGCAGAGATACGCGTGTGATAAGTCGATTTTTGAGTCGACTAAAAAATCGACTTATCACACACAGCGGGCAGAGATACATGTTTTGAGACGTCTCGAACCTGAATTTCACCTAAGACGTAGCCTAATACGAATTTCACCTGAATAGCGGAACGAGTCTCACCTGCAGCAGGAAGCGCAGCGACACGGTGTCTTGTGGCAGAGCTGCCAGCGCTTCTCTGATCGCCTCCACAGCACCCTGCGAGATGAGAGAGAGGGGTACAGAAAGGTGGAAGGGAGTGAGGAGGGATGCAAGGCAGCGACACGGTGTCTCATGGCAGTGCTGCCAGAGCCTCTCCACAGCACCCTGCGAGATGATAGAGAGAGGGGAAGAGGGGTACAAAACGGTGGAGGGGGGTGAGCAGGAAACGCAGTGACGAGTCAGTCAAACCCCACAAGACCCATGAAGGTACCCACCTGGTTGTCCACTTTGAGAATCACGTTCAGCTGGTGGAATTCGAGTCCCTCCTCATCGCTCTCCCCATCACTGCCCGCCCCTCCTCCTCCTGCTCCTCGTCCCGCCAGCGCAGACAGCGACACCTTCCACTCGCCCTGCAGGGCTGCCAGCCTCATTGCCCCCTGCCCCTTTCACCCGATAGACTGAAGCACCCACCCACCTGGTTGTCAACTTTCAAGATCACGTTCAGCTGGTGGAACTCCAGTCCCTCCTCATCGCCCTCGCCATCACTTCCCACTCCTCCAGACGCCCCACGACCCGCCAGCGCAGACAGCGACACCTTCGACTCGCCCTGCAGGGCTCAACTCCTCCCACGTGTGAACCACATACACACCTGGTTATCCACTTTCAGGATCACGTTCAGCTGGTGGAACTCCAGCCCCTCCTCATCGCCCTCCCCATCACTGCCCGCTCCTCCAGAAGCTCCACGACCAGCTAAGGCAGACAGAGACACCTTCGACTCGCCCTGCAGGGCCGCCAGCCTGGCGGTGCGCAGCTTCGCGGCAGCTTCCTCCGCCATGGAGCGCGCCTGGTCAAGCGAGTCAACCACTTCAAAGTGGTCGCCTGCTACCGGCACGGAGCTCAGGCCAAGCACCTGTATGTGTGGAGCAATGATGGACATGTGCATGGGGAGAGAGCTGAGGGCCTGGTCAAGCGAGTCAACCACCTCGAAGTGGTCGCCCGCTACTGGCACGGAGCTCAGACCGAGAACCTGTGACGCGGGCAGAGAGAGAAGGTTTTACACAAATACACTGAGGAAAAAGCTAAGGGCCTGGTCAAGCGAGTCAACCACTTCAAAGTGGTCCCCTGCTACCGGCACTAAGCTCAGGCCGAGCACCTGATATGTGTGGGGGAATGATAGATATACATGAGGAGATAAGGGCCCGGTCAAGCGAGTCAACCACTTCGAAGTGATTCTCTGATACTGAGACGGAGCTGAGACATACTGCTAGATCCCACCCAGCTAAGCAGTGAATGCCTTACAACATCCCCATTGATCAAGAGAAGGTAAGCTGGCTTACCTCCACAACGAGAGAAGGCCCAGCAGAGCTTGGACCTGAAGAGCTTCACGTGGGAACAGCATATGTTTCACTTGGTTACCTCACCACCTCCCCAGACTAGCAGTGCAGCACTATACCAAAAGGCTTACCTCCACAGCGAGGGAAGGACCAGCGGAGTCGCTGCGGCTGCCCGTGTCGTCCACTAGAGCTCGGATCTGGATGAGGGAGAGGGGTGGAGAGGGGTGGAGAGGGGTGGAGAGGGGTGGAGAGGGGTGGAGAGGGGTGGAGAGGAGTGCAGGGGAGTGAAGGGGAGTAGAGGGGGGGAGTGGAGAGGGGTGGATAGAGGTGAGGGCGGGTCAGCAGAGTCGCTACCACTGCCTGTGTCGTCCACTAGAGCTCGAATCTGACATTGGGAGAGGGGAGAAATGGCCGCGGGCATTGAGAGATGGGAGAAATGGCCAGCCTCAGCGTGCCGTTCTGCACCAGCTGCGTCGCAACAGGCCCCCTCTTATCTACTACCCATTCCCAACCTATCTACACCATCTCCACCCATCTCCATCTCCCCACATCTTTCCACCCCCTCCATCCCTCTCAATCCTCACCTTGCCGTACGCCTCTCCACACAGCACCACGTCTCCCAGCCGCCGCGTGCCGTTCTGCACCAGCCAACCTCCACCCATCTCCACCCATCTCTCCCCTCTCTCCATTCCAAACCCTCACCTTCCCGTACGCCACTCCACACAGCACCACCCCGCCCAGCCTCAGCGTGCCATTCTGCACCAGCAGCAGCAGCAGCAGCAGCAGCAGCAGCAGCAGCAGCACCACCACCACCAGGGGGTTCCTCCAATTTTTCAATACCACCAGGGGGCTCCTTTAGCAAGGCCCACCTAGTATTAACACTCACTCACCTTCCCATACGCCTCTCCACACAGCACGACGTCTCCCAGCCTCAGCGTGCCGTTCTGCACCAGCAGCACAGATTGCCCACATACACCATACCCCGATGCCCATTCTCCTCCCACAAGTCATACCTTCCCGTAAGCCTCGCCACACAGCACGACGCCTCCCAGCCTCAGCGTGCCGCTCTGCACCAGCACAATCGCCACGGGCCCCCATGTTCCCCCACCCCCCCCCATTACCCGCCCCCCTCTTCCTCTCCACTACTCCTCCTCCCATCCCAACCCAGTCTCACCTTCCCATACGCCTCGCCACACAGAACGATGTCTCCCAGCCTCAGCGTGCCGTTCTGCACCAGCAGCATCGCCACCGGCCCTCATGATCTCCCACCCATTACCCGTCAAACTCTTCCTCTTCTCTCCACTACTCCTTCTCCTCTCATCCGAACCCAGCCTCACCTTTCCATATGCCTCGCCACACAGCACCACGTCTCCCAGCCTCAGCGTGCCCTTCTGCACCAGCAGTATTGCCACAGGCCCCTTCTGCATGTCCGCTACCCATTCCCAACCCACCTCCACCCATCTAAACCCATCTCCACCCATGTCCACCCATCTCCCCACATCTTTCCACCCCCTCCATCCCTCCCAACCCTCACCTTCCCATACGCCTCTCCACACAGCACCACGTCTCCCAGCCGCAGTGTGCCGTTCTGCACCAGCAGCGTCGCCACCCACAGGCCCTCATGATCTCCCATCACCCGCCCCGCTTTTCCCCTGCACTCCTCCTCCTCCCGTCATCCCAGCCCAGCCTCACCTTCCCGTATGCCTCCCCACACAGCACCACGTCTCCCAGCCTCAGCGTGCCGTTCTGCACCAGCAGCGTCGCCACCCACTGGACCCCTCTGCTTGCCCACTACCCACTGGTCATATCCCTCCTCCTCCCCCCCCCCACCAAAGGAAACCATACCTTCCCATACGCCTCTCCACACAGCACCACATCGTCCAACCTCAGCATGCCGTTCTGCACCAGCAGTGTCGCCACCCACTGGCCCTCATGATCTCCCATCACCCGTCCCGCTTTTCCCCTGCACTCCTCCTCCTCCCGTCATCCCAACCCAGCCTCACCTTGCCGTACGCCTCGCCACACAGCACGACGTCTCCCAGCCGCAGTGTGCCGTTCTGCACCAGCAGCACCACCACCGGCCCCCCCTGCTTGTCCACTACCCACTGGTCATATCTCTTTGCCACTCCCCCCTCCCCCAACCCATCCCCAACCTGTAAACCATACCTTGCCATAGGCCTCGCCGCACAGCACCACGTCTCCCAGCCTGAGTGTTCCATTCTGCACCAGCAGAGTCACCACCGGCCCCCTCTGCTTGCCCAGTACAGTACCCACTACCCCACTACCCACTGGTCATACATCCCTCCTCCTTCCCCCTCCCTTCCCCCTGTAAGTCATACCTTGCCGCATGCCTCTCCACACAGCACCACGTCTCCCAGCCTCAGCGCCGTTCTGCACCAGCAGCGTTGCCACCCACTGGCCCTCTCTGCTTGCCCAATACCCACTGGTCATATCCCTCTCCCCCTCACTACCTTCCATTCTCACCTTCCCATAAGCCTCTCCACACAGCACCACGTCTCCCAGCCGCAGTGTGCCGTTCTGCACCAGCAGTGTCGCCACCCACTGGCCCTCATGATCTCCCATCACCCGTCCCGCTTTTCCCCTGCACTCCTCCTCCTCCCGTCATCCCAGCCCAGCCTCACCTTCCCGTATGCCTCCCCACACAGCACCACGTCTCCCAGCCTCAGCGTGCCGTTCTGCACCAGCAGCGTTGCCACCGGCCCCCTCTGCTTGTCCAGGCTTGCTTCTATTACAGTTCCTGCTGCCTGCCTGTCCGGATTGGCACGGAGCTCTTGAATCTGCATGGGATTAAATAGAAATGAGGGGGAAGGGAGGGTTGTGGCGACAGGGAAATATTAATGTTCGTCCCACAACAACACCATACCCCCCCCTTTCTGCTTGTCCAGGCTTGCTTCTATCACAGTTCCTGCTGCCCGCCTGTCCGGATTGGCACGCAGCTCTTGAATCTGCTCCGGAATAAATAGAAATGAGGGGGAAGGGAGGGTTGTGATGACAGGGAAAGATTGATGGTGGTCCCACAACAACACCATACACCCCCCCGCCCCCCCCCCTTCTCTGCTTATCTAGACTCGCCTCTGCCTTTCACAGCCCCTGCTGCCTGCCTGTCGGGATTGGCACGGAGCTCTTGAATCCACAGGAGGGATAAAATAAAGAGGAGGGAAGTTGGGGATGGGCGAGAGAAGATGAGATGTCACCACCACAGCAACGACCAGCATCACCACTACCCCCCTCCGCCCCATCACGTGCCCCTTCTCTCGAGTTCAAACACAGCCTTCTTCTATAGACACACACCCATTTTCGCTTCCACAACACTTCCCTTCCCTTCGAAACAGCTTCAGTTCCAACCCTTCTCCCCTCAGCCACGAGCATGATCGTCTCGAGAAGGCTGTCCACTCCAGCTCCTACCTAGGCCTCTTGAAACATCTAACACTCCATTTCCCTTCAACCCCCCTCCCACTTTCTCACTCCCTCTATTCCGCACCTCGGCCACGAGCATGATTGTCTCAAGAAGGCTGTCCACTCCTAGGCCTGTCTTATGTCTCTCTTGATACAACTAACCCTCCTCCTCTTCCTTCAAACACCCCTGCTTCAACCCACCCTTCTATTCTTTCAGAATCTCACCTCAGCCACGAGCATGATCGTCTCGAGAAGGCTGTCCACTCCTAGGCCTGTCTTTGCACTGACCTGCAGTGACGGGAAAACCATTTGGAAGGCATGAGTGAGAGGGGGAGTGGGAGGGAAAATGAGTGGCTGTATGTGATTGAGGGGGAGTGGGCATGATCGACCCTAGAGGGCTCAGGGCTGTCCACTCCTTGGCCCGTCTTTGCACTGACCTGCAGCGATGGAAAGACAATTGGGAGGGGTGGGACGAGTGGATGGGTGTGTGCATGAAGGCAAGAGTGGGCATGATCGACCCTAGAGAGCTGCCCTCTCCTAGGCCTGTCTGTCTTTGCACTGACCTGCAGCGATGAATAAACGAGTGGGAGGGGCGTGAGTGATAAGGGGGTGTGATAGGGAGGGGTGGTGAGCGAGACAAATGAATGAGAGTGTGTACGATTGTGACACACACAAGCACTCACCGGCACCATGGGAGTGTCTCCTCCCCACTCCTCCGACATCAGCCCTCCCGCTGCTGCAAGCTCCTGGGACATCAACCCGCCTGCTACATGCACACACTCATGCACTCACCGGCACCATGGGCGTGTACTATACTGCCCCCCACTCCTCCGACATCAGCCCTCCTGCAGCCAGCTCATGTGTCCAGTCCATCCACCAAACCACCACACGACCTATGTATATGCTCATTCCGTTTCAGTCATACACACACAGCACAATCACATGTGCATGCTCTGCACTCACCGGCACCATGGGCGTGTCTCCTCCCCATTCCTCCGACATCAGCTCCCCTGCTGCAAGCTCCTGCCACCTCCTTCGCCCATCCACCACACCACACAACACCACACAGCACCACACTACACCACACCAGACCACACAACCTCCACCAGCCCTCGGTTTCTCTCTGTGGTCATGCGTCGCTACACTCACACACACAGTCACAAGCACTCACCGGCACCATGGGCGTGTCTCCACCCCACTCCTCCGACATGAGCCCTCCCGCTGCCAGTTCCTGCATCACCCTGTCCGCGTTCGCGCCCTCCTTGTCCATCTGGTCACGGGAGACAGTGAAGAACAAGAGAGAGCGGAGGGAGATTGAGAGGGGAGAGAGCGACTAAAGCTATGCATCAACCCTCCTCCTGCTGCCAGCTCGGAAGAGTGGTCACGGAAATACTGCCAGCTCCTGCATCACCCTGTCCGCGTTCGCCCCCTCCTTGTCCATCTGCGTGTGGGAGGGGGGCACATCTGTCAATCACCGCTATATCCGTCATCCGCGTACCCATCCATACCCATCCTCTTTATAATCATACCTTGTTAATCGCAACCATGTTAGGCACACCAGCAGCGCGGGTATGAGCAATAGCCTCCGAGGTCTGAGGCCTGACCCCATCGTCTGCTGCCACCACAATCACCGCTATATCCGTCACCCTGCTCTCAACCTGTCCACTCCCCTCCCCCCTTGCCCCAACTTCCGAACCCGTACCTTGCTAATAGCTACGACGATGGGAACACCAGCAGCGCGGCCATGAGCAATCGCCTCCGAGGTCTGAGGCCTGACCCCATCATCTGCTGCCACCACAATCACCGCTATATCCGTCACCCCCTCTCTCATTAACCCCTGTTTTTCCAGATGCATCCTCGTTACAGCCATAATCATACCTTGTTGATGGCCACAACGATAGGAACGCCAGCAGCGCGGGCGTGGGCTATAGCCTCCGAGGTCTGAGGCCTGACCCCATCATCTGCTGCCACCACAATCACCGCTATATCCGTCACCCGCGCCCCCCGCGCGCGCATGGCACTGAACGCCTCGTGACCTGGCGTGTCCAGGAACACACACGTGTGCAGCCCTGCCTCGTTCTCATCCTCCACGTCAGCATCCGAGTCAGCGCCTGAGTCAGCGTCTGAGTCAGCAGCGTAGGGCACCCACACGCGGTAGGCTCCGATTCCTTGGGTGATCCCGCCTGCCTCCCCTGCTGCCACCTTGGTCTTGCGAATGTAATCAAGAAGAGAGGTCTGTTGAATTGAAAGGGAGGGGGAGGGGAGTGAGAAAAGGGAGTGGGAAGGGAGGGGAGAGGGAGGGAAGAGGGAGGGGAGTGGGAGGGTGAGGTGCGTAGAAGGAGAGTGGGAGTGGAGTGGGCGGGGTGGAGGGGGAGGGGAGTGGGAGGTGCATGGGAGAAGGTCATGGGATGGGTGCTTCGTGTGCTTAACTTGGTCTTGTGAATGTAGTCAAAGAGAGACCTTCACCTTTCTATTCCTCTTGCCACTTTTACCCCGTTATAGTCTCACCTTGCCATGGTCCACGTGGCCCATTATAGTCACAACAGGCGGCAGGCGCACCACCAGGTGCTCCAGATCCTCTTCCCACTGCTTTTTTTCTCGTTATAATCTCCCCTCGCCATGGTCCACATGGCCCGTTTTAGTCACAACAGGCGGGCGCACCACCAGGTGCTCCAGATCTTCCTCCCCCACTTCAAATTTCACCTCCCATGGTTAACTTAATCTTACCTCGTTACAGTCTCACCTTTGTTATAAGCTCACCTTGCCATGGTCCACGTGGCCCGTAAAAGTCACGACAGGCGGGCGCACCATCAGGTGCTCCAGATTCTGCTGTCACTCTTCCTGTTTCCCTTGTATAATAGTATACCTCTCATAGTTACCTCACCTCGTTATAGACTCACCTTGCCATGGTCCACGTGTCCCATTTTAGTCACGACAGGCGGGCGCACCACCAGGTGCTCCAGGTCCTCTTGTCACTGATGATTCACCTTTGAATATATAATCAAATATCCTCTTTCCTCGTTATAAGCTCACCTTTCCATGGTCCACGTGGCCCATTATAGTCACAACAGGCGGGCGCACCACCAGGTGCTCCAGGTCCTCCTCCTGGACAAACTCGCGCTGCTTCCTGGCAGCTTCCTCCACCGCTGCCTCGCTGGCGTCTAGAACCTCCACCCCGTACTCGGCACACACCATGCGCACTGTATCCTCGTCAAGAACCTGATTCACTGTAGTCATGATGCCCTGTAACGAGAATGTGGTTATAACGGGGTGTGACAATGACGGACGTTATTATGGCAAATAAATGTAACAGAAGGCCACTGTCAAGCACCTCCGCACCACACTCAGCACACACCATGCGCACTGTACCCTCGTCAAGAACCTGGTTACTGTAGTAATGATGCCCTGTAACGAATATGCGATTATAGTGGGCGTCGTCAAACCCTTCCGCCCATCAGGGCCTTGGCCACGTCCGAGTCGTTAACCGTCACCTCCCGCGCCAGCTCCTGCACGCTCATGCCCTCCTTCCCCACCCAAACCCATCACTCAACCCTCTTTCCCAAGCTTCAGAGGTATTTCCGCCCATTCCCCCATCCCATCCCCCACGACGCACCTTCATGAAGAGAGCCTTGACCACGTCCGAGTCGTTCACCGCCAGTTCCCGCGCCAGCTCCTGCACGCTCATGCCCTCCCCCACGCAAACCCCTCCCATGAGCCCCAACCGTCCCCATCACGCACCTTCATGAAGAGAGCCTTGACCACGTCCGAGTCGTTAACCGCCAGTTCCCGTGCCAGCTCCTGCACACTCATGCCCTCCTTCCCCACTTCCAGAATTTCCGCCTGAACAGGCGCAGCGGCCTTCTTCGCTTCCTCGCGCGCAGCTCTGCGCGAAGCTTTGCTCTGCTTCCGGTTCCCCCGCGCCTGCTCCGCCAGAGTTGCGCTTTTCCCCCCGCGCTTCCCCCGTCCCGCCCCCGGCCCGCCCTCGCGGTCGCCTTCCCCGCCTCTCCTCCGCGTGTCCTTCCGCCCGCCTCGTCCCGGCGCCCTGTCCGGAGCCCCGAAAGGCCCGGGGGGAGGAGCTCCGCCGAGTGCGCTTGCGCCGCCCCTGCCCTCCGCGGCGGGCTGCACTCTTCGCCCAGCATCGCGCAGAATGGGGCCCCTGCGCGGAGCACCTTCCGCGCCCGCGGAAGCGGCGGAAGCGCGCTCATCGTCGGAAGACGAAGCGTCGGCGGAACCCTTGGGCTTCCACGCCAGCTTCTCCTTTGCGCTCACTCCGCCTGCGCCGGCGGCGGGCGCTTGCGTCTGTCCGCGCACGTACACGCCCGGGCGCGCCGGAGCCGGCTGCGCGGGAGGGGCGGGGCGGCTGAACGACGCCACAGGGCGATCCAGCTTCGGCCTGTCTAACCTGACCGGCTTGGGCCGAACCACCGTTGGAGGCTCGGCATCTGCGGAGTCCGCGCTGGCACTCGACTCAGCGCCTTCTGCTGCGTTACTTGCTGCCCCGTTAGGCGTTTCCTTGCGCACAAGCACAATCTCTTCCACGTCCGAACCTGAACCCCCGTCCCCTTCCCCTGCGCTCTCCCCTGCTCCCGCGGATGACCCGTTCAGCGCAACACCGCCGTCCGCTCCCCCCGCCACTCCGCCATTCCCCATCCGCTCCGCCTTCTCCAAGATCTCCTTAAGATTCTGCACCGCCGCCACACCCGCGCTGTCCGGGCCCGGGGCGCGCGCGGCGCGGTCCCTCGGCCTAAAAACACTCTTCCCGCTTGCGGCAACACCCCCGTTCGGTCGCGCCCCCGCTACTCCGGGCCTCGAGGCCCACGACCTCGCTCCGCCGCGTGCGCCGGCGGCTGGCGCGGCGGGTCTTGCGGGCGGCTGCGCTGGCGCTGGGCGCACGAGAACGGGTTTGGAGAGCTGCGGGGGCTCTGGGGAAGCGGAAGCATCCGCGGAAGCGTCGGAAGCATTTCCCCCGGTGGTGGTGGCGGAGTCAACAGCTGTAACAGTTACAGTTTCAGGGCCGGTCGCTGTAGTGGTAACCGCGATATGTCTTCGCGAAACGTATCGCCGCGACGAGGTGCTGTGGGCAAGCGACGTGCCGCTTAGGAGAAGAGAAGAGCCGATGTTTCCTCGCTTAAGAGAAGAGATGCCGACTTGCGAAGAGGAAGTGCTCCTCGCGCGTCGCGTGAGCTGCTGGCACGCGCAGCTGTACGCTCTGCCGTCAGCGGAGGCTGACGTGGCAGAACGTGACGTGGCAGAGAATGGCGTAGCAGGCTGAGCGACTGCGCATCCGCTGAGTGTGCGGCTGATGGCTGAAGCCATGCTGTCGAACTCGCGTTTCTTCTGGAAATGACAAATGCAGCTGCTATCGGCCTACACTCAGCGAGAATGACGTCAGCAGGGCAGGCGACTAGCGGCGCGATGGACGTCAGCAGGCACACGGTCTCAAGCACAACTTCTCGCAACCACCTCCACTCCGCAAACTTATATCGAGGATGAAGCTGTGAAATGCAAGCCGCCTCCACGAAGCACGTTCCGTGAAAGCCTAGTTCCAAACAGACCCTCGCTTGCCAGGATAAGTTAGCACTTGCATCCAGTCAAATGCCAGCTAAGGAACGAGAGGGCACGCGAAGCTGGAAACTGGAAACGCTCGGCGGTAGGAAGAGGAGAGTCGGCCGTGAGACTGACCGTGTTGCGTCTGGCGAAAACACTAGACGATGCTTCGACCCCTTACGCACAATGAGCAGGTAAGCAGGCAAGGCACTTGCTACGAATCCCAAGGTGGTGGGAGGGAAATCTGTAGGAGAATACCAAGACTCAGCAAAAGAGAAGTTTGGAGGACCTTCGGAAAGAGTTTGTAGGACCTTGGGATTTGAGCACAAGGCACGGAAGAGGAACGACGATAGCAAAACCCTATCCAGCCGTTTTTTGCGGGGACGAAACCGATTCTCCAAGTTAATAAACCTTACCGAACCGCATCAGGTGCGTTACCGTATGTTTGTACCACCCATGTGACACGAGCAACCCCGAGCGACGTGTGCGACGTGAAGGTTTGGGGGAAATCCAGGTAAGCGACGCAGGGATAACGACGTATGGGAAGCGGCTGGAGCCTGGTATGACCTTGGATTAAGGATCAACTAGTCGCACGTGGCGTGCGAGAGTTCTGTGAGGGCGATGAGTCGATTACACAATGACGCGCCACGACGAGACGCAAACGAGTTTCTGATCACTCGTCGCACGGCCTGGTTACGGCGCATAGGATTCTTTGAAGAGAGGTTGCGAAGTCTGACGTGGTCCAATGAACCGGCCTCAACAGCCTATTTGCGAATCCGAGGTCCAACGACCAATTGGCGGCGCTGCAGTGTCAGCTTTTTCCTCGGACGAAGGATTGCCCCACCTGAACTGTCGTTTGACCACGAAAAAATGGAATGACGTGGCCACTAGAATGGGATGAGGCGCACAATCAGCAGGATCCGTTACACTACACATATCAACAAATTTCTGTACATCCCCTTCAAAAGAAAACAGTAGATTAGCTAAACTACCTTCACACATCAATTGCAACGTGTGCACCTTAGGTGACCTAGCTATGCATGTCGGTAGGTGAGTGTTCCATCCATAGTGATATTTAACAATGCATAAGCACATGGCACCCCATTCAACAATCTATTGATTGCTTTGTGCAGCAGCCATTTACAAGGCTCTCTGCTTGTGAAACTGGCCAATCAGCGCTGTTGACATACTCAAATATTTACATTGTACGAAAATAAGGTTCATTCAGTAAATAAAGACGGACCGAGCAACAATGTTCTTCACAGCCAAAGGCCCCCTGCAAAACATCAGAGCCAGGGTCAAGTCAGGTAAGCTCCACAAATGCCAGTAGCAGAGCCATGGATAGGCCAAGAATTCGCACATCAGTACTGCCTGAACAGACATACCATGTGTGAGAATCGAAGCTGTTGTTGCGATTGTCGCCCATGACGAAGACATGACCAGATGGAATGTACTGCACATGGACGGTGATAATAAAGGTGAGTGGACTAAAGCTATCACAATTCGTGCAAGAATCGGAGCAGAACAAACAAGCACCAAAGCAAGTTTTGAAACAATCCCAAAAGCAACTGTTGACGGAGGTTACCTGGGTCTCCATGTTGTAGGCAGGCTGCTCCAGTATGTAATCCTCTTCCTTCTCAACGCCATTGACGAACAGCCGCCCGCCCTTCACCTCCACCAAGTCTCCTTCAGTGGCAACAATTCGCTTCACAAACACCTCTCCCTCACTGTAGCCATGCTTCTGCGAGTTATCAACGCACACAATAGGGAGGACGAGAAGCCATGAGACATCGTGAAGAGGAAGCAGAACAATAGAAGAGCCGAGTACCAATGAGTCAGAGAGGAGGGCTGTATACCTTGAAAATGACGACATCGTCGACCTCAGGCTTCCTGAAATAGTATGAAACCTGCACATTGATGAGGGAGAAATTGATGTCAGTGTCCAGCAAGTCGATCCATGAACATGAACTGCAAGGACAATCCCAAATTTAATAACACATTGGCTCACCTTCTCTGCGACGATTCGGTCCCCCACGTCAAGCGTGGGGTACATGGAGAGCGACGGAATGAACCGCAGTTCGGCGACGAAGCGAAAGATCAGAGACATCGCGAACGTCGCCAACACAGCTTTGGCCTCCTCCGCCGACAAGGGAAGCCACTCGGGCAGCCACATGAACTGCCGAGCAGCGACCGCACCCTTCGCGGACTCCTTCAAGTCTGCGAAGTCAAGGCTGTTGGTAACCTGGCTGCCAGAAATTCGCACTTCGCTGCACAGCGAAGCCGCCTCAGAAGCCCGAACAGGTCCGCAGGACTCCAAAGCGGTTTTGCCTTTCAACGAAGAGCACAAAATCGCCCGAGCCTGAAAGACGTTTCTCCAAAAATCGCTGCTAGAATGCCCGACTCCATTTATTTTTTTGACTCCGCCTTCATTGCTGTATGATACACTTGCACTCCCTTGGGCTCCTCGTCTCATAGCTGACGCACGAAGACCCATCGTGGCACCCTCTCCCTCCTTACGGCGGGAGAGGTGAACGCGAATGGAGTTCGTGAAGAAAGCTTGGAGGCAGGGAGCGTTAGGAGATGCAATTTTCCGCGATTTCGACGAATTGATACCACCAGCCACCCCCGACGACAACGAAACTCCTCCCACAGACAACCGCTGCATGCAACACGAGATACCCGTAGAACCAGCCGCGAAACCCGCCATTGCAGCCATGGTAAGACGCCTCGCCAGCAGCTGCAACAACACGCTGCGTGCACACAGCACCAGCACGCCACAGAAGACTGTTATGCCATCTTCATTTTCCCACGAGATACCATCCTCCTCTAATATAAAGAGGAGGTAGAAGCTAAGCACACCAATACATATCGCCCTGAAACGGTTTAGGTAACAAGCTGTGAGAGCTTTACTCGCCAACGCTTGGGCCTGTCAGGCCCACTACTTGAGAAAAACGCCTTTCGCCTCTTCGCCCTTCTCCTAACAAACCAACCAGTACTAAGATGTCTGTATCTCAGAAATGAAACCCTAGCCCAACTCACTTTCCCCTCTGACTCCTATCTGTACCCTCGGGAACTGTTTCTGCTGATCCACCTGACCTTCCCTTGCAAGCAAGCAGTAGATGTTGGGGGGAGGTGGCGGGAAGGATGGCGGACGAGAGAGGGAAACAGAGCGGGGAGCGGAGAGACTGCCAATCGAGGGGAAGTGGGGTGAATGGGGGGATCCGTTCGACGTGCCAGAGACAGGCAGAACGTTTTTATGCCTGGGCAATCGGATATCATCCGACGGCTTGAAAACCACAGGTAGCATCTGACGGTCTGCGTGCGTGCGTGGGACCCTGCCCGTCTGATCGAAAGTTCGTTCGAAGCCGATGACTTGTTGGTCGGGGGGGAGGCGAATGGAACCTGCTGTGTGCACAGGCAGTGGAAGGTCCATCCAGTCATGCCAGTCTTGCCAGCGCGCGAAGGTATTTCGCTGCACATTGGTTTATAGAGGATTTATCCTTACAAACCGGTGCGTTTTCAATGCAGATGTCGAAACGGAGCCGAGAGGACCTTAGGGCGTGTGTGATTTTGCCGAACTTTTATAACGGTTCGTCACGGTAGGATACAAATAGAAGAGTTTTGCTAAGATTTCGTCACGGTGCAAAGCGGTTTGAGTTCGAACTTGCCAGGTTCGGCAAAATCACACACGTCCTTAGCGCGTACATCGGCAGTTTTGGCTCGGCCCGCACCTCGGATATTTCACCTAGACATCTGGTGGTAACGCGCCCGCAGTGGTGCCGTGCCAGCCAAAATCATAAGCTTTTCGTGAGCCTCGCGGCGAAATAGCCGTTTCTTCAGCAAGCATCCATCATCCCCCCTCACCCGCTTCGCTATTGCTGACATTTTTTCGCAGCAGTCAGCAGCCCCAAGTGACAAAAACCAAAACCCCCTCCACCCCGTCTGCGCAAAATCGACCCTTCCGAAGCGCATAACATGTCAGCCCTGCATGCGGCTCGGGGCTCGCAAATTTCAGAGCCAAATGCGAAAGTTGCATAGCCCAGCCCAGACTTGCCCCCCCCCCCCCCCAGTCCCACCCCACCACCCCATCCCACCACATAAAACCAAAACCGTACCGCGGGTGCTGCACCAAGCTTTGGTGTGCAATGCACCCCTGCTTGGCCACCTGCTTGTGAGGACTTGCACTGCATAAAGCATTGATAGTACCAACAATCGTAGTCGATAGAACCAACACCCCGTTGTCCTAGCATTGGCGCCAATCGTCTGAACAAGCAACTCATATATGTCAGCGACCAGGTACTCCTATGCGAGACCGATTTTGCGCTGACTCTACTGCCTTAGTATAACAGAGTACCACGATTAGGATATCCCTACACTCAAAACCAACAGGGATACGAATGCCTGTCGGCAGGAACACAACGCAAACCGCCATGGTTATTAAACGAGTCGCATTATCTGCCTCCTCTCTCTCCCTCATCGCCCTCCTGGCCATTCTTCCCCTCGTCCTCGCTAACAACTGTCCCAATTTTGCAAACGAACGATCAGCATGCACGCAAGACACGTGCGGACGATACGTCTACAAGGGAAAGTTCACCGTGCAAGGCACGAAGCAGTATCGCCTCGCCGCCGCACCGAACGGCGTGAATCTCGGGCCCAACGCAACTCCCGGTGACTGTTGCCAACAATGCCGGAGTAACGGCGACTGCGCGTTCTGGAACCTTCTCCTGCCCTCCGGTCTCTGCCTCCTCTTTACCGAAGGAGCGTGTAACGGGGACGCGCATGTCTACGTTCCCGGTTTACCCAACTCATAGTGAGTAAACGCTCTCATGGATTGCTGGCACAACTGTGGCAGATACGCGTGTCTGCCATTCACTTTCTCCTCTTGAAGAGGGAATTGAGTTTTTTTCGTTTATCCCTTCCTCCCTGGAGCTTCCTTCTTCTGCTAGCCTCATTCTCTTGTCAATGTCCTAAATATGCAAGTTTTTTTTCACTTTCCCTTGCTCCGCCCTGTCCAGTGTGGGTGGTCGTTGCAATTCAGAAGCCAAACTCGCCACCACCGCCGCAAGTGCCGCCGCAGATGACGGTGCAAGTGCTGTCAAATGGGCCGTGGGACCCGCGCTTTACCACTCCAAAATCGGCGCGGCTCGCACCGGACCAGTAGCTCACGAGAAACTGTCGGACCGCGCGTTCTGCCTGATAAGCGATCCGTCGTTTCACATCAACATGCAACTGTCAGGCTACATGGATAACCGCGGCGCCACCGATTCGAACCCCTCTTCATTTGGTGGTAACTCGCGGACTCAGCGACCCGCCGTTGTTCGCGCGTGGATTCGCGAAGTTTCGCTAATGTGGGGGAGAGGGGGACCCGGACAAGCTCAGCACGTTCTGCGAATGGCTGCTAGAAGGACAGCGCAGCAGGAGCGCGGCGATGGATACGTTGCGACTATTGAAGTGGACGGGCATGCCATGCCGAAGCTAGTGGTGAGTGCACCGTGCATGCCATGCCGAAGCTTGGGTTGCGGTTTGGGGGGGTGCAAGTGTGTCGGGTCTCCTCTCTCCGCTGATTCTTTCCTTCCCCAAGCCGCATTCTATCGGCTCAACTCATTTCCGTTTTCCACTTCCTTTCTCCCTCTCGTGCTTGACGAACGAGCAGTTGGGAGATGAGCTCTCGTTATTTGATGGCGCGGCGACGATTCTCCTAGCAGCGTACGAGAAGCAAGGTCCGTACGACGTGGACGTGTACGCGTTAAAAGTACCGGGTGTGATTGAAGCGGAGGTTCGTGTTCGCCGGGTGCACCCCCTGTTACAAGAACCTGATGACGCAGAGGCGCACATCAACCTGGCTATCCTCGATGTGGCATATTCCCCTACTGTGCACGGCCTCTTGGGCCAGTTCTACCGAGCCAACGCCACGTCAGAACCCACGTTAAACTACTCTATTTTGTCACATTTAATGGCCATGCCGCTGGTTCCTTCCTCGGATTCTTCTTCTGAAGGGGAGCTTGAGGGAGTACCAGAAGATTACGTCACGTCCTCCCTCCTCGCTCCTGACTGCGAATATTCTCAATTCTCGCTCTTTTCTAAGAAGGTCACCAGCATCGGAGACGCGAATCACAGTAACATTGGAAACAACGACGACGCTGGTAACGACAGCAGCGGCAGCAGCAGCAGCAGTAACAGAATGACTGAAACCGCCAGCAGTGAAATTATCATCCGTGGTGAGGGTGATGACCTAGAAGCAGATTATTCAGGTGTTCAGGTAGAAGACACGGCGGCTGAGGCAGCTGAAATGGCGCTAGGGGAAGCTGACATGACTGAATCGATCCTTTCAAAAGCAGCTGAAATGGCTAACCAGGTTGCTGACGCTGCTGCAGCCGTGAATCCCGAAGAGACTACCCTCAAGCTCTCTCAAGTGGGGTCAGCTGATAATGAGCAGAGAACCGCTTTTTGAGGAAAGTTTAATTTCCGCTACTTCTTCCAGCATAATCCTACTTGGATTCATGGTATCAGGCTAGTTATTACTTAGCTATTAGGTTGTAGGCGATTTGTGGCATACGTAGAGTAAATGCTCTAAATGTCTAAGTAACAGAATATTCCACTTTGAAGCAAACACTACTATCTATGACTAGTGGCAGCAGCAGCAGGGAGGATATGTTAGAAACAATAGGGATAGTAACACCATAAGAACTCAGTGATCACTGAATTCCCCCCGTGTCAGGTATTTTACACATGTGAGCAGCTTCTGCTGCACCAATCAGCAACAGTACGAAGCGTGCTGCTACGTTCTCCCTCAACCAAAGCGGAAAAGGAGAGGTGTTGATAGTGGTAAGCACGAAAAAACGTTGCCGAGGAGCCATGTACCCAGTTCTCGCGTTGTAGATCTGCTGACGGAAGGTAGGTGCTACCACCGATGCTGTATGCTCAGGTCAATCGACGATGCCTGGGTTAGCTTCACGATGCTCCGTGTCCGTGCTTTGTAAGGTGCCGCTGGACATGTGGGACTTCTTCTTTGTAGAGCTGGTGGCGTCGAATAATACGTATAACTGTCGCAGACACCTGAAAGACATCAAAACGGCGAGGATCAGTAAAAATAGAAATTCACAACTAGAACTTTTAGCTGTCTAACGGGATATTTTTGACGGAGACTCTGCTGGCACGTACCGTTGGTTGCGCGTGGCTCGCTTTTGACATCGCGCTTCACTCGCTTCAGTGCGTCACTTTTGAAAGGAGAAGCGGAACGACCAAGCTTCTTGTTCGTGAAAACAGGAAAATGCTCTGGAGTGGAGGAAAGCGTTGTAAATGCTGTAGATCTTGTCCTCTGGGGAGATGCTGGCTCTAAATCAGGCACTTGGTTGATCCCAAATCCTTGACACGCCTCTTCAGGATCGTCTTCAGGTTGTGGGATCCATGGAATCCAAATAGATCCTGCAAACGACATGGCTATCTCGGATCTGAACGAGGAATTCAGATGGTTCTTGCTGTTAAATACCACTAATGAGAAGGTTGCTAACAAAAGATGAGAACGAATGTAGAACCTGCCTCAGGACAAACTTCGAGTGCTGCTGTTGGTGAAGGTGGTCTACTGAGTCCTTTCTTATATACCTGGTGGTCTCGGGTCTGGTCGTGAAAGCGAAAACCTTCAGAAATTTTAGCTGGTGGTAGGATTGACGGACTTCTGGTTTGGTGTTGTGTGATCTGCCTCTGACGGGAAACCAGATACAGATTCACGGAAGTCCGTTCTGGTGCTGTTCTGCAGGCAACGGTCTGATCGCATGCAGTTTCAGGCGCTCGTGGACCTTGGGATTGGTTCAAAGCACACAGATCGACGGTTTCGAACCAATCAGCTGATCCGAGCTGAAGGCTTGCGGAGGCAGTGGCTGCTGCTCCCGCTTCTGTCAGTTCCGCCGGCGGTGTGCCTGACATCTCTGCTTTTCCGCGAGGAGACACGCGAGCGGGATTTTGCGGGGGGGGGGAGGAGGGAGGTGCAGCGAATGCCAGCAGAAGTGACAGCGCAATTTCGCTGCACCGTCCAAACTCGTGATTCGTTATTGAATGATTTTGTGATTGGCTGCTAGCTACATGCTCGATTTCCATACATCTCAGATATGTGATTTTCCACCCACACGCCATGTTGTCTGTCCCCGCTACTTTCACATTACAACATCACTACAACGTCACCGCACTTGACCGTACAGAACGCCCAGACAGAAATGCCACCCTTGTCCTAGGGAGCCCCTGACAAAAACTGCCGTGTTGCATGTCTCGTACCCAAGGTTCGTGATTCTCTGTCTCTAGGTCTAACAGTGTCTCGCTCTCTGAGTTCGCGTTTGCGTTCATTGAACCTCTCCTTTGTCCTTCCGCTTTCCCAACCCATTTGGGGACTCTCGCCGTGTTTTTGCGAGGCGTGGTTATTCGTAGTGTTAGGCGTAATTAGCGGCTTCAAGCGTAGGTCGGGTTCCACTGAAGTATCTAGAAAATTACAAGGCTACAACGAGCCGGATCTTCTGTCGTTACATCGCGAGCATTTTTAGACACTAGCCGTCATGAGGAAATTGAAGTATCATGAGCAGCGGCTGCTGCGGAAGGTGAATTTTCTGCAGTGGAAGACGGAGGGCAACGAGCGAGAGCTGGAGGTCATGCGAAGATACCACATCACCGAACGCGACGATTACTCCAAGTAGGGTTACCAGCGTGAGGTAGTGTTATTAGATGCGGGAGGGAGGATTCGGGAGGAGATCGGGGATGGGGGTTTGCTGGGGATGGGGGATGGTGTGGATGGGGGGGTGCCTGTTGTACATAAGTTAACGCAATCCGGTTGAGCGCGGTGCATGTAAAATACTTCGAAGTTGGAGCTCGCGGGACGGGGTTTTGAGGCGGGACGGGGTTTTGACTTACAGAAGTGCATTGAAGAAAGAAAAGGGGAAGAAGAGGTAGAGGTGAGGGGGGAGGAGGGGGGAAAGAGGGGGCGGGGAGGGGAGGTGGGGGGGAGGGAGGAGATTGAAGGAGCTTGTCCCGAGACTGTTGCTCATGCTCAGTCTAATGGATGGGAGGGAAGGGGGAAGGGCGGAGGGGGAAGGGGGGGATGAGGGACCAACTTCATATATGTATGAGGAGCAAGGTGTAGCAGAAAAAGGCAACGTTTGAGCCAGCAGAGCTGATCACGTCACAAATCTGATGGCTGTGATGGGGGTGATGGAAGAAGTAAACGGCATGTCAATAACGTAAATTATTGAGGGTGTTTAGAGTTGAAGCATCAAAACCTGAGTCCATTCACACACACGCACGCAGGCACGCACGCACGCAGGCATGCACGCACGCACGCCCGCACATAGAACTAGGCAATGATTGTCAGTGATGGTGTTGTTTCTACGGGCATTCACGGATTTGATTATTGTTTCTTTGTGCATCCGCGTGAATGTGACTGTATCGAAAGCGCAGGTACAACCGGTTGTGCGGTAAAATCACAAAGCTGACAACACTGCTCAAGAAACTAGATCCGTCAGACCCCTTCCGGATCGAAATGACTGACCAGCTGCTTAACAAGCTGTGAGTTCCGCTTGCCCTTCTGCCTCCTCTGCGTCGCCTCCAATGAAACTGGATCCCTCGGACCCCTTCGGGATTGAAATGACTGACCAGCTGCTGAACAAGCTGTGAGTAGCGGTTTCCTTTCCCTCTCTCCTCTCTCTTGGGTTCTCACAAGTGCATGATGTTCTTGTGCGCTCTCCTGCTTGTGCTGTGCTTGTCCTTGTATCGACCCCTTCCGGATCGAAATGACCGACCAGCTGCTTAACAAGCTGTAAGTTCCGCTTTCCTCCTCTTCATTCCCTCTTTCCTCTCCATTCGCTCCTTGATTCACCTATCTCCCTCTGTTCTGAATCGCTTTACAAGAAACTGGATCCCTCCGACCCCTTCCGGATCGAAATGACTGACCAGCTGCTTAACAAGCTGTGAGTAGCGCTTTCCTCCTCTTCATTCCCTCTTTCCTCTCCATTCGCTCCTTGATTCACCTATCTCCCTCTGTTCTGAATCGCTTTACAAGAAACTGGATCCCTCCGACCCCTTCCGGATCGAAATGACCGACCAGCTGCTTAACAAGCTGTAAGTTCCGCTTTCCTCCTCTCCCCTCCTCTCTCTCCCTCCTCGCTCTTCCCTCCTCCTGTTCTACCTTTCTCCCTCTGTTCTGAATCGCCTTCCCCTGCGAAACTGGATCCCTCCGACCCCTTCTGGATCAGAATGACTGACCAGCCAGCTGTGAGCGCCGCTTTCCCCTTCCCTTCTGTTCTCCCTTTCTTTTTCTGTCCTCCCTTTCCGTTTCTGTTCACCCTTTCCTTCTCTGTTTTCTCTTTCCATTTCCGTTCTCCTTTTTCTGTCACATCTCTTCCTGACCTCCGACCCCTCTCGGATCCCTCCACACCTCATGATGTCTGACCAGCTGCTCAATCAACAAGCTGTGAACCACCACAGGCTCTTCTGTTCTCCTTTTTCTGTCACATCTCTTCTTGCCCTCCGACCCCTCTCGGATCGAGATGTCTGACCAGCTGCTCAACAATCTGAGTTGACTTTTGAGTCGACTCAAAAGTCAACTCTCGGATCGAGATGTCTGACCAGCTGCTCATTCAACATTTGTGAACCACCACAGGCTCTTCTGTTCTCCTTTTCTGTGCTCAACAAGCTGTGAACCACCACCAATTACAGCATGGGAGTCATACCCATTCAGAAGACGAGGTGACTTTTGAGTCGACTCAAAAAGTCACCTCTGTGAACCACCACCAATTACAGCATGGGAGTCATACCCATTCAGAAGAGTCTGACAGTATTTCTTCACTCATCCTCTCTCCCCTCCTACCCCGTACCCCTTTCTTCTCTTTTCCCCCACCCCGCCCTACCCCCCACCAGGTACAACATGGGAGTCATCCCCACACAGAAGAGCCTTACAGTAATAGCCTGAAGTCCCTTTTGACCTGCTCTCCTCTTTCTTCTCCCCCGCCCCCTCTTCTCACACCAGGTACAACATGGGAGTGATACCCACACAGAAGAGCCTCAATCTATGCGATAAGCTCTCCGTCTCCTCGTTTTGCAGGCAAGCCGCTTCTTTTTCTTCATGTTTTCTTGCGCTTTTTTGTTTTATTTAACGAGATTGAAAATGGGCACAAGCTCTATCAAGAAACGATTCACTGAGAGTCACACTTTCCCACGTAAGGCCTGTAAAGATTGGATAGATAATAAGATTTTAATTGATTTTACACACAAGGGCGTTGCTTCTTTTTAGAGTCAACCCAAACAAATGAGTTTCACTTGCTCTTTGCTATGAGGCAGCATTCTTCCATGGTTTTATCTCTCCCTGGTTTCATGTCTCCCTGATTTCATCTCCCTGGTTTCGTCTCTTCCTGGTTTCATTTCCCTCCAGACGAAGGCTGGCAGTGGTGATGGTTCGATTGAAGATGGCGGAGCACATGAGGGAGGCAGTAGCGTTCGTGCAGCAGGTATGAAAGATGTGTTTATTTGGGTGTGCAGGGGTGTGGAGGTGTGTGCAGGGATGAGCAGGGGTGTGCAGGTGTGGTCACAGCAGGCTGGCAGTGGTGATGGTGCGGCTGAAGATGGCGAAGCACATGAGAGAAGCAGTGGCGTTCGTGCAGCAGGTAGGTGGTGGGGTTGGGTGTGGTTGAGCAGGTGTGTTCAGGTGTGGGTGTGTGTGTGAAGGTGTGTAGTTGCGGTCACCGTAGGTTACCAGTGGTGATGGTGCGGCTGAAGATGGCGGAGCACATGAGAGAAGCAGATTCGTGCAGCAGGTAGGAAAGATGTGTTTATGTGGGTGTGCAGGGGTGTGCAGTGGTGTGCAGGGATGAGCAGGGGTGTGCAGGTGTGGTCACAGCAGGGTAGCAGTGGTGATGGTGCGGCTGAAGATGGCGGAGCACATGAGGGAGGCAGTGGCGTTCGTGCAGAAGGTGGGCAGTAGGTGTAGGTGTGTTTAAATGGGTGCGGGTGTGCACGTGCGCAGGTGTCGGGGTGTGCTCAATTCTTCTAGCAGTGGTGATGGTGTGACTGAAGATGGCGGAGCACATGAGGGTAGCAGTGGCGTTCGTGCAGCAGGTGGGAAGCGGTTGAGTGTGGTTGAGCAGGTGTGTTCAGGTGTAGGTGTGTGTGTAATAAAGGTATATAGGTGTGGTCATTGCAGGTTACCAGTGGTGATGGTGCGATTGAAGATGGCCGAGCACATGAAAGTAGAAGTGTCGTTCGTGCAGCAGGTGGGGTGGTTGTGTGTGTGACGGTGTGTATGTGTGTGTAGGTGTGCCAAAATGTGTATGTGTGTGACGGTGAGTATGTGTGTGACGGTGAGTAAGCATCTTTGAGCTGTTTGATATATTTCCCTTATCCAGCCGTCTCGCATCCCCTCTGAATGTTTCCCCCAGGGCCGTGTGCGCGCCGGTTTGGTAGCCACTGTTGAGTTGAGAATTCTCAAAAGTGTCCCCCAGTGCCGTATGCGCGTTGGTCCGGTACCCGTGAGGGGCCCCGCCTTCATAATTGATCTCCCATGGACCCAGCATTTGCTCTGCTTCTTTCCATTTTCTTTCCTGTCTTTACCACAGGGCCATGTGCGCATTGGTCCGGAAGCTGTGAGGGACCTGGCCTTTCTGGTGACAAGAGCAATGGAGGACATGCTGACGTGTCTGCTCCCCTTATTCCCTTTCCCCCCTTCTCGCATTCCCTCTTCATGTTTCCCCCAGGGCCATGTGCGTATTGGTCCAGAAGCTGTGAGGGACCCGGCCTTTCTGGTGACAAGAGCAATGGAGGACATGCTGACGTATATGATTTCCGTATTCCCTTCTCCCCCTTCTCACATCCCCCCTTGATCCATCCCACAGGGCCAGGCCCGGAAGCCGTGAGGGACCCGGCCTTTCTGGTGTCTCCTTTCGGTTCTTGCATCACTTAAGCTGTCAAAATTTCCTCTGGTATCCTCACTCAATCCTTACCCCAGGGCCATGTGCGCATCGGTCCTGAAGCTGTGAGGGACCCAGCGTTTCTGGTGACTAGAGCAATGAAGGGCATGCTGACATGGGTGATTTCCTTATTCCCTTCTTCCCCTTCTTCCCCTTCTCGCATTCCCTCTGCATCCTTCCCCCAGGGCCATGTTCGCATTGGCCCCGAAGCTGTGAGGGACCCGGCCTTTCTGGTGACGAGAGCGATGGAGGATATGCTGACGTGGGTGGATACGAGCAAGATCAAGCACAAGGTTCTACAGTACAACGATAAGGTTGATGACTATGATTTGCTTAATTAGATGTTTGTAACATATCATTTTGAAATAAGAGTAATGGAGGACATGCTCGTGACCAATTCGATTAAAATTTCAGCATCAAGGAATGGTCTCCTTCGTACCGATGGGCTGGTCATGGTCATCTAGACTTTCTTTCGTATGGTTAAGTTTCGTCTTGCTTCTTTACTGACATCTTCAGAAATACTAGTCCAAGAAACAAAGCCATTACAAAGTTTTCCACTCCACGGCTGAGTTCTGACGGAGAACTAGTTATGTGCCAGTTCAGAATGCAGCCCATCAAAAGGCACATCAGTTTCCCACACAATGGAACAACAAACTGCAACAAAACGTCGTCCCAAGGAGCCACCCGGGTTTGAACCGGGGACCTCTCGATCTGCAGTCGAATGCTCTACCACTGAGCTATAGCTCCATATGCGAGGCAACTAATAGTTTTGTATTAAAATCTTTTTTGTCAACATCTTCATTCCAGATTCTCCCTGTTTTTGCTGCTTCAGCCATGGCGCATCAGCTTCGGCGATCTGACCGGCTGCTGGCCGTCCGATCCGCCGCTCGCATCTTTCTCCAAATCCCGTCGCCTCCCGGCATCACCCCCGCGGCGCCCGCCGTTCCAACCCATCTTCCCCACGCCCTTCGCCCGATCGTACGCGACATTTGCCACGTGGAAGGCAGCGGGCAGGCCAGATTGATCCAATCCCGTCCCGTCCAATGGGGAGTCGACAGGTGTCGTCGTACTCCTACGCCCCCTTCCGCCGTGTTTGCGCCCTTGCGCCGTTTGATTTCCGCTCCCCATGCGCCTGTGGGTAGCAAGCGCAGTTTTTCCGCCGCCACATCTCCCCCGATCCCGCCGGCCTCCGCCCCGATCGCTGGCGGAAGCATTGGCGGAAGCGCTGGCGGAAGCACCGGCGGAAGTTCTGGCGGAGCGGGCGGGCGGAAGGGGGGGCGGGGATTGGTGAGCGTGATAACGGCTGCCGCTATAGCGGGCGCGGCGGGAGGAGCGTATTATTGGTGGGAGACAGAAGCAGCGAGATTTGGACCTGGTCCCGTTATAATCACACCCGATACGAAAGTAGGCTCGGAAGAAAAAGTTAAGATATCGAGTCCTGCGGCAGACTTGGGGACTGGGGGAACGAGGGCTGGAGATACGAAAACGGAGGGCAAAGAGGAGGGGAAGGAGGGGGAAGGAGAGGAGGGGAAGGATGGGGAAGGAGAGGAGGGGAAGGATGGGGGAGGAGAGGAGGGGAAGGATGGGGGAGGAGAGGAGGGGAAGGATGGGGGAGGAGAGGAGGGGAAGGAGGGAGGAGTAGATATTGGGAGGGAGAGGGGAGAAGGGGGGGGAAGGAGGAGGCGGGAGATGGAAGGGGGGAGGGAGAGGAGGGTGCGAGAGAGGGGGCAAGTGTGAAAGGGTCAGAAGATACAGTAAAGGGGGAGGTTGGGGGGGAGGAGAAAGAGGTGGAGGAGGAAGGGGTGGAGGAGGAAGATAAGGAGGGAAATAAGGCGGAGTTAAAGAGAAGGAAAAAGGAGGAGAAGCGGAGGGAGAAGGAATTAAAGAAGAAGGAAAAGGAGGAGAGGAAGGCGAAGGGAGGAAAGGAGGGAAAGGAGGGAGAGGAGGATGAGAAGGGAGAAGAGGGAGGGAAGGATGATGTTGGGGATGAGGAAAGAAAGAGGAGGAAGGAAGATAAAAAACGACTTAAGAAGCTGAAAAAGGAGGAAGAGAAAAAGAAGGGAGAAGCAGAGGAGAAAGGGAAGGAGGAGGACGAGGAGGAAGGGGAAATGACGAAGGAAGAGAGGAAACGACTAAAGAAGCTAAAAAAAGCGGAAGAGAAGGAAGAGAAGAAGAGGAAGAAGGACGAGAAAAAAAAGAAGGAAGGGGAGGAAAAGGGAAAGGGGGAAGAGGAGGAGAAGGAAGGAGAGAAGGTTGAGGGGATGGAAAAAAACAAAGATCACAGCAAAGTGGAGGAATTTGCTGATGTGGCAGCTGACATGGCCGCTGATGTGGCGGTGGGCGTGGCAGCTGAGGTGGTGAGGATCGAATCAGCAGCAAGGACGGCAGAGGCCGAGAGGGGGAGGAGGGAGAGGGAGCGACAGCTGGCAGCGATGCAGGTGAGAGGAGCGAGGGAGGGAGGGAGGGAGGGAGGGAGGGAGGGAGGGAGGAGGGAGGGAGGGAGGGAGGGAGGGAGGGAGGGAGGGAGGGAGGGAGGGAGAGGAGGGAGGGAGGGAGGGAGGTAGGGAGGGAGAATAGGGAGAGAGGGAGTGAGGGAAGGAGGGAGTTTAATTGGCTTAAGAGGGAGTGAGAGCTGGCAGCAATGCAGATGAGTAAGAGGGAGGATTTTGCTGCTAAACGGTTACTAGACCATCCACTGTCCCCTATCCGGTATCCGCTATCCGGTATCCGCTAGTTGGTATCCGCTATCCGATATCTGCTATTCGGTATCTGCTAATTGGTATCCGCTATCCGATATCTGCTATTTGGTATCCGCTAATTGGTATCCGCTATCCGATATCCGCTATTTGGAATCCGCTATTCGGTATCCGCTGTTTGGCATTCGCTATCTGGTATCCACTATTTTGTATCCGCTATTCAGCATCTGCTATTCGGTATCCGCTATTCAGCATCCGCTATTCGGTATCCGCTATTTTTTATCCTCTTCGCTATACACTATCCACCCTTTATGCATACACCACTCCCACGTCTCTTCTCGCCTGCCCTTTCTTTCCGCCCCATCTTCTTCTGAATGAAACCCCCTCTGCTCCCTCCCCCTTCTTCCCCCAACGCCCTCCTCCCTCCCCTCTCACACACAGAGTGTCCACGTGGCAGAACAGGATTCGCTGGCTGCGACAGTGCGAGAGAGGGAGAGGGAGGGGGAGGCGGAGAGGGAACTGATTGAGCAGCAGAGGGAGGAGATGGGGAGGGAGTTGGAGGAGTGGGAGGAGGGGGCGAGGAGGCAACAGGAGAAGAAGGGAGGAGAGTGGAGGAGTGGGAGGAGGGGGAAACGAGGAGGCAACAGGAGGAAGAACAGGAGATGGTGAGTGCGAGGGGGGAAACTGGGAGGTTGGCACAAGATTTGGGGGGGGGTAATTGGGCCAATACTATTGGGCAGCAGAGGGAGCGGATTGAGCAGCAGAGGGAGGAGATGGGGAGGGATTTGGAGGAGTGGGAGGAGGGGGCAGGAGGCAACAGGAGGAAGAACAGGAGATGGTGAGTGCGGGATGGGAGAAAGTTAGCCTGGGGTAGGAGGAGACAAGCAGGGAGCACCGCAGACAAAATAGAGGCAGCAAACTGGTTCTTTTGAAGCGCCTCAGGAAGAGAGGGAGTGCTAGAATCTTAGGGGATGGGTATGGGCGGGAAATGTCTTTAGGGTGTGAGAGAACCTATCTTGTTTCGTGAGTCAACTTTTGAGACGTCCCAAAATGTCTATAGGGTGTGAGTGAATTTATCTTGCTTTGTAAGTCAGCTAACAAAATTCACTCACACCCTATAGACATTTTGGGGATGGAAAATGTGTGGCTGTCTTCCATCCCCAGTTCCTCTCCCCTCCCTCACTCTCCCCCCAATCGCCCATTCTCACCTCTCCCCTCCACAGCCGTAGCCACCCTGCAATCAGTGCTGCAGCAGCAGCTGGCGGTAGTGGCAGCAGCAGAACCTGAAGAGCAGAGGATTAGGATTCAGCCTTTCCTTTCCTACCGGCCATCTTCCCCTCCACCCCTATCCATCCACACCACAGGGCCGTAGCCACCCTGCAATCAGTGCTGCAGCAGCAGCTGGCGGTAGTGGCAGCAGCAGAACCTGAAGAGCAGAGGATTAGGATTCAGCCTTTCCTTTCCTACCGGCCATCTTCCCCTCCACCCCTATCCATCCACACCACAGGGCCGTAGCCACCCTGCAATCAGTGCTGCAGCAGCAGCTGGCGGTAGTGGCAGCAGCAGAACCTGAAGAGCAGAGGATTAGGATTCAGCCTTTCCTTTCCTACCGGCCATCTTCCCCTCCACCCCTATCCATCCACACCACAGGGCCGTAGCCACCCTGCAATCAGTGCTGCAGCAGCAGCTGGCGGTAGTGGCAGCAGCAGAACCTGAAGAGCAGAGGATTAGGATTCAGCCTTTCCTTTCCTACCGGCCATCTTCCCCTCCACCCCTATCCATCCACAGGGCCGTAGCCACCCTGCAATCAGTGCTGCAGCAGCAGCTGGCGGTAGTGGCAGCAGCAGAACCTGAAGAGCAGAGGATTAGGATTCAGCCTTTCCTTTCCTACCGGCCATCTTCCCCTCCACCCCTATCCATCCACACCACAGGGCCGTAGCCACCCTGCAATCAGTGCTGCAGCAGCAGCTGGCGGTAGTGGCAGCAGCAGAACCTGAAGAGCAGAGGATTAGGATTCAGCCTTTCCTTTCCTACCGGCCATCTTCCCCTCCACCCCTATCCATCCACACCACAGGGCCGTAGCCACCCTGCAATCAGTGCTGCAGCAGCAGCTGGCGGTAGTGGCAGCAGCAGAACCTGAAGAGCAGAGGATTAGGATTCAGCCTTTCCTTTCCTACCGGCCATCTTCCCCTCCACCCCTATCCATCCACAGGCAGGGCCGTAGCCACCCTGCAATCAGTGCTGCAGCAGCAGCTGGCGGTAGTGGCAGCAGCAGAACCTGAAGAGCAGAGGATTAGGATTCAGCCTTTCCTTTCCTACCGGCCATCTTCCCCTCCACCCCTATCCATCCACACCACAGGGCCGTAGCCACCCTGCAATCAGTGCTGCAGCAGCAGCTGGCGGTAGTGGCAGCAGCAGAACCTGAAGAGCAGAGGATTAGGATTCAGCCTTTCCTTTCCTACCGGCCATCTTCCCCTCCACCCCTATCCATCCACAGGCAGGGCCGTAGCCACCCTGCAATCAGTGCTGCAGCAGCAGCTGGCGGTAGTGGCAGCAGCAGAACCTGAAGAGCAGAGGATTAGGATTCAGCCTTTCCTTTCCTACCGGCCATCTTCCCCTCCACCCCTATCCATCCACAGGGCCGTAGCCACCCTGCAATCAGTGCTGCAGCAGCAGCTGGCGGTAGTGGCAGCAGCAGAACCTGAAGAGCAGAGGATTAGGATTCAGCCTTTCCTTTCCTACCGGCCATCTTCCCCTCCACCCCTATCCATCCACAGGCAGGGCCGTAGCCACCCTGCAATCAGTGCTGCAGCAGCAGCTGGCGGTAGTGGCAGCAGCAGAACCTGAAGAGCAGAGGATTAGGATTCAGCCTTTCCTTTCCTACCGGCCATCTTCCCCTCCACCCCTATCCATCCACAGGCAGGGCCGTAGCCACCCTGCAATCAGTGCTGCAGCAGCAGCTGGCGGTAGTGGCAGCAGCAGAACCTGAAGAGCAGAGGATTAGGATTCAGCCTTTCCTTTCCTACCGGCCATCTTCCCCTCCACCCCTATCCATCCACACCACAGGGCCGTAGCCACCCTGCAATCAGTGCTGCAGCAGCAGCTGGCGGTAGTGGCAGCAGCAGAACCTGAAGAGCAGAGGATTAGGATTCAGCCTTTCCTTTCCTACCGGCCATCTTCCCCTCCACCCCTATCCATCCACACCACAGGGCCGTAGCCACCCTGCAATCAGTGCTGCAGCAGCAGCTGGCGGTAGTGGCAGCAGCAGAACCTGAAGAGCAGAGGATTAGGATTCAGCCTTTCCTTTCCTACCGGCCATCTTCCCCTCCACCCCTATCCATCCACAGGGCCGTAGCCACCCTGCAATCAGTGCTGCAGCAGCAGCTGGCGGTAGTGGCAGCAGCAGAACCTGAAGAGCAGAGGATTAGGATTCAGCCTTTCCTTTCCTACCGGCCATCTTCCCCTCCACCCCTATCCATCCACACCACAGGGCCGTAGCCACCCTGCAATCAGTGCTGCAGCAGCAGCTGGCGGTAGTGGCAGCAGCAGAACCTGAAGAGCAGAGGATTAGGATTCAGCCTTTCCTTTCCTACCGGCCATCTTCCCCTCCACCCCTATCCATCCACACCACAGGGCCGTAGCCACCCTGCAATCAGTGCTGCAGCAGCAGCTGGCGGTAGTGGCAGCAGCAGAACCTGAAGAGCAGAGGATTAGGATTCAGCCTTTCCTTTCCTACCGGCCATCTTCCCCTCCACCCCTATCCATCCACAGGCAGGGCCGTAGCCACCCTGCAATCAGTGCTGCAGCAGCAGCTGGCGGTAGTGGCAGCAGCAGAACCTGAAGAGCAGAGGATTAGGATTCAGCCTTTCCTTTCCTACCGGCCATCTTCCCCTCCACCCCTATCCATCCACACCACAGGGCCGTAGCCACCCTGCAATCAGTGCTGCAGCAGCAGCTGGCGGTAGTGGCAGCAGCAGAACCTGAAGAGCAGAGGATTAGGATTCAGCCTTTCCTTTCCTACCGGCCATCTTCCCCTCCACC